AAAAAGGTTAAAAAAATAAAAAATTTTCAACTTTTAAAAAAAAAAAAACTTCCCCCATTTCCCCCAAAAACTTATTGACCGCAACCCCATAAAAAGTGCTAGTAGTGGCAAAAAATTTAAATTAAAAAATCCCCCCCCCCCCCCCAAAAAAAAAAAAAAAAAAAAAAAAAAAAAAAAATCCTATCCTACCCTGGACTTGTGAGATCCACAACCACCAAGTCATTCTGGAGTAGAACTATAATAGCATAGGGATCCTGGAAGTCTGTCAATAACAAAAAAAGATATCGATAAGTATCACCTGTCAGAACATATTGCCCCTAGAGACGGACTTCAAAAAAAAAAAAAAAAAAAAAGGTGGACTTGATTATAGACTTGATAATGCATGGCACTGAACTTTTTGTCAGCAAGATTTTTCTATCACACACAAAGGAATAAATAAAATAGATAAATTGGCAATACACTTCACCATTAATACTACAATTAAACAGGTTCTTCGAGCAATATTCACAACAAGCATTTTGCTTATTTATTCCAAGCTTACAAAAAAATTCCACAGATGACATCCAATGAAAACTAACCATTAGACCAAGGTGATGTGCAGACTGAGATGAAATCCACCACATTATGTTCCATTTCCAGCACAGTGGTACTCTTTCCATTGATGACGGTGAGACAGGGAGTCTTGCCAGCGCGGTCATATGACATGCCACCAGAAAAGATGATGTAAGGCTCCCTTTAAAAGATAGGTATTCAAATACTTCATGGTTGAAACAAGTATGAGTGAACATGATCAGATGTGCATTGGATGCTTTTTATTCATAAAACTATAACCTAAATAATAATATTACTTAGAAAATATGCATTTCATGTATACAAAACTATCACTATTTCGATCTTTAATTATATCAGAAATTTTGACAAAAGTTGTATCAAGATGCATCATAATCATCATCATTGTAGAACATATGTAAAAAAAGTTTTGCAAGTGTCCAATTCTTGGAAACCTGTATTTTATCTTTGCCTTGAATGATGGCTAAGGCCAAGTCGGACAAACCTGAAGCAAAACTATTAAAATCCCAGAAATGGTCTGTATTCATTGAACTTGGCTCAATCAAGTTCTTTTGTTCCAAGTTCTATGCTTGGTAAACATGACTGAATGGATTAAGTGATGGATATTGCATTACATCTGTCTATATGTTGGTGCTTGGTGCCACGGTGTAGACAAGCAGTAGGTGGAAATGTGAACGGATTTGGGGCCAACACAATCAGAAACTGACAGGCTTGATATTGATAGGTTAAAGTAAAAGGATCTTTACTGATAATCCCCGATGATTTCTATCCATCATTAATGCATCAGGTTGATGAAAAAAAAGGTACCGAAGAAACTATCCATTATAATTCAATGAAGTTTTCCTTAATACTATTTAAAGCATTGCCTCTAGCATGCTGATGTTTTGTCCCAGTAGCTTCAGTATGTGGCATTCAATACAAAATTTTCAGTAAAAATCTAAATCTGTAATACCATAATTTTAAAGCATTCTGCAGTGTCATGTTCTTCTTCCCCACTGCCCCAGCCTCTATACAGGCAATATTTCTTTTTATGGATGAGGAAAGACCAACATTTAACAACAGTCACGTCTTATATGAAATTCTCAAACAAGGTGTAACTGAATTCAAAGAGAAAAACAATGGATTCATGACTCCAGGATCATAATACACTCTTCAGCAAAGAAAATGTTTAGCTGTTAGTTTGTTCTTGCACAGAAAAGACTAGATTTCCAAATAATTTGAAAGCATTTCAATGGCACAAGGCAAGACGTGTTTCTGAAACAAGAGCCTTATAGGAAAGCAAGTCTTCAGCAGACCAATTATTCACATTTTCCAGGAATCTGTAGGTGCTACTACAAAACACTTCAACCAACCATCGCATTTTGGGCAATGCTTTTTGTACTGAACCCAAAATCGATAACACCAAGCTACTGTAACAAAACATTAATTCAATGAAGTCATTGATGATAGTTTTACATAGATAGACATGTAAATTTATAAAACATATTTCATTCATTGTTTTTGTTTTTTCCCAATCATACCATAAAAAGGTTGACAACTNTATCATGTATACAAAACTATCACTATTTTGATCTTTAATTATATTAGAAAATTGGCCAAAAGTTGTATCAAAATGAATCATAATCATCATCATTGTAGAACATACGTAAAAAAAAGTTTTGCAAGTGTCCAATTCTTGGAAACCTGTATTTTATTTTTGCCTTGAATGATGGCTAAGGCCAAGTCAGACAAACCTGAAGCAAAACTATTAAAATCCTAGAAATGGTCTGTATTCATTGAACTTGGCTCAATCAAGTTCTTTTGTTCCAAGTTCTATGCTTGGTAAACATGACTGAATGGATTAAGTGATGGATATTGCATTACATCTGTCTATATGTTGGTGCTTGGTGCCACGGTGTAGACAAGCAGTAGGTGGAAATGTGAACGGATTTGGGGCCAACACAATCAGAAACTGACAGGCTTGATATTGATAGGTTAAAGTAAAAGGATCTTTACTGATAATCCCTGATGATTTCTATCCATCATTAATGCATCAGGTTGATGAAAAAAAAAGGTACCGAAGAAACTATCCATTATAATTCAATGAAGTTTTCCTTAATACTATTTAAAGCATTGCCTCAAGCATGCTGATGTTTTGTCCCAGTAGCTTCAGTATGTGGCATTCAATACATAATTTTCAGTTCAAATCTAAATCTGTAATACCATAATTAAGCATTTTGCAGTGTCATGTCCTTCTTCCCCTCTGCCCCAGCCTCTATACAGGCAATATTTCTTTTTATGGATGAGGAATGACCAACATTTAACAACAGTCACGTCTTATAAGAAATTCTCAAACAAGGTGTAACTGAATTCAAAGAGAAAAACAACTGGATTCATGACTCTAGGATCATAATACAATCTTCAGCAATGAAAATGTTTAGCTGTTAGTTTGTTCTTGCACAGAAAAGACTAGATTTCCAAATAATTTGAAGACATTTCTATGGCACAAGGCAAGACGTGTTTCTGAAACAAGAGCCTCCTAGAAAAGCAAGTCTTCAGCAGACCAATTATTCACATTTTCCAGGAATCTGTAGGTGCGACTACAAAACACTTCAATCAACCATCGCATTTTGGGCAATGCTTTTTGTACTGAACCCAAAATCGATAACACCAAGCTACTGTAACAAAACATTAATTCAATGAAGTCATTGATGATAGTTTTACATAGATAGACATGTAAATTTATAAAACATATTTCATCCATTGTTTTTGTTTTTTCCCAATTATACCATAAAAAGGTTTACAACTTAAATAAAGTGTATGTATGAGGCATAAACAGGAGATCTGATAGGGTATTGAAAAAAGTTAGGAACCACAAAAATGAAGATGAACCATTTCTGAACAGTAAATGAAAGGAAAATTATTGAAAACATTCCATTCATTTATTTGCAAATTAAATCTATACATGTGAGTGAAAATAGCTGGATTGGGAAGCAAGAAAAGCTTACATTTTACCTGCCAAATATAAAAGACCTAGTCATAAAACAACACAGCTGTAAGAATATGCAAATAAAGTACAAATGAATTAAATTAAAACAATAAATAATCCTACTGATAAGATTTAAACTCTAAGCTCATAATTATTGTTTTGATGATTTTAAATTGAAAGAGCAAAGCAATAAAAACAGCTATTTAAAGAACAGGATTTTCTTGTAGCTATAAACACTGACGCAGCAACAAAGTCAAAAGAAATGGTGATGCAGAGAGAACACCAAACCTTAGTAATAAATCATGACCAAGTGTAACCATAAACACAAGAGGAAAGTTTGGAAGCTTCAATGTAACACCTGTAGTGTTTTTCAGCCCACAGTGAAGATGATCGTTATCATGCTTGAGCGATACAGACATTGAAAATTTAAATATTTAGGCAAAATTTTTTTTTTCTTTCAATCAGATGTGGACTAAAATACAAAAAAAAAAAATCTTAACTACAAGTATTTTTGAAAGATCAAATTTACATTAAAGGGTCAATGCTTACCCATTTTTGCTCGACTTCCACTCCACTTTGTTGATTGGTTTGCAAGGGTCTGGTCGACCATCTTTGGATATTTTTGCTAAACGGTGAACAATGAACATTATGTTATTTACAAGGATTAAGTTTATAAATCTTTGGTATTTATTTAGGTTTACATTAATAATTTGAAGTAATGTTTACTATCATGCAATGACAATTAGGACACATTCAGATTCATACACTGTACTAACTAGATTGGTCCAACTATGAGGGGGATTCTTGCTAAAGTGCAATCAGTGAAATCAGTTCAATCAGCACATAACAGCTATTTACCCTCAGCTGCTTGAGGAGGCATGTCAGACAACTAACAGGCCTAACCAACTACCAGACTCGGCACCTACGGATCCAGAATAAACTGGTATATCAGACCACACTACCCGTTTTAAAGGTGTGTGTCAGATCGCATTACAGAGTATCAGCCACCACACCGATTTTGCCTGGTGCGCGATGTGATAGCGATGATCGTAGTAATATATAGACCCCGAGTCGGCGAGGGTTATGTGGCATACACGAGTGCATAGCACGAGTGGATGTCACATAACCCTCGCTGACGAGGGATCTATCTTATTTAGACCACGGGTCCATCAGCGGGTTATAACGCTTCCACCGTGGTCTAAAGCGGGGTTGGAAAGTAGTGCATCTCATCTAGATTCATGCGCTGCTGCAATTTTCTCTGTTTATGCTAAAGATCTGACAATACCGCAATTTTTAACATAAAATTTAGGTTCGAACATAGCCAATGATGTTTTGTAAATAAGAACTTGCAAACTTATATATTCATTTAGAAAAGTAGACCTAATTTTGATAGCGGAAGCATATTCTGTCGGGGGTTAAATATTTTCTGGACGAGATTCAGTGAGTCGTCTGTCCCCATGTTGTCACTCGGAACTACTCCGATGTCTCCGCACTCGACAATAGTATAGAGCTTGCGGAATGAGCCAAGGATTGCCGATTTCCATGTTGATGTATTCATACGACTCCTACTTGACGAAAACGAGGCGCGATACCCGGATGACAGGTAGGCTTACAAAATTTGTGATGGGGTATGATGCTCTGTAATGCGATCTGACACACACCTTGAAAACGGGTAGTGTGGTCTGATATACCGGTTTATTCTGGATCCGTAGGTGCCGAGTCTGGTAGTTGGGTAGGCCTGACTAAGATGGTTCCAATGATTGCACTTTAACAAGAATCCCCCACAGAGTTGGACCAACCCAGCTAGAACAATGTGTGAATTTGAATGCAGTAGTGAACACAGTCACTATTCCTCTTCTTCTTTACCTTAAGTTAATGCCAAACAGAATTGACAAAAAGGAAAATAAAACATTCCAAATACAAGGAAAAGGCACTTCTGCATACCTACAACTCTAAGGTGTCAAAGATCACAGAAATATCCAGAGCACAATTACCATTAAGAGTCAACTTCACTGAGACATAAAACCACAGGGGAAACTACCTCCTACTAGTATGTGAACAATTAACTTTCTTATCACAAAAATTAGGTTTCATTGATCATGAAAGTATGCACCAAGCAGTCATCTACATACATACTACTCTATCAAGAGAAGTAAAGATCATACTTAAGCTCGTGCATTATCTTTATGCTGTCATTAATAAAACAAGTAAATGCTCAGTGGGCTTTCCGACTTCCAAGAAAATCCATTCTGCGGTAATATGAAGACAGACAACAAGGCTTGCTTCAACACTGTTTTCATGTTCAGTTGAGAATAAAATAATTTGAGAAAAAATTATGGACAAGTATTTTAAAGGCCAGGGCAATATTTTCCATGTATAAGGTTTCCTACTCTTTTCTGACTACCTTCATGAGATCCTTTCTATAATCCCCCCCCCCACACTTTTTGGTTTTTTGAGGACAGCTTTTTGATACAAAATATACACTGTCTGAAATCATATTGCCAAAAGTCAACAAGCTGTATACAGAATGGCATCTATGTCCCATGTCTAATGTCCATCTAATGTTTGTTTCGAGGTCTTTAGTATGTCATGGATAAAAACAACAATGACAATGGCTAACAGTTTTGTGTCTCTAATAAGAGCACCACCTGGCCTTTCATCGGTTTACTTCAGTGCTCTGAAGTCACAGAGGGATTTGAAATTCCAATATAAGCCCGATAGACTAACTGTAAATCTACTTAATGTCCAATTACTAGCCAACATCAAGCCCAATTTCTCTGATTTGGCCAAGCTTTCAATTGATTCCTCCACCACGGACATGGCTCTAGACATCCTGGAGATCCCAGCAGAATTCTGTGAACACTGGTTTTCACTGACCTATCTGGTTGAGGTAATTTTGACTAAATACAGCATACTGGAAACTGGTTACAGTCCATACTATATAAGTACTACATACTTCCATCAAAATGGCCGTATAGGTACCAAAAGAAAGACTTTCAGCCCACGCTTTGTTCATATAAGTTCTGATTTGCCATATGATTAAATTAATTCAATTTGACTGAGGAAAATTTCTTTTAATTTTTTTTTTTTTTTTGAAAATTTGCCACTTTATCACTCTTTTAGTCTTATCTTACGTTTTTTTTTCTTCTTATATTACTTATCCAACTGGCTAAAACATCAAAATTTCTTGACATATAAAGTTCCACTGATATGAGAAAAAACAAAACTGAACCTAACCAACTTTATCAGAGTTACTTAAACTGATAAAAAAACCTACTCAAGTAATTTCAAACAACACAACAGCTGCATAATTTAAAAATGTGGTTTAATCATTTAAACTATTTCCCAAGTTGACTTTGCACGTTCATTGTGAAAAAAAAAAAATCCAGCAATCATTCCCAACTTCAGTTTTCAAATTGCACTTCTCCTTGCTGCTTTTTCCTTACTTTCTCCAGGCCAATAATAGATCAATACGTGACCTTATTTATTTTGCATTAATAGCTACGCAGACCATGCCCTGTGTGTGTAATAAGTAATGTCCAGATGGCTACTTTCTCAATACTCTGGTAGTACTATCAAATATTGACAATATTCACTTCTGTTGATTTTCCACAATCTAACTCATCAAATTATACAGAACTGAGCACAAATGTCTGAAAAGAGCCATTATACCAAGAAAACATTTTTTTACATCCAATGCCATATCTACGCATTCCATCGTTAGAGGGGTGAAAGTTCTACCTGGAGCATAGACTCTTTAAAACAGTAGATGTATGTATCAACCAAAATTATTTGGCTGTGTCGTGCACTGGGAGAAGGGGAGAGTCTCAGTGAGGGTGATTCTTTCACATACTAGCTGGGTTCTTAAGCTGTCAGTCTCTCCAAACACACATATACAGATGAAACGCTAAAAAAAAGGCCCAATGTGAAAAGGCCTTCACTCACCATGTGGAGATATTATACTGACTGGTTCTGTTGGTTTCTTGTAGTTCCATGTAACTAAACTGCCGTCAGACAGACTACACATAAACTGTTTTCCATCTTGTTCCCAGGTTATGGACCTCAGAGCCTGGAACAGGAATGGTACAACTCTCAAGCATGTCAGTGACACATTGCTGAACATAATGTTCACAAAGATGTTTTAAAAAGGTAATAGAGTTTAATTGAAGTATATCGTACCTGTGGATTATTAAAGCGATATTCTGCTGCCTTTGACTTCAGGTCCCAAAACACAACTACACCAGTCTCAAAACCAATCAAAAGCTGGAAAACAAAGCATATGAATGAAGGAATGAGTACATGAGAAATCTGCAATATCAAACAAATATAAATCAATTAATAACATAATCAACATCAAAAAATCTCAAAAACTACTTTGGTGGGCCAATTAAAAGCTGTCTAAAATATGTTAAACATCAACATTGGTTGATAGCAGTAATCCCCAGGTCCCAGTTTCACAAAAAAACTTAAGTCAAATCCTTGGCTCAGTTGACTAGGATTTCCATGAGAGAACTGTTACACTGTTCCTGATTGGGTAAGATGTGCCCATGTGACCATGTAACCATGGTAATTAAGTTCTTAGCCAGTACAACTTTAGTGTGTGGTAGGCCAGTACTGCAGTCCTACCTTGCCAGCATCCACGGGGTTATCACTCAGGTGCACAATTGGTCCAGGATGGGTTCTCTGAGACCTGGGAACACAAGAAAGCTCTTTCATACCAAAAAACAACAAAAAATATTGCAAATCTCTATTTAAAAATTGTTTGAACAAATAGGATGGCCTGTAGTAAGTGTCACAACACAATGCAAAACATGTGCAGAGAGTTCCATGCAAACACAATGCAATGCATAGAACTTAAAGAGGCATTGCAAAACTGCACGCAAAATACACAGATTAATCATGTCAGCCAAGAACTGAAAATTGACTGTTCACAGCTAATAGAACAGAAGGTGTTAGCAGCCTGCAACCTTTCAGAATTGCCAAAAAATGAAAGACATTGAATCCATCGGATACTTTACCAGATCACGTTTCCAAATCGGAAACGGACACTGCTCTCGTTACCAGATAATGCACCATTATCAATATCACGAACAAACCTGGAAGAAAATACCTGGTACAGACCTCTACTCATTTTGAATATACCACACAATTGTGCTGTATTCCATTATATATCTCTCCCTCTTTCTCTGTCACATGTTTGCTTAAAAATGATGTTGTGACACTTTCAGGCCTTCTCAATTATTATTATTATTGCAATTCATTACTAGGTTACTTGAGCATATTTCAAGTCTTTTTTTCAATCATTTAAGATCCTACCAAAACAACCCTCTCAGCATATGGTATAACAAGAAAGAGCACATAAACGTCTTTCAGCTAAACCCATGTTTAAGCATTTAAGCATGGCAAATGCATTTACAAATTTCACTTTTTTAATGTTTAGCAGAAAGAATTACATTCAGTTTAATCTGTATCTTATAACATGATTTTGTCATACCCAGGTCCTGGTTCAGCAATCATGCAATATGTAATAATGTAAAAGCTGCCTATGGGCCACACCAACTCAAACACTAGATCACAGCCAAAAAAATTGTCATTAACTGGAACTGGCCTTAGATAGTAGGGGGAAAAAATGATGCCTTTACTGGAGTTCCAGAGGGTGTATTCAGAAAAGGTTTTTGTACTCAACTAGGGAACAATGTGCCATGGAGTCACTCATGCAGGTATGTGGTATACCATGAAAGTTAATTAATAACTGTCTGCGTTTGACAAAATGATGTTATGATACACTACAGCAGACATTTTAAGAATTATATTCATGGTACAAAGTGAATATACTAGGTATTTTCAAAAGGAGTGAGTATGACAGAGCTGTTGAGGGGCAAGTATTAAGTAATCCTATAACATCAAGCAACTACAATTATGTCAACCACTATTAATATATACAACATTGTTAAATGAACGCTCGCATTAATATGCCAGTCACCAAAACAGTTTTAATTAAAACAATCTACATAATTAATACTGTCCTTGCATTTGGTTCAACGGGTAGACCTGGGTATGGCACCACTTCAATCATCTGTGAATATAAACACAACAACATATATCCACATCCAAGGAGAGATCAAATTATGAACAACCATCTGTGACATATTACTCACAGCTCTATAGCCTTGTTCCAGTTGATTACATATCCAGAGAGCTGGAATGACTCCACATTGGCTATGTGCACATTGCCACGCTCTGTGCCTATGTACAACCATTTGCTTTGGAATGGAATATGACAATATGTGATCCTGAAAAATGAAATATATTCAATGTATAACATGCATACAGTACAGAGGTCATGGGTGTAGATGCATTTATGTACACATAATAAATATACAAACAATCATTATCTTATTGCAGCAAATGGGATAGAAAGATGTCCTATTCAATACATAGTAGATCACTGTTTCTGGGCTAACCACCATTCCTCGGTGTATTCAGTTTATGATTTCTCTCAGAAACCGTTAAATCCAACTAAATGTTAAAAAGCAAAAGCTTATTCCACAAAGGATTGGGAAAACAAGCAACCAAAAGTATCAAACGGGTTGATATTAAAATGACATTTTAAATAAGCTCTCAGATTCTTACTCCAACTGTATATAGTTTCTACTATCATTATCATGCTGGCAGAGGTACTTTATTATGATGATTTAAGCAGACATTCTTATTTAATATTACGCAGAATCCATATTTACACAAATTTAATACAATGAATATATAAATTTGAAAACCTTGTTCATTAACCTAGAATGACTCAATGGTTTGTTTGTATTAATAAAATTTCACCACTGGTATATTATTCCATACATCATTAACCTCATCTTTAATAAAACTGGAAGATAAATTGCTTAAATGAGGACTGATATAACTTGAGGACCGGCTTGCTGGCTATACTGCCAGAAAGTTCTATAATGGCAAACTTCTTGCATGCTTGTGTTTTGGTTTGTTTATTTCATTTATTTTGAGCACTGGCCGAGGACAGCTGAACAAATCTGCCATGAACTGGAACTGGCTGCACGAAAAAAAGTATCAACGTTACAATAACATGTTTTTTCTTCTTTTTTTTTTCCTTTTCACATAAACCAGCATGATCAAACACGGAATTATCTGAAACCAATTCTAAGCAAGCAATTCCAGGAAACACAACCCATCACCATACAACCTATTTATATCCAAGCAAATATGGGTGGCAGGGGAACTTGCTGCACTTTAACAACAATATAACAATTGTCTCAAGAGTACTTCACGGGAATCATTTCAGCAGGTCAAACACTAACAAGTCGTAACTGTTGTCAAGTTTATGCTACTCCAAACACTGAATTTCTTCAGCTAGTGAAAGGGGCAAACAAAAGAAGGGCTAGGGAGGAGTGATGTCCTAGAAACTATCTTCATAATAGACTGACCACTCCCCTAATCTACTCCAAAGATGAGAATCATGTCAACATGCAATGCTCCCATTGCTTTAAAAGATTAGATCCACAAAACCATTTGGCATGACAAACCAATGGTTGTGGTACAATTACTGCATTGAAAAATCTTTTACAAAGTAATTATAATGAAAGAGGAATTTCTAACATTGGCTTCATGCAGCTTACCTTTCTCTTTGGAATTTCAAGGAATGTACAATTTCTGGGTTTTTCTGCCTCAGGTTCCAGAGATGGATTACATCATTAGAACATACTGTTATCAGAGCACCCTGCAATTCACAACATATATCCAGTGCAAGAAAAAAAGAAAGAAATTGTAATCTATATTCTACAGGCACATACAAGTAAATATTCACTAGATCATTCTTATGACAATTGCTTTAGAATACAATGCGAGGATGAATTAATGCCAGTTATCCCATTTCCCCCCTTTCCGTCAAACAGTAAAAAATGATAGCCCTATGCATGACATTATGATAGATCATGTGCATCATCGTGTATTATGCATCCATACATTGCCTTTAATTGCTGTCAATGCTGTTCATAAAGCATAATAGATGGCAGACTGGTACATGGAAATAAATATATTGGTTTTAACAAAAGTTTTGTCAATTAACTACAGTCCTTTGTTTTTAGTATCATTCCAACCCCCCTCCCCCATCTGATGATTGAGTTTCACCATATATCTGATTTAAAAAAAAAAAAAAAAACGGCATTAACATTACTCTCACCTCATTTGTAAGGAACATAATCTGCAAGACTGCAACATCCCCATCATGTCGGATATGAACATCTACCCCTGGTCTTCCAAATCTGATGTTTGTTAAGGAAAACAAATTTCCTTATATCTATTTTCTATCAAAAGAAGTAAGAAGTGAATGAACTATGAATCATTCTGCATTAACAATGGCAAAGCAATTGCACATTAATAGAGCTAAGTACTGTTTGGAACCAATGATGCATATAATTTCTTGTAGAAACTTATCTTCAAGCAGTGATGTGTAAAGAGGTGTTAAGAATTGTGTTACGTGTTTTACATATTTGGCATTTGAAACTACATTTTCTGAGGGAAAAACTCAAAATGCATTTAGTGTTATCATTCTTTGTATATTTTTATTTTTTCATTTTCTTAATTCATCTTTTTTTTATCATCATCATAGTCATCATTATCATCATCAACATCATGTTCAAGAAGGATAATTAAATCTATTCTACAGTATTAATGATTCAACCTTTGGTTTGACTTTGACTTTTCCCCCTAACTTCATCCTACTCCAGTCCCATAAAAGAAGAAATCTAGAGGAAAAGGTACACAACTTAATACAATTTAATAAAAATGAATATTCCCACATGCAATTACAGGTCTTTGGGATAATTTACTTAAACGCAGTATCAGCACCAAAGAATGCATTGCAATGGACACAGTGTGTGCTGTGCAATTCGATGGACTGTATCCTGCAAGCCTGTGAGTCTTGTCTAGACTTCTACTTGCCTGTCAAAAAAAACTGTAAGAAAGTCCAAACATCAAAAAGACAAAAATGAGAGACATAGTATGCATATAATGTAGTTACATTGCGAAACTGCATGCATCTTAGAACATCTTCCTTGACTTTTGTTCAAGCCTTAACAATAATTATAACAAGCCCATATCTTTAAATGCCACAAACAGATATAACATCTTTTTGGTTTCATAGTTGGCATTCAGTCTTTTCTAGGAAATAAGTCAGGCTTAGTATAGCAAGTGTAATACCTAACACTTAATCCCAATGCATCAGATGGCGGAAAAAAAACTTAATAATTAAGACATATCTATAAAAAAAAAAAGCTAAAGAAAATGGATACATACAGTGAAAGCTATCTCCCACTTATCTAAGTTCATGCCTTTTCTTTGCACAAAATATGGGGTCTCGACTATTGAATGAAGGCATTTCACTTACTACTACCAATGATAAATCCAAAGCTAAAACACTACCTTTACTCTTGAAAGATCATTTTTTAAAGTCAAAAACCAATGTGTGTTTTCTAATATAAGCCTCTGCCTGCAGACTATTCTCAGGGGAAATAAAACAGTGGTACTAGATCAGTACACGGTAGTGAGGTTCAAGTCAACATCCAGTAGTAAAAAAAATATCTGGGAAAGCTGTCCAAAGGTAGATAACTCTCCTTTCATTTTATCTCAACTGCTGAAGGTTTTATTCTATTAACACTAAAATAATACAGTATCCAAGGTATAAGTATTGATTTACAATAGCTGAGATAAACAGCCCAGCCAGGAGGGTCTATCTATTGACTCTTCCTGCACTGACGTCAGTGGAGGCTTTGTACATTGGTTTTCCATGCTGCTGATTGGAGAGAGCTGCTTCACTTATCACCTTTGTGCATCTAAGGTCGCAAACAAGACAGAAGACAGAAAGGAAATTGAAGTCTTCTGTGTACAGGACAAACATTGACTAATATTGAGTGTCCCTGGATTGAGCAGACAGCAAACACAGAGATGCATTGCAGATTGTTTTTCAGTAATGTCATTAAAAAAATAATTGATTTATTTTACCATGATCTTTCAACTGTTTCAACACATGCTGTGTACAAAAATAACTTTCCTAACAATACCATTACGGGTTGGGTGGTCATTTCCATATACTGTTAAGAAGTAACCCTAAATCTGATAAATCATTACAATGATTTAATCAGAAAAAAAAAACATACAAATATTGTGATCTTATAGCATATTGATAACAATTTCTTTCAGGCATATCTAGAAAAAAGTTTGGCATAGCCAAAGAATATTTCATGGTCAGCCCCATCTCAAGACTGTGGTCTATTTGTGTTCAAGTGCAACGTGCACAGGTCCAATTTTCCTTTGAGGAATACTCTTATTGAGGTCAGTGGTCCCATTTGTATTGTATAAGTGTCATAGCTTGACTAATTTAACCAATGTACTAGTACTGGTACAAAATACCATTAAGCTTGAAGTTTTCTCAAGCACTTCCCATTTTAAATCACTAAGTTCAGTTCAGCAAATTTCACGTTTTACTTTGGATGATAGTGTGTATATGTTTGTAGTACATATGGAACTTGGAATGGAACAAACACAAAAAGCACTACACATGGGAAAAATATCAACTGCTTTCCCGTTTACCAAATCCAGGTACCAGTGGTATCAATACAACCTTTGAATTTATATATAGTCTTCCTTATCAGACCATTCATTATGCAGTTGCAAATCTGTTTTGATGTAAATGTCATTTACAGAAAATAATCCATATAAAACAGTAATTAGCAGACTTTTTTCATGTTTATCACATATATGCAAAATGTAAACCTCAGACCCTTATAAAAGTGAAGGCCATTTTAATTCTAATGAGTGAAAGTTGCAGAGATGCACATTAATAGCCTACATACTAAATCGGAGGTAAAACCAAATCCCCATAAAATATGTCACTACATACAACATTTACCTTGAAGACAAAAACCCTCTAAACTAAAAGATCTTCAATTATATTTGGGTGTCTTTTATCAATCTAAACATACATGCCCACAAAGCATATGCCAAGGTAAAAGCATGCAAACAGTTTGAATATGCCAAAAAAGAGGAAGCCTTCGATATTGTTTTGCTGATATTACAAAAGCAACTACACAGAACGATTGTAGTAAACAGCGTCATGCTATCAGAGATGATCCAGGCAGTACCTGCAATGTGGAACAACAACATGTCTGCAATATTACATTAGCCGTATTGATTCACAGAACTGTCTATCCAGGACTGTGACTTACAATATTGCAGCTAATCCCACAGCCACTCAATATGTGGTCATCCAGGGACCTGGAAAATACACCAGTTAATCAGAAACAGTCAGAAATTCAGACCAGAAACCTTCATTAAGTATAATTTACACCATGCTTAAATGATCCTAGAATAATTGATCTGGTCTTTTTATTGTTGTAATTGTAAATGTTTGCAGTATGTTCAAAACATAACAGAGCGAGGGACATCTTTTATGTACTTGTTTTGCCATCTCTTTCCTTAGCTTTTCCCAAAAGAGATATTTCTACAGACCAGTTAAGCTCTGCCCAAACTACACATGATTGTATCTTGTGAGTATACATTGTTTCATGTCAGGGGGAAAAACCACCACAACAATTGTACTTCAGAATTTAATCTAATCTAATTTAGTGCCTAAATTTTTGGGTATTTGGGAACATGTGAACAGAAATACACATGATGAGAAGAGAACTTCCGAGTAGAATCCAAAATTTTACAAACCCAATTAATTATTCACTGTAAAAGCACAGTATCTAAGCTATATGCATTGCGATTATAGGTGGCCTTCTAATACAGGCAGAAAATCAATACCTGTATCAAGCATGAATATATGCAAACCAGCCTCCTACCTAGCTCCTTTGTTGCTCTCTAGAACTGGATTTAGAGGAAGAGACAGATTTGGGATAAAATGTATTTGGGGCTCTTTCTGAAATAAGTTCAATTCAAATGTGGAGAGATCAGATAATTTTTTTATCTAGTACAGATATATATGCACTGCCATGTATTGGCATCAGGACTCTGTGTTGGATAAAAAAGCATAGAGAAGAGTGCAGAAATCCACACAATAGCCTCGAAATCTAATCAATATTTGTTAATGACTCTGACCATCACTGAACATTCCTTTTGTCTGTATCAATGTTTCTCTTGGCAAATGTGCAACAACAATTCTCCTTTTTTTCTAGGAAATAATCTACTTACTGATTATTGATTATTCTCAACACCAAACTTTTCACACTGAATCTGCTGCTTTCTTGATCTTTTTTTTTTCCTTTTTTAGCGTAAGTTATGGAAAATCCCCATGTTCAACTCCTTATACTGTACTGATGCATCTTCACTTCTTAGTTCACACTGGTGAACTAGGTGACTTATTATCAGATAAAAAATAACGTTTATGCCATTCTTGCTTTTAATAACACTGTACTTTGGATTAAGCTATTTCATGTTAATTCACTAGTGTTTATATTAAGAGGTGAAATAGGTTAATCCGTGTCTAGCTGCTGCCTAGAGTGTCCATACTGGTTAATGCATTTCAAAGCAGCATTGAGGGCAAATTACTATCTATTGATTTTTGAAATACATCTGGACTTTCTACTGGATGAAGCATTGTCAGTTCCACTACAGCTCTGATGGAATCTGGGTTCACAACACATAGATCTACTGTCGTTCCGAATTAGGTTTTCTATCACCAAAATCCAATTACTTTCGAGCTTGACGTGTTGGTGGAAAAAATTAAACAGAAAGAAGACACTTGCAAGGATTAATTAAGTCATAAAGAGAAAATGCTCAAGTTTCCTTGCTCAAGATAACAAGACAAAAGTTATCAAATCACACAACTGAAAAATCTAGTTTAATTGATGTAAGCAGATGAGAATTGGTCTTTTATATGCAAAAAGTATTGTGCACAAAATTGTAATTACCATAACCCAAAAATAAAAGAAAAGGAGGTTCACAAAAGTCTGATACAGTGACATTTTGCCAAAGCCACAACCTTACCTCAAGTTCACTGCAACAGAAACTTCAAACCAAAAATTTCCTTACAATCAATTCCCCTTAAGACAACCAGCATTACTTCCTATAGCAATGTTTATAAATCTGTTTGGAGACCTCTGATGAAAAATTGTTACTAATATTCTGTCATGTGCTGTGGTAAGGGACAACCTAATGTTTTGCAGTTTGTTTTTAAATAAATAAAATGCTATTAAACAGTATCATTAAGGGCAAAGTTGATTCATCCCGGACTACGTACTTACCATCTCAAGATAAGCTCAAACCCATTCTTTAAATAATTTATTTATTCATTTTTCTCAATAATATTCATGTTAGTAAACAAAATTCCTATCACAAGCTCAGATGGAGACAATTAAGGGCACACAAGGTGAAACCTTTATACAAAGTGTAAAAATCTTTTTCTTCATACAACATACATGTATCTTTTTGAACAAAAAAAATGCACTTTTTCCATATAAAAATGGGATTTGAGAAATGTGCAAAGACATGAACAGACTTAAAATTTTTAAAGCCTCTAAACACATGGAGCGCACTTATAAATAACAACCTGGGTGTAAGTGACAAAATAACTAGCACACATTCAGTTCAGAACAAGCCCATCCTTAACAATTACTTCAATTCAAAGGAATGAAGACAATTGTATATTCTATTCATAATATTCTAGAATACCAGATCAGCTACCACAGATACGTAGCAATGCTGGTAAGTGAAAATCAATAAAACCGGTTTTCTCAATTCCAATTAAATCAATTACCAGAACTTAAAAAGACTGAAATGGACAACTACAGGATGGAATAAAGGACTTAAAGATTAAAATATAGAATTAATCAGAATACTGACTTATATGTAAATAAATAGTATTAAAAGTTACCCCTCCTGGTTAGATGCATGTGCACTTATATGTGTTTATATTTACATGTATGCATGTATGTTCTCTGTGTGCAAACGAGAAATGAATTGAATTAATATCTCCTATAAAACAAAACAAACTAATAGATGGACAGGCACAAAATGGGACTATTCACACTTATAATAAAATATGATAAAGATCCTATTAAAAATATCAAAATAAATCCATATTCTATACCCCCAAAACCTCAAATGAGCACTTCTGAAGCATACAATTGGTAACATATTAGAATCATGCCAAAACAGAAATGTGGCTAATTTTGCAAATATTCGTAATGGGTACATTGTTTTGTACATACATCCTTGCTATCTTGAATACCATGTTTCTTCATCGTTATTTTTCATGAAATAATTTATTATTTTCTTACCAATAAATGTCATAAACAGCAATACAAAGGATACATTCTCAGTGAGCCGTTCTTGGTTCCAATGGCCAATAGATGCTGAACAGGATCATAGGCTAGGGCAGTGGGCTGGTATGGAAAGCCATGTCGCACAGTCTATAAGAGAAAACATCAATTAATGAATTTGTTACTTATGATCAAAATGATACATATTTCTGACGTATCCACATGATCGCATCTCAGGTGAAAAAAAAACATTAACAATACGTTATGTTAAAGCAACCCTTGTTACTTTTAACACCTGATAACTTCAGTACATGTAAATGTGAAATTTCAATACTGTTTATGTTAATATCACGTTATGAGAGCATCAACATCTGAACAAACAAAGTGTACCAGGCACTCAAATTTCCTTTGATCTTGTTCTAAAAATATTTTATGACCATTATATACATATATAATTTACAGAGTACTTTCTTTGAACATAATAACAACATATCAGTTCATTATCCCAACCCATGTTTATTTAAAATCCTTCAAATTTCAGACATGTAGCATATAATATATAGGTCTTAGAGCGGATTCTCAACGAATTGCGCCAGGCTTTACAAAGCCAGTGACCTAAAAATGGCGGACGTACATGAAAGAAAACCCGCCTAATCTTTTAATAGTCTCTCCGCCTCCCCACACGTCGTCCCTGCGGGGTACAGTAATTAAATCTCGGCTCCAACCTCCAACTACGTCTACTGGGGCTGGGTAGTTCTGTGAATATCTCTGGTGATATTATCTCCGTAGAAAGTTGATTCGTTGCTGCTCTACGGGCCAATTCATTCCTTTTTCGCCNCATGCTGTGTACAAAAATAACTTTCCTAACAATACCATTATGGGTTGGGTGGTCATTTCCATACGGTTAAGAAGTAACCCTAAATCTGATAAATTATTACAATGATTTAATCAGAAAAAAAAAACATACAAATATTGTGATCTTATAGCATATTGATAACAATTTCTTTCAGGCATATCTAGAAAAAAGTTTGGCATAGCCAAAGAATATTTCATGGTCAGTCCCATCTCAAGACTGTGGTCTATTTGTGTTCAAGTGCAATGTGCACAGGTCCAATTTTCCTTTGAGGAATACTCTTATTGAGGTCAGTGGTCCCATTTGTATTGTATAAGTGTCATAGCTTGACTAATTTAACCAATGTACTAGTACTGGTACAAAATACCATTAAGCTTGAAGTTTTCTCAAGCACTTCCCATTTTTAATCACTAAGTTCAGTTCAGCAAATTTCATCAGTTTTACTTTGGATGATAGTGAATATGTTTGTAGTACATACGGAACTTGGAATGGAAGAAACACAAAAAGCACTACACATGGGAAAAATAACTGCTTTCCAGTTAACCAAATCCAGGTACCAGTGGTATCAATACAACCTTTGAATTTATATATAGTCTTCCTTATCAGACCATTCATTAGGCAGTTGCAAATCTGTTTTGATGTAAATGTCATTTACAGAAAATAATCCATATAAAACAGTAATTAGCAGACTTTTTTCATGTTTATCACATATATATGCAAAATGTAAACCTCAGACCCTTATAAAAGTGAAGGCCATTTTAATTCTAATGAGTGAACATTGCAGAGATGCACATTAATAGCCTACATACTAAATCAGAGTTAAAACCAAATCCCCATAAAATATAATGTCACTACATACAACATTTACCTTGAAGACAAAAACCTTCTAAACTAAAAGATCTTCAATTATATTTGGGTGTCTTTTATCAATCTAAACATACATGCCCACAAAGCATATGCCAAGGTAAAAGCATGCAAACACTTTGAATATGCCAAAAAAGAGGAAGCCTTCGATATTGTTTTGCTGATATTACAAAAGCAACTACACAGAACGATTGTAGTAAACAGCGTCATGCTATCAGAGATGATCCAGGCAGTACCTGCAATGTGGAACAACAACATGTCTGCAATATTACATTAGCCGTATTGATTCACAGAACTGTCTATCCAGGACTGTGACTTACAATATTGCAGCTAATCCCACAGCCACTCAATATGTGGTCATCCAGGGACCTGGAAAATACACCAGTTAATCAGAAACAGTCAGAAATTCAGACCAGAAACCTTCATTAAGTATAATTTACACCATGCTTAAATGATCCTAGAATAATTGATCTGGTCTTTTTATTGTTGTAATTGTAAATGTTTGCAGTATGTTAAAAACATAACAGAGCGAGGGACATCTTTTATGTACTTGTTTTGCCATCTCTTTCCTTAGCTTTTCCCAAAAGAGATATTTCTGCAGACCAGTTAAGCTCTGCCCAAACTATACATGATTGTACCTAGTGAGTATAGATTGTTTCATGTCAGGGGGAAAAAACCACCACAACAATTGTATTTCAGAATTTAATCTAATCTAACTTAGTGCCTAAATTTTTGGGTATTTTGGAACATGTGGACAGAAATATACATGATGAGAAGAGAACTTCCGAGCAGAATCCAAAATTTTACAAACCCAATTAATTATTCACTGTAAAAGCACAGTATCTAAGCTATATGCATTGCGATTATAGGTGGCCTTCTAATACAGGCAGAAAATCAATACCTGTATCAAGCATGAATATATGCAAACCAGCCTCCTACCTAGCTCCTTTGTTGCTCTCTAGAACTGGATTTAGAGGAAGAGACAGATTTGGGATAAAATGTATTTGGGACTCTTTCTGAAATAAGTTCAATTCAAATGTGGAGAGATCAGATAATTTTTTTATCTAGTACAGATATATATGCACTGCCATGTATTGGCATCAGGACTCTGTGTTGGATAAAAAAAAGCATAGAGAAGAGTGCAGAAATCCACACAATAGCCTCGAAATCTAATCAATATTTGTTAATGACTCTGACCATCACTGAACATTCCTTTTGTCTGTATCAATGTTTCTCTTGGCAAATGTGCAACAACAATTCTCCTTTTTTTCTAGGAAATAATCTACTTACTGATTATTGATTATTCTCAACACCAAACTTTTCACACTGAATCTGCTGCTTTCTTGATCTTTTTTTTCCTTTTTTAGCGTAAGTTATCGAAAATCCCCATGTTCAACTCCTTATACTGTACTGATGCATTTTCACTTCTTAGTTCACACTGGTGAACTAGGTGACTTATTATCAGATAAAAAATAACGTTTATGCCATTCTTGCTTTTAATAACACTGTACTTTGGATTAAGCTATTTCATGTTAATTCACTAGTGTTTATATTAAGAGGTGAAATAGGTTAATCCGTGTCTAGCTGCTGCCTAGAGTGTCCATACTGGTTAATGCATTTCAAAGCAGCATTGAGGGCAAATTACTATCTATTGATTTTTGAAATACATCTGGACTTTCTACTGGATAAAGCATTGTCAGTTCCACTACAGCTCTGATGGAATCTGGGTTCACAACACATAGATCTACTGTCGTTCCGAATTAGGTTTTCTATCACCAAAATCCAATTACTTTCGAGCTTGACGTGTTGGTGGAAAAAATTAAACAGAAAGAAGACACTTGCAAGGATTAATGAAGTCATAAAGAGAAAATGCTCAAGTTTCCTTGCTCAAGATAACAAGACAAAAGTTATCAAATCACACAACTGAAAAATCTAGTTTAATTGATGAAAGCAGACAAGAATTGGTCTTTTATATGCAAAAAGTATTGTGCACAAAATTGTAATTACCATAACCCAAAAATAAAAGAAAAGGAGGTTCACAAAAGTCTGATACAGTGACATTTTGCCAAAGCCACAACCTTACCTCAAGTTCACTGCAACAGAAACTTCAAACCAAAAATTTCCTTACAATCAATTCCCCTTAAGACAACCAGCATTACTTCCTATAGCAATGTTTATAAATCTGTTTGGAGACCTCTGATGAAAAATTGTTACTAATATTCTGTCATGTGCTGTGGTAAGGGACAACCTAATGTTTTGCAGTTTGTTTTTAAATAAATAAAATGCTATTAAACAGTATCATTAAGGGCAAAGTTGATTCATCCCAGACTACGTACTTACCATCTCAAGATAAGCTCAAACCCATTCTTTAAATAATTTATTTATTCATTTTTCTCAATAATATTCGTGTTAGTAAACAAAATTCCTATCACAAGCTCAGATGGAGACAATTAAGGGCACACAAGGTGAAACCTTAATACAAAGTGTAAAAATCTTTTTCTTCATACAACATACATGTATCTTTTAGAACAAAAAAAAATGCACTTTGTCCATATAAAAATGGGATTTGAGAAATGTGCAAAGACATGAACAGACTTAAAATTTTTAAAGCCTCTAAACACATGGAGCGCACTTATAAATAACTACCTGGGTGTAAGTGACAAAATAACTAGCACACATTCAGTTCAGAACAAGCCCACCCTTAACAATTACTTCAATTCAAAGGAATGAAGACAATTGTATATTCTATTCATAATATTCTAGAATACCAGATCAGCTACCACAGATATGTAGCAATGCTGGTAAGTGAAAATCAATAAAACCGGTTTTCTCAATTCCAATTAAATCAATTACCAGAACTTAAAAAGACTGAAATGGACAACTACAGGATGGAATAAAGGACTTAAAGATTAAAATATAGAATTAATCAGAATACTGACTTATATGTAAATAAATAGTATTAAAAGTTACCCCTCCTGGTTAGATGCATGTGCACTTATATGTGTTTAATTTACATGTATGCATGTATGTTCTCTGTGTGCAAACGAGAAATGAATTGAATTAATATCTCCTATAAAACAAAACAAACTAATAGATGGACAGGCACAAAATGGGACTATTCACACTAATAATAAAATATGATAAAGATCCTATTAAAAATATCAAAATAAATCCATATTCTATACCCCCAAAACCTCAAATGAGCACTTCTGAAGCATACAATTGGTAACATGTTAGAATCATGCCAAAACAGAAATGTGGCTAATTTTGCAAATATTCGTAATGGGTACATTGTTTTGTACATACATCCTTGCTATCTTGAATACCATGTTTCTTCATCATTATTTTCCATGAAATAATTTATTATTTTCTTACCAATAAATGTCATAAACAGCAATACAAAGGATACATTCTCAGTGAGCCGTTCTTGGTTCCAATGGCCAATAGATGCTGAACAGGATCATAGGCTAGGGCAGTGGGCTGGTATGGAAAGCCATGTCGCACAGTCTATAAGAGAAAACATCCATTAATGAATTTGTTACTTATGATCAAAATGATACATATTTCTGATGTATCCACATGATCGCATCTCAGGTGAAAAAAAAACATTAACAATATGTTATGTTAAAGCAACCCTTGTTACTTTTAACACCTGATAACTTCAGTACATGTAAATATGAAATTTCAATACTGTTTATGTTAATATCATATTATGAGAGCATCAACATCTGAACAAACAAAGTGTACCAGGCACTCAAATTTCCTTTGATCTTGTTCTAAAAATATTTTATGACCATTATATACATATATAATTTACAGAGTACTTTCTTTGAACATAATAACAACATATCAGTTCTTTATCCCAACCCATGTTTATTTAAAATCCTTCAAATTTCAGACATGTAGCATATAATATATAGGTCTTATTCACTCAAACATTCTGGTGGCTTTTATAAACAAATGCTGAGAGGTGAGAGTCACCTTCTGAGAACATGTACCACCAACCAGGCATGAGCTTGAATGGGATAAAAGATAGATTTGACAAAATACAACCATGTCAACAGGGATTTTTGAACTTTTAAAAACACCTGTCCAAATGCCCCAACTAATCCCAACCTTAGTATTTTAAGTCGTCAACAAATGTGACTAATCAATTCCAATCCTCATAAAGTTGCAAAATCTTAAAACAATATTTTCATCACTATAATACAGTCAAATTTCTTGTTACCTTGAATAATAGGTGAAAGGTCAATATCTAATCAAGGCAATGAAAGAGCTAGATTTGTGATTGGAATGGTATCTTGAAGAAAGGTATGCATAAGATCAATGTATTCATTGGCAGACAAAATAACAGGTTAACATGACTGTCCTCATCTTAGTATGAAGCCTCTTTGGTTAAGAGCATCACAACCTGAAATCAAAGCACGCTGTAGTGTGCCTTATCAACTTACTTTGAGATACCAAAGAATTAGAATCATATTTTAGCTGAATGTAACCTCCTACTGTTTCTCAAAAAAAAAAAAAAATCCACTATCAAACCAAAAAATTAACCTGACATATTTATGCTTATAAATTAGTGTCAAAACATTAACCTTTTTAAAAAATCTTAATTATGATGTGAGTACGTACCAAGGTATTTCACTCAGAATGTCTTATAGAAATGTTTCTATATAGAAGTGCACCACACCTGTTCAAACAAATGGTCTCAAAAACATCTCCAAGGCAGCTTCAATGATCGCAACCTTCCTTCACAAGCATTATATTATCATTACTCTCTGTTGTTTGTGTTGTTGAAAAAGGCAAATGAGCAGAAATTCTATATTGTTCTTTACTGTAATAATGAGACATGTGAAAAGCAAGTTAATAGAAATATTTTAGCTTGAGGCACCTCAAAATCAAGTAGTAATATTGATTACGTGCATGCAGGTTGAGGCAAGCATTGATCTGTTACTTTAAGTTTAGTCCGAGTGAATATAATATATCTGAACAGAATGCCACATGACCAATTAACCACAAACATTATATAAACAACATGAAGCTTACAGCTGGTTCTAAAGTATACCACTGAAATAATAGTGTAATATCATTAAATCTAAGAGCGCATTCTCATCGAATTAAGCCAGGCTTTACAAAGCCGGTGACCTAAAAATGGCGGACGTACATGAAAGAAAAACCGTCTAATCTNTTATTCACTCAAACATTCTGGTGGCTTTTATAAACAAATGCTGAGAGGTGAGAGTCACCTTCTGAGAACATGTACCACCAACCAGGCATGAGCTTGAATGGGATAAAAGATAGATTTGACAAAATACAACTATGTCAACAGGGATTTTTGAACTTTTAAAAACACCTGTCCAAATGCCCCAACTAATCCCAAACTTAGTATTTTAAGTCGGTCAACAAATGTGACTAATCAATTCCAATCCTCATAAAGTTGCAAAATCTTAAAACAATATTTTCATCACTATAATACAGTCAAATTTCTTGTTACCTTGAATAATAGGTGAAAGGTCAATATCTAATCAAGGCAATGAAAGAGCTAGATTTGTGATTGGAATGGTATCTTGAAGAAAGGTATGCATAAGATCAATGTATTCATTGGCAGACAAAATAACAGGTTAACATGGCTGTCCTCATCTTAGTATGAAGCCTCTTTGGTTAAGAGCATCATAACCTGAAATCAAAGCACACTGTAGTGTGCCTTATCAACTTACTTTGAGATACCAAAGAATTAGAATAATATTTTAGCTGAATGTAACCTCCTACTGTTTCTCAAAAAAAAAAAAAATCCATTATCAAACCAAATAAAAATTAACCTGACATATTTATGCTTATAAATTAGTGTCAAAACATTAACCTTTTTTAAAAATCTTAATTATGATGTGAGTACCAAGGTATTTCACTCAGAATGTCTTATAGAAATGTTTCTATATAGAAGTGCACCACACCTGTTCAAACAAATGGTCTCAAAAACATCTCCAAGGCAGCTTCAATGATCGCAACCTTCCTTCACAAGCATTATATTATCATTACTCTGTTGTTTGTGTTGTTGAAAAAGGCAAATGAGCAAAAATTATATATTGTTCTTTGCTGTAATAATGAGGCATGTGAAAAGCAAGTTAATAGAAATATTTTAGCTTGAGGCACCTCAAAATCAAGTAGTAATATTGATTACGTGCATGCAGGTTGAGGCAAGCATTGATCTGTTACTTTAAGTTTAGTCCGAGTGAATATAATATATCTGAACAGAATGCCACATGACCAATTAACCACAAACATTATATAAACAACATGAAGCTTACAGCTGGTTCTAAAGTATACCACTGAAATAATAGTGCAATATCATTAAATCTAAGTTTCTATTCAAAGTTTCTACACACACACACACACACACACACACACACACACACACACACTTTGAATTTCACTATCATTGCCAGTGTTAATAAACAACAATAGATTTGCTCCCTAATAATTTGTCATGACTTCATGGTAAATTCAGAAAATATTGATATATTTGTGTAATATGCACAGTCAGGTGTTTTATAAGATCAGAACAAGGTCAAGCAGACTTCCACATCAACCCAGTTCTACTCATTTTTACCTCTTCAGTAATTATAGGTTACAAATGTTACAACCTACTCAATCATTGTTAGAACTTTCTCTCTGTGATATTTGGGTCAGTGGCATAAAAATCACCCATGGTGAAAATGGGCAAAAACAGGTCTAGGCTTTGTACAAATTGAATTATTTCTTTGTTTATTTGTTGGCCAAGTACAACATCACCCATGGTGAAAACGGGCAAAAACAGGTCTAGGTTTTGTACAAATTAAATTATTTATTTAATTGTTTGTTTATTTGCCAAGTACAATATATATATAAAGCCCCTACACATTCAATACTGAGCATAAGGTTAGCAACCTGTCCTCTATAATGCCATCAAATTTACCGAGCCTGGATGAAGATACTAGTGAGTGATTTGCTGACAAATAGTGATAGCAGCCCACTTACTCCTATCCTACTACAAAGGTGTATAATATCATAAATTACTGATTTCATCCACTGATATGTCCAATAATGCTTTATACAATTTAACAGATTGTAAATGTCAAGAGATGGGGTCAAGCTTGGCATCTCAACTTACTTCAGGTCAAATTTGGCACCTTTCTATCCATCACTTGCATGAATGATGACGCACGTGTCCAAATTATCAATAAGATATCATTCTGATTCTGATAAACACCAACAGAGATTCTTATGTTAATTTGTATAAATAATGAATTAAACCTGCTTATAGACACTGCAATCTACCTCCTGGTGTGTTTGTCTTAAGTTTTGAGAAAGGATAGAGTATAAATTCACAATCAAACAGTTACACCTTTTCTGTGACTGTAGTCCTTCCACCATTTTCTGACACTGTCTTCATATACATAACTACCTTGGCTTAAAATAATCCAACTTCTTTGGATGACCTTCATTTTGTATGAAATTCTATAGACAGATACTATTCAAGCTTTCCAATACTGACCAATCAAACACAGTGAGCAAATTATTAGAAAGCAATACTTTATCAAAAGAGGTTTTGATCATTTATTCATTCATTCAAAAACTAAACCAAAATGCAATTTCTATATATAATGAAAGCAGATGAAAATTTGAATACTGTTAACATATAATGTTAAAGTAATTACTTTAGATAAAACAGTTGCTTTAGATCAAGTGACTGTGAAAGTCATTTGCTTCTAAAAAAATTATAAATATATAAGGTGCTTATTTGAATTTAAAATGGCATAAAACATAAATACCAGAGTGCAGGGAGGAAAGTGATCATAATTCATGTTTTTCAAAGCATTTTTCAGCAGAGCATTACAGTCAAGCTAAATTACAGCATAAATGATCCCAGATCACTGGTAGAATTACAGTCAAGCTACTAGTAAGTTACAGTGTGAAAGATTGCAAAATACTGGGAAACTTACAGTCAAGCTAGTTACACCTTTAACGATTGCAAAATACTGGGAGATGAATTACAACTGGAAAACATACTCATTTAACTCTGTGCAAGCAAACACTTCAGGAATTTAAGGAGAAAAAGCAGAATTAAGAGATTGGACACCTTCCAATGTTATTCAGACTGTCTATAATATAACTGTCTTATAAAACAAAACTACTACCCAGTATATGTGACAAGTATAATGTGTGTATGTTGTTAACTTCTAGCGCACACCATATGTAAATACCTACTGAACCACTTAAGAAATGTTTAAGATAATGCCATCCTCAACCATAGTTCCATGTTGGTTAAAAATGCAATACCCATTTTGGAACCAAAACTCGAAATATGATGGCAATGTCTGAGAGAAACCAACAAATACATCAAGCAATTCGCGATTTCAGACAAGCTTTTGATACAGTCTTTTGTAAAAAATCTCTATTTGACAACCTTGAGGCAAACGCCATAACTGCTTACATTTTCACACAGCTTAGAGTCTTCCTGGTTAACCACAGCATAGAAGTCATAGTTGTGACAGAATCAAATCACAATCAGCCAAGGTCTTCTCTGGATTTCTCCAGGTACAAGCCTAGGCCCAATACTTTTCCTCTGCCATATTTTATAATCTACCTAAAACCTTGAAATCTCAAAACAGAATCTATTGAACCTTAAAATCTAAGCAGAGCCAGACATAAAATTTTGCTAAAAACTGCTAGTGAGTAAAACTATTCTAGCCAGAAACTGTCCTTTTTTCTACCAATTAGTTGATGGAGTCACTAAAATGCTGACAGATCTCAACCTGAACATTACATACAAGAAAGCTCAATTTGAGGATGGATATATACTAGTAGGGGAATATATATATATATATATATATATATATATATATTCCCCTACTAGTATAATATGGTTGATGATTCATATATTGTGTTCTGCCAAGTGTCTCTTCATGACACCCTTATATAAGCATGTAAAACCAACAAATTCCTCTGGCTGCAAAACTGACATTACAGTTGAAAGTAATGCACAGTAAAATTGGAGCCATTTCCCTACCATGCAGTGCACAGTGAGACATTCAGAAACTCATTTATACTAACAACCATCACTGACTGGAATCACCCAGCCAGCTCTGCTGCATGTGCACACTCAATCTGTCAACTCATTCAGAGCTGTGGCTCTGAACGAGTAGATTTTCACCTGCCACTCCCCCACCTCATTTAAGCAGAGTAAGCACTGCAACCTACCTATTCAAATTAAGACCACCTAAATTCATTCATTCATTCATTCCATTGTTAAAAAACACTTACAAAAAACGTAAGTACCAGAACATTTGCATAAAAAATGATAACTTCATTTCAATATTGCTTTGCACTGATAATTTTGGAACATGAAATAAAAAGTATTCCACTTAAATATATTTCAATACAATTTTCCCATAAATCGACTAAATGCTGCGTGTTGTAAATCATAACAAAATGGATCTGACCAGGCGTTGACAGATGCTGCAAATGTAAATCCTATGCAATATCAGGTTTGGAAAGCAAAAGAAATGCAAACCGTATGGTGAATCATTATGGTGAATGCAACAATGCAAAAGCACTTTTATCTGAACAATTTACTAAGAGTCTTATTTTTCGTCCAACTATCACTGTCTAGATTAGTTTTACCTTGCAAACACTGAAATTATCAGATCTGAGTGTTTCTTCAATCTCTGTTTCCGGCTTCTGCTGTGCCCCGACAGTCGACCGCAGGTTTTCTAACACCCCCTTAAGGGTTCTTTTCATCATTTCGACAGTTGTTAAAAGTATCCATCAAATATTTCTTCGAATACAAAGATTTTTCGGTGCTGTAACATTGACAGGCTGTACTGACTAAAATATTATATTGAGTGTGCGAAAATGCCCGGATGCCAATCATCACTCCCAAGATGCAATTCCTATGAAGCGAGAACAACATGGCAGCAGCGCCCAATATGAAGTGTTGAAAGTCTCAGAAATCTTAGCAGGGGAACATTCTGTAAAAACGAATGATTTGAATTATACGTAGTAAGTAATGGGTTGAGTATTGTGTTTGAGCATCCGTATATTGTCCATAATAGCAAAGCACAGACTCGCCATTGCCATGTTCTGAAATTGGGTCACTGTGACCCAATTTACAATATTTTCTGTGAAGTCAAACGTGCTTTCGGTCTTGTGCTTCTCTCCTTCACTTACTAATACACTCAGGTACTCGCTCGTACTTTAATTAACATGTGTGCATGTTGGCACACCCATGAACAACAGTGCATTTCTAGATGTTTCACGGATGGGCAAACAAAAGTAATTAAATGCTTGTATATTTCAACGTACATACATTACAACTCACTGGCACTTGCTATTTGGTCCACGTACATAATCGTCGCAAGCAGTCTGCGGGAGTTTAGCACACATCGTTACTTATTGAACTTTTCCTGGCTTTTTGACAGTCAATATACTAAATAATAAGATATTATAAGATTTCCATATTCCAGGTTGCTGTGAAAATGAGGGGGATCCACTTCTTAAAACAACTTGGAACGTCCGGCAAGGCTCTCTCGGGGCTGTCTTTGTACTTCACATCAAGGTCAAAGCCTGTCAGGTATGAATGAATCTGTCATGTATTTTACTGGAGGAATTTTTCGATTGTAAGCTCCAAGCTCGTGGGAGATTAGCCCTCACATCTTTAAGTGTCACTGCAGCTTTCATTTGCAGATTGAGACTAAATCACTTGAGCTACAATTAATTAAGAAGTACACATATAACACATTGGTTTAGGTTGTTAAAATTTTTGTAGAGGTAGAAATAAATGGAACTGATAGAAATTAGCAAATGATCTTTGATAAAAATGTCAAGAAGGACACTTGTATGTCTTTGTATGCACAGTGAAATTGTTTATTTTATCTTTGTTTGCACTTTTTATTGTACTTCTCTTTTACAATTTTAGTGACATATATGGAAACAGTGTAGTTAAAATTCAGATGAAAGGGTAAGTAATGATAATGATGGTGTAGATTGCTGTTTATAATAAGTGACTTTATATTTGTTTTTCCAGGTACTGCATTACAGGATTGTTTGCCAGTGGCATCACCTTATACTATACAGCAAAACATCAGGTAATACTCTTTACAGAATTAAGTCAGGTCAAGGCTTTGGCTTATGTCTTTGTCATTTATACATTAAGATAGTTTATCTTATGTTGCATAAATTATGAATGATGGTAAGTTGAATATGTGATCATTTCATTCTGTAAAGTAACAATCTATTTCTATACTAAAACCAGTCTTATCTGTTTAAGGTGTGTCATGCAGCGACACTAAAACTTGATTCATCTAAATGGATGTCAGAACCTCTGACAGATTTGAATACTTTAGAAAAGGTTGGTTGATAATGATGTTATAATTAACTCAGTTTTAAATATTTTGATTAAATTGTGTAAAAGAATAATGTTTGAAGTATGGCAAGAGATTTAGAAAAAAAATGGCTATTCACAGTACAAGCAGTTATATGTGTGTCTTTAATGTGGTGCATTTTTAACTTACTCTATTTTAGAACCAAAATGATATGAAGTGCAGAGTGGAGGCGATGATAATGAGGATACAGGTAAGGGTAAACAAAACTTAACTGTTTTGTTCTGTACACAGAACCTCTTGCTTTACAAAAATATATTATATTTATTGCAAGTGGCAGATTATGACTTAGTTTGACCGGTGTACATAGCATGACAAAAGACTACAATATAATTACAGTTACAATATGATCATATAAATATAATAGCCAATTTTACCTCAGTATAAGAGAAATAATTTACTGTTGAAATTTCTTTGTAGCAATCTTATCCATTATGTGTCAGAATATCAAAAAAAAAAAAAAAAAAAAAACTATCATCACACTTTTCCTATAGAAATTGAAAAGATAAAATGATGATAGATCCCCAATTAGCATTTGTACATTTGTAGCTGTTAGGAAGTGCTTATTTTTGAATGTCTGATGAACATTTTGATCATTCACTTTTACAAGGCAGATGTATGCCATGCCTTAGAAGAGCTGGAGCCAGAGGGAGATAAATTCCTTGTAGATAAATGGCATAGAGCTGAGGTAATGTGCCATCATTATGGGCCAAGAAAAAAATTACAGGGAGTTAATTGATGTTTATATGTACATTTGAGGGGATTTTGGACAATTTGTTGATTTACCTGTTATCATTGTTTTCATTTTGTGTGTTGCCATTGGTTTACCCATAGAAGGTAAATTTGCAGTCAGTGAAATGTCAAATGTCAAATTATTGAGTCAAGAAGCAGAGAAGTGTTCTTGTCCTAATTGTTGTCACATTTTGTTTAGGGGGGTGGAGGAGTAACATGTGTCCTACAAGATGGAGTCACATTTGAAAAGGCTGGCGTCAATGTGTCTGTGGTACATGGAACATTGCCTCCAGGTGCTGTGCAACAAATGAAGTCCAGGCAAGTATCAATGGCTCACCATAAAGAAGCATATAGAAGTATTGCCAACAAATAAAGATAATCAGATTGGATAAAAAATGTATAGATTTGCTTTTTGCCAAGAAAAGGATTTAACCAAAAAAGTATGAGATATAATTAGCTAAGACAAAAATCATGCCACTTTGAAAACAGAATATTTATAAGATTTGCTGATGAAAAACATATAATGCCAATTTAATAAGTCTGAAGTGCTCAAATGCGCACTTTAGTTTTTATAATTCTTAAAACAGCGCAACTTCTTTTTTCTACCTTTTTGATAGATCCCTCTTATGTAGAAACTGTATAATTGTCTATACGAACATAACATCTGTCTGGTTGGCTATGAAATGTCCTGGACATCATCATTTGATTGCTTGTTTACTTCATGGAAAACAAGGGTCGTCTGCTTTGAAACCTTAAATAAAAATCTTTTATTTTTTTAGAGGCAAAAACTTTAAATCCCAGACCCTTCCGTTCTTTGCAGCTGGTGTAAGCTCTGTAATTCACCCTGTAAGTACTAGTATGCCATATTAAGATGTTTTTTACCAGCTTTATTTTTTCAAAAAGCAATAAAATAAGTTACAGTAATGCAGTGTATGCAGGAATATATATATAGAATATAAATAGATGATTTATTGAAAGGATTCACAGAATAGACTTCTTGTCATTATTCTTATTTCAGAGAAATCCTATGGTTCCCACAATGCATTTCAACTATCGCTACTTTGAGGTGGTAGATGAGGGTGGAAAGAGAATATGGTGGTTTGGTGGGGGAGCTGATCTCACACCATATTATTTGGATGAAAAAGTATGCAAGAGAAATTTATCTTATGCTGTGTTCAGCAAAGAAGTTAACATACTAGCAGGATCGATATTTCTCAGCGAGGATTTGCACTAAGGCACAGTTAATACAATCAGCTTAAATGTCTGGCACACACCCTCTTAACTTAAAGTACTTTGGTAAAGTCTGGAAACCTTTGTGGATCATGATGTTGTTCGTGTTGCTTTGCGAGGGGGCATGCCAAACAATTAAGCTGATTACATTGCACCTTAGCGACAGTCCTCGCTGAGATAGATGGATCCTGCTAGTATGATGACTTTTATTCTGAACACATCCCACAGTTGTAGCAACACCAGTTTTGTGTGATTAATTGGCAGTTAAAGAGATTTTACTAATTTATAGTCTGAATTGGAGACGTGGAGAAAGTGGCTTTGTAGGATATGTAGACACAGAAAATGTGATGTAATTTTGCAGGATATGTAGACAAAGAAAACATAATAAAATTTTCAAATATATACAGCAAACCGTTAAGTAAACATTATATATATTATTTAAATCTTACTTTCTCACTTGAAGGATGCCAAGCACTTTCATAAGACACTTAAGGGTGCCTGTGATAAACATGATAAAGGTTACTATCCCAGGTTCAAGAAGTGGTGCGATGAATATTTCTTCATTAAACATAGAGGTATGGTTGTGATGCGAGACCATTTTTGTAATGAGTCTGATTAAACCTATTTCTGTTTCTAAATGATATTTGTGATGCATTTTATGTTTTGTTTTTTATAAGTATTGTCTCCAGCAAAGCTTGTATTCAGTGTGTACTTTGAAAGGTTTGTAGAACTGCTCATTCTCTCATAACTGAATGTGTTCCCTACAGCCATTCACAATTGTTAATTTACAGTACAGCATGAGTGAGTCTCTTGCTTGGCTAGTGATGATGATATATATCTCATGTGCACTTCACTAATTTTTCTTCCTGTTTAATAAAATTCTGCACTTTGTATGGAAGTGTACCCTTATAGGAAACTTTTTTTAAAATGTTTATAATTTTCCAATCCTAGCTTTATGTTATCTTTCAAAGTAATAGTTATGGTTAGATGTTCACTACTCAATTTGCAGGCATGACAAGAGGAGTTGGTGGAATTTTTTTTGATGACATTGACGAGCCCTCGCAGGACAAGTGCTTTAAATTTGTAGAGGTAAGAATATTTAACATTAATACTGAAGGTGGACAGCCTTGCCTCATACACAAGAACCATATTCGTAAGATTTATGCCCTATGGAAAAATGATAAATCTATTTTCCTTTTCCAAATGTTATGTTGTATTACTTTTTTGTTTTTCTATACTGACAGAGTTGTGGTGATGCCATTGTCCCAGCTTACATACCTATAGTTCAGAAAAACAAGAATTCTGGCTATGGTTATGCTGAAAGGTAATGACTTATATTCCTTTTTGTTTTTGCAATTTTCATGATCCTTGTTATCACTGGAAAGCAAAGTACTTAATCTAATATATGTCATGGTTTCACTTCAACTGAAAGACTTGTCTTTCAGACAATGGCAGCTGATACGCCGTGGTCACTATGCAGAGTTCAACCTGATCTATGATCGGGGAACAAAGTTTGGCCTGCAGACGCCAGGGGCAAGATATGAAAGCATCTTGATGTCCTTGCCCCTCAATGCTGTAAGAATAGAAACCAGACTTACTGAAATAGATAAAGTGAATTTTATGCACTGATATTCAAAAACAAAAAAAAAACTTTATCTGTATCAGTCATTTCTCACAGTGATTTTTCTTAATCTTTAAAGCTAACTTTTTATAATGATGGTGATCGATAAAAGAATGTATTCTTCCTTGATCTAAAATTGATATTGTTAAATACATAATGTGAAATATATGCTACATTTGCATTATGCATATATATATTGAACTAATTGTATGTTTCTTTTATTTGTACAATTTGATCATTAATATTTTTGTCCCATTGTTTAGAAATGGGAATACCGCCATGAACCCAAGCCAGGTTCTCTAGAGGCAAAGTTGACGGAGGTGCTTAAGAAACCCAGGGAGTGGGTCTAGTGACCAGAGACAATAATTTTATTGAATATATAAATATTCAATGTAAGTATAAAGGAGATGAATTTTACATAAACAGTTGCAAGATATAAGGTAATGAACTTTAAATTATTGCTATTATGTGCAGTCACGAGGAAAACTGTTGTTCAAGCCTGGCCAGGGAGTAGGTCCAGTTTGCTAGTTGACATTTTGATGGTTCATTTGGTATGCATATGCTTTGATGCATTGAATAGTGAAAAAACTTAACATTTAATGGAGACAACTCCAACACCAAAATAATTTGTGGCTGAAAATTAAATTCAAAATAAGCAAAGAATGTTTAAAACATCTCAGATAGTGCAGTTGCAAAAACAATTTTGAAAATAAATTAAACTATTGATATAAACCCAAATTCGTATAAATTCAAATTGATAAAGAAAATCAATCAGTTATTTTTTTTTTTTTTCAGTTCAGTTTTTGTACTGTGATAACAAAAAGAATAACACACATATTTCAGGATATTTAGTACATTTTATTCACTGCTCAAACCTCGCATATAGGTCATTTAGTGCTTTCTGATTTAACAGACAATTTGTCTCATTGCACATCATGCATTAAGAATGACTTATGTTTGAGTATGATACATTACACAATAAGTCACAGACTTTCTGTATATATAACAATAATAATGATAATATTAATAATCATAATAATAATAAATAACACTCTAAATGCTGTACATTTTATTCTAAGAAAATAGTTTGAAGTAGAAAAAAACTACATAAATTTGATTAGAAAGTAATGCACTTCAAAATGGCAAGTTGAATGAGGTCTTTGCGCATCAGATTGTGCCGGCAGACAATATGTCTTTTTTTTTAATGAAGCTCATTCCTATTTCCTTGTTGCACAAAAGGGGTGCTCACATCCATTTAGTAAACAAAAAAAAATTACCAGCCCAATTTCAGGAAGTAGAAGCTTGATTGCAGTCACCCTTTCCCCAATTAACTTGGAGAGATTCCCTTGTGAAAGTGGGAGGGTGGTTGCAAACACTTCCTGAATTAAAAATATTTTTCATTTATACCTGGGTGAACACTGCTTGTACAAACAGTGGACAAAAGAAGTTACTGTCTCTAAAATAATAGTCTGGTCAATGATTTGTGTGACACTTGGTTATATAAGTTACAGTTATATTTGACAATATTGTTCTCATTTTGCCCTGAGTTACTTTCTTTAGATTGGTACATTTTACACCTCATAATACTGCACTCAGGGGGAAAACAAGCATTCTGACACCAAATCACTATAAATTACCTTGATATAGTAATATATAATAGTAATAGTAATATATAACCTGTACAGAGAATAAGCTGAAATAAACATTTTCCATAGACTGTACGTGCATTGTCTGTGTTGACATGATTGGTAGAGTGAGGATTTAGATCAATAAAATGTTAGTAATTGCCCAGCTAGATGCCTAAAATACATATTGCATCATTGTACTATATATACCGAAGGGTTTCCAGAAACTTTGCACAATATGAAGTATGTTATAATAAGTTATGGCACAACCAGGTGCAGTTTTGTCTTTTTTCATTTAATCACTGGACTGTACTTTTACATTCACCAAGATGGATTTGCCTAAATTATTGTTGTTATCAAAGTACAAGTGCTTATTGAATACTTTACCATAGAAAAAAATCCATCAGTGTTATATTGTTAACACCTTTTGTTAATTACTTTTATACTCATTTGTTGACCTAATTTTTCACAGGTTTTCATTTTGAAATTATCTTAGAAAGGAATGTTTCATCTACCAGGATTGTCTAGGATAATATATGTTGTTATTAACTTGTTATAACATTAAACCACTTCTCTTATACTATTTCTGCAAGGAATTGAAAAAAAATTCACAGTTTTAATGTAATAAAAGGCAATTGTAAGACCTATAAATGATTTAACTGGAAACTCTCCTAATATCACCTTAATCTAAAATAAATTCACTTCGTAATAACTATCAAATTTTGTCAATTTGGGTGTGTTGATAGTTGCTGCCTGATCTTACTTTCCTAATCACTATGACACACTGTTTTATGTACAACTGCTGTCATTATATATATATACTAATATACAAGACACACTTGTGGAAATATCATTTGCATACTTGAACATAAATATATTTTCATCTAATTTCTCAATAATATCCGAGTTTGAAATAAATATTGGCTTCATTTGTCATAAAATCCATATAAATACTGTTTTTCTAAGCTTGGCAACGGCTACTTAAATAGCAGCTGGACTGTTTCTGTATAGTTATTGTTGCTGAGTTAGTATTTTGAGTAAGGTCTCGTGGTCCATAGCTTGCATAGTTGCCAAGTCCATGTTGAGTGCATTGGCTATACTTGAAAGGTCTATTCCAAACTGAATTAGCAAGTCAATGAAGTCTATTTCTTCTCCAGTGTAAGGATTTGTAAGCTTGGGACATGAGAGATTGCACTGTGGCCAACCACAGTTATCTATTAAATGATGAACACATTGATTGCTATGATGCTGTCTGTGATGCTGTGCATGTATGTTATCTGAATCCTGCAAGAAATCCAAGGAGCGCTGAGATCTCTGGCGATCCTCTCTGTTCCTCTCTCTGTTCTTGTCTGAAATGAAAAGAGAGTCTATGTTAAATGGCATGCGTTTGAAATCCTCAAATAATAATTTTAAAAACAAAATATGTCATACTGAAAAAAGAAAAAGACTCCAAATTAAATCTGGCCAAAATGTGTCAACTGTAACAAATTATTTTGTCACTGGTAGCACATAGCAGTTCTCTCTACAAACTGTTGGCCATAATTAAAATCATGATTTTGATGAAAAAAAGACAGATCCACACCACTCAGAGAATTGTTTGTGAAGAAAATAGGATGGTAAGCCTACACACCACCTCTATAAACTTTACCTCTCTTCCTACCTTTCCTCCCACGACGTCGCCCTTTCTTGTTTTTCTTGTGTCGGCGTTTGTTTGATCTCGGGTCATCCCCTTGTAAGTTAGTCCCATCTCCTTCAGAATTCTCTCTTGCTGACGCATCTTTCTGATCGTAGTGGTTGGCTTCACTTGTACTCTCCTCCCAGCAACGAAGGGCTTGAGGTAGACTGTGTCCAGAGATTTTGAGATTTTGCCAGTTCCTGGGATTGAAATAATAAAAATAATCATAGAACTTATTGCTATTTTATTTTCATTTAGACAAGTTGCTATTATCTGTGAAGCTAACAGCTGTAATAATAATAATAACAATAACTATATTTCTGTGTTATGAAGATTATTATTATGGAGAGGGAAATAAGAAGGCACATAGATTTATATTCTAAGGAATAAGGTTGACATTGAAACAAAGTGCTGACTTACTTTTTTGTCAGTAACTTATGAGAGTAACAAGCTGGTGCAAATGTTGCCCTGTAAAGAAAAGAAAAATAGTTGCAATAAGCATTTTAACCTGTGAAAGCACACCTGTTTAAACAAGAAGCAAATTAGAAATTAAAACAAGAGGTGTTCCTTTTGTACTGAAGGGAGGCTGTTTGAACATGGTTTTTATTCACATTTAATTAATGTTTAAAATAGGGTCACATTATCAAGTTTTTAAAGTACTTACGAGACATTTTCAAGTGTGTTTCTGATGTCATTCCCCAAATTGTGTATGTAGTGCCACTGTTCCTTATTTACTGGCGTGCCTACGTGGTCTGCTGTGATCTGGGCCTCATCAAACAGATACTGGATCACAAACACTGGTGCTAGAAAATGTGAAAAATATACTTGTTATACTTGAGTTCTTTTCCATAATGATATCCACAAAAGTGCTTTGTATTGCATGATGAAAATGTGTTTCCAATGTAGCAGTTCTATAAACCTCTGATCTACACCAATTAATTTTTTTATTAATTCTGCTATAGAATTGATATAATGCAAACAGCCTATAAAAAGTGTTTTCATATCCAACAGCCAAATTGATACAACTTCTGTCTTTTTACCTGATAAGGAGTAATTTAGTCTTCTATTTGACTTATTTATAGTAAAAGGAACCAAAATATAGTGTGTATTAAAACTAAATCTTGTCCATTAAGGGCATTTCATTCAATACACTTCATGACTAAAAATTAAAGTAGATTATTTTATGCTCATCATTACAAGTGCTTGATTAACTTGAGTTGGGAGAAAATGATCCTGCATAAAAGCACTGTCTAAAAGCTGAATCTTTTGTGTCAGCAGTTTCAAATCTGAACTGTTCACATAGCTGTTATATGTTAAGCTATTCACTTACTGTTGAGGGTGGGGTAGATATTGTAGCCAAAGTAACAGCTCCATTGCTGGTTTCCAGGAAATGATTCCTTGCAGGCCTGAGGAACTTTTCCTCCCCAATGACTGAAAGTGAAACAGCAAGCATTACTTTCTTTCAGACATGAGACACATAAGAGGAGATCAATTTTATATAGGCAATTACCTTGAGAAATGTTTTGGGTGTTTATGCATACCATAGTTTTGTCTGTGTTATCGCCTTTAGCTAATATTCTCTAAAAGATACAAGAAAAATACCATTTTTGCAGTTATTTTGTTTGAGTGACTTTGGAGACTTTTGATATTTTTAAAAAATGAAATACTGAAAGTTTGGCATACTTACAATATTCCTCTTTTGATGGCCTCTGTAGGAGAACATATATGTGAATATTCTGTACAGGCTGCTACTTTGAATGGCTCATTGTCCAAAAACCACCCAGAATCTGCAATGCCTCGTACTTCAATATTAGGCGCTTTTTGATGGACCAAGTCAGCCACACTGTCTAAGTTAAGAAGAACACCTGTTCCACCAGCACTGAAATAATGAGTGTTCTATAAACAGATCTTTTATATATAATTTTTATTATTGCTAGCTTTTTAGATACAGACACTGTATATGTACACATGTATTTTGATCACTGTGTTGTCATCATCACTTTCCAACACATCTGTTGTTCAGCCTGTAACTACTACCAATTTTTTTTTTAAATGTTGCAATGTAAGTGAATTTTTTATTTTTAGTGTCTGTATATTGGCAAGCTTTTCTGTCTAGTTTTTACACATAATTAAGTAAGTATCTGAATATATTTTAAATGGTTTTGAACATTATTACAGCCCTTAACATACTGTTTGATCCAAAATTATGTTTTTGTGTTTTATTTCAAATTCACTGTCAAGTTTTGATGGGCAAAAATGGAGGAAAGTATAAATATGTATAATCAGATTATTTTGGAAAAATTTATCATGTGTTGCATTACTAGCAGGTGTTTGTGTATTTTTTAGCACCGTAACTGCCTAACTATATTTCTGTTTCAGTTAAAATTAACTAGGAGATTCTTTACATATGAAATGAAGAATGAGTTCTAAAGGAAAGTAATTAAGCTAAGATGGAGAAATCTCTTTAGCTAAAATAAAAGTATCTTAATTTTCCTGGAAATTTCGGCAATGTCTCCATGAACAACTTTTGGTCCATATATTAATACATTCACTTAGGACATCACAATAGATTCATGTTTATAAAAATGTTAAAAGATCAGAGCCTTTCCCTAAGATCTGGGCCAGTGTTATCATTGCAGTGTGTTCTACATCATCTTAATGATTGCAGTTTATCCTCCACACTTCAGGAGACTGCTTTAGTTTAACACTGATGTTTCCTGGCCAGCAGGATGCCAGCCTATCACAGGGCCACAACATTTGAGTAAGGTACCATTTTAGCAGCACATTTCCTGTAAAGCTGTTAAAATAGACCCACTCATCTGATGACCTTTATCATTTTATGATAATCTAGGCCAAACCTTTCATTACAAAAAGGAAGCTCCCAATTTGGTACGTCACTCAGTGTACCTTGATGTTTTAGTTCTTTATCAGAGCAGTGATCTGTGTTCAAAAACTCTAGCGCCTTGTGATTTTCGGTATCAGGAAATCATAGTTGTAGGCTTGCTCAATAAAGAGGAAAAGAAAAAAAAACAAGTTTCCCCCAGCTTGATTTTTTTTTTTCTTCCAATGAAGGAGATAATGTCTTATTGGCTGTTGCTTTGACTGTGTCTATTGGTTAGCTAACCTCAAAAATTTCTTTACTTTTTTATGAAAAATGAAGGAAAAAAGTAATTACAATGAAATATGTAATCTATTTGGTATTCTTTATGTTTTCCCATGGCTCACTAGGTTTTTGTATGAGTAATAGGATAATGGACCACTCTTCACTATTTCAAAATTACTAAATAAGATTTTGAGATAGGACATTAGAGCAGTTTACAAGATTTTAAAGAGATTTAAAGTAGCAGACAGATTTAGTTTGCATGTCTTCTGTTTAGATTAATAGAATTTTTTTATCTTTTAAAACATGCTTTGATAAAATCTTATGCACATTTCTGTTCATAAAAATTGACATACATCAGGGCAAATTCTATCTTGGACAAGCAATGGCCTCACAAATCGGTGACCTTTCAGATCTCTTCCAAATTTACCACAATTTCTTTATATCCTGTGAGTAAAGTAAGCTAAATTGGCTCTGCACCATTTGTATATAGACAAGTGTGCTTTCTTTAAACAATATTGGCTCTTACCTGGACCCTGCTAAGTACAGTTTATTGCCGTCACTCAGACCATCAGACATATTCAGCAAATCTTTTATCACCTCCTGGACTATTAGGGAGCCTAAGAAAGAAAATTCTCCTGAAATGAAAAATTCATATTTTGAATAATCTTAATTGGTGTTTTTGGATTTTTGTGCTTTATCTATAAACTGTTTGTGCTTCCATTCAAGCATATATGTATGCTTGTTCTATATACAAAAGATGTATATTCTATTGAAGTGCTAAAAGAAAATTAATGTATTTCATGCTTCTATTAATATCTTAAAGATTATGTAGTTTCCAAGCCTGTACAAAAGTCAGTGACCATATGCATGCTCTTATGATGTTTCCAGAGCCAAGTTATTTTACTTGTATGTAAATAGAATTTATTAATGTGTCTGAAGCTAATCTATCGAGGAAGCATGTAGTAAATTCATGGTTATTGCCAGCTGTTTTAATGTACATGATGCTATTCAACATTTTATACTTGTTGTGGGTGTTGAGACTGTGCTGCATCTCATTTAACCTTGTTTATTGTTATGGTTAAATTTTGGGCAATTTTTGAAATTATTTACCATTCATTGATCAAAATGTGATAACATATGGTAAGATTATGATTAGAAAAATTATTGTAGAATTTTTTAATGGAATGTGACCAATAGCAATGGGCCTTTGTTGATGACCTGGGTTTCTTAAAATTACTTGAGCCGTCAAATGAATGTTAACTTTTTTTTTTTTTTTTTTTTTTTGTAATAAAAACAATTTACAATCTGAGCACAAATGTTAATATCAGATATGATGTTGATATCCTGATGAAATTCAGATATGGACCTTAAAACAAGATTCTGATGAGCCTGTGCTGTCCAAAATTGGAGTCATTTCTTTTATAAGATCTTTATTTACTACTGTAACCTATTAGGCAGCAATTTGATAATGTCAGTTGCAATTGGGTGGTCCATAACATCAGATTAACAGAAAGAACCTCACATAATTTGAACATTTACATGTTCACTTAATCGCAGGTTTTAAAAATTATGATTAGCTTGAAGCCATAATATCACACAAATGTCTGGCTATTTAGATTTTTTGTAGTTTATAGGTTGTGTTGATAATTTTTTTCTGTATTTAACCCCCTTTATTATCAATGCCGCAGCACTAGTCTAAGTCTTAACTTCTTACCATTATTAATAAAGATTGTCTATCTCTCTCACTTTTTTTGCCAAAAAGATAAATTGCAAGAAAGTGTAATTTATCTTTTTGATGATGCATCTTTTTTATTAAAACAATTGATATATTACATGTTGCCTGCATGCAGTTTCCCTACAAAATTCATAGATTGAAAAAAAAAAAAAGAATTTCATTGGTCCCTGTATTCCACCCACAACGGTAGACACCTCCCTACTGAGGCATAGCTGTTCTGACAGATTTTAATAACACTTTGAAAGCAGGAGACCAATGTCCCCCCGAACAACTCTTGTCTTTGACAAACTAAGTAGGCGTCTATTGTTCATCAACAATGTTGGCAGACGAAAAAAATAATTCAAGTGGGAAGAGATGAATGCCTTTTCAACCAGGCCAGTAATGCTAGGTTATTACTATTTTTCCTTTAAAAGTTTCTTTTGATGATAGACATATCTTGCCTATCTCCACCTATTATCTTTTACAAATCTCTTCTGTTATCCTATTTATCATGTCATGTATCTCCTATCTTTTCAGATCTTTTCAGTAATAAATGGAGACGTGAAGCAAGCGCATTGTAAAGTAGCTGGTAGTGGAAGTTGTAGCTACATGGTAACATGGTTGTTACACACCAAAGCAATCCCATTTTGTACAGCTGACAGAACATCAAGGGGACATTAAGCAATTCTGAAATGTGCATTAAATTTTGAATTGTGTTTAGATGCTTAAAATATACTAGCTCTAAATATATACACTTATGCATTGTAACTTAGTATAACTACTATATCCAGCTTTGGTTAACTTTCTTTTTTCCTTCTGTGGCCCAATGAGAAATTGGTGTTTCTGTACCGTAAGTTAATCATAGCATGTAAGATAACATCAGGGTGTGTTCACGGAGTTTAAGAGGGTAATGAAGGACAAAAATTTTATAGCTTTAGTCTGGTAGCTGCATCCTATTATCGAACCACAGATTATTGGAGACATAAGGTCCCTCGTGGGTTTGTAGGAAACCTGGATTGTCGCACAGCAGGCACTGAGGGTATGGTCAAACACATAATGGATATCACACCAATATTAACACTGTTTTTGCCACATGAAACATTCCTTAAAGGACAATTATGGTGTTAGGGATGGATGAATGATGAAAGGAATAGTTTTAAGCAAAAAAAATAACTGGGCATGTTGCTGTTCTGGTGGTTGAGGGGATTTTTTTTCTAGTCATTATTTAATGTTTTCTAGTCATATTTTTATGTGTATATTCTTTAACCAAAAAAATTGTTGATGATATTGTGCCACCCTTTTTCTCTAGTTAAGGAGGCTTCAGTAGAATACAATTTCACCCTAATTACTTTAATTTTTAGTCTTGGTCATGTATGCTCCAGTGTGAATGGGAAGTATGAAAACACTACCATACTTGTTATTGCACTTACCTTTACCACTGGCCATTTTGTGCCCACTCCATGAGTCACTGGAGCAGTAAGGAACATACCTGATAATGAAAAATTCAAATTAAATTTGACATTTAACATAAATTGTAGCAATAAATGTTGCAGTGATTCTTTCTAATGGATAAGTAAGAATAATTATTTGTAACATGTAATTAACTTTACTCGATTTATGAAGAATAAACCATGGCTGCTATTTTTTGCTCGGGTTATTTTTGTTTGATTTAAACCCATGCTTATGACATAACTGTACTATTAACTGAGTATGTAAATTATTATCAAAGCTGTGGAGAAGCAACTTACACAATGTTAGCGTGGTAAAAATATGGATTCTCTTCTGGGTGCCATGAAAGAATCCCAGTTCCTGCAAGGAAATTTGAGGAAAAAATCATCACATTTTTATGAAAATATTTTTAACAGAATAAAACCTCAATACAAAAACTTATTTTCTTTCTGAAAGAGTTTCAACAGAAATGACTTTGCTATAGTAAATAACTAGTATAAAAAACCTTGAAAACATATTTTCAGAATAAATTTTCATTTTTATTTCTGCTTTGAATTATTATTATTTCAAGAAATTATTGCAATTGGACAATAATGTATTATGATAAAAGAAGGTTACCTTCTTTTGTTTCTGGCCATTCATTAGAGCTCATCAATTTTCTGCTATTTAACCAGCGTCCGTGACAGCTAAGTTGGTCAAAGCAGTAGCCCCCTCCCTCGAGGTACACGATCCAGCGCTTACTTCCGTAAGACTGGCGGATGTAGTAACTGAAAACATTGATTGTACGTGATGTAACGAGGTATCAATAGGATAGCTAATGAGCATGCTCAAATGGAATGGAAGATGAAAATTGCGTAGTTGGATTTTTTTCCTCATTCTTGAATGATCTTTCACTTCAAAAGAATGAGATACAAATGTGCTTATAAACCCTTGGCTTTGAAAGGTGTTGGAAAGTTTTTCAAAGAGTCAGATGTTTTTTCCTTGAAGCATTCTGCAACATGAATTCGTGGAGGTTCTCTCAAGCTTCTTCGATTATAATACACATTTACACCGGGACCCAAAGCCCTCCCCTTCCACGTCCAAACCTTATTTAGAAAGAAACCTGAAGTGCTTTACGACTTGACAACAAAGGCAGCAAAGCCGGTGGATGGGCATAAATTCAGTGTGTGACGGAGACCCCACTTAACTTGTTCAGCAATAATAATAAACAGTAAATAAAAATAGCACTTCTAATTTGACGGTGCTCAATTTCAAGGAAAAGGTCCGCTCAAATGGCGTTCATAGTTTTCTGAACTTTGTGTTAATTTTCAAGTTTCTTTTTATCTTCTCTTGTTTGTTTTTTTTTCCCAGAAAGCCAAGAGTGGTTCTATATGCGTTGCCTGCTGGGGGACAAGTCTTCATTTAACCCTATATTAAACTTTGATGGGAGATCTGCTACCAAAAGTTTCGTATGTAGTCTAACCGTCCCGTGCATCGACTTTAAAATAATGAGCTGAAACTTTCGCCCAGATGTATTTTTTTTGGAACCCACCCACTTTACCGGTGCATTTCGCTGGTTATCACAATAACAAAATATCTCTTTCAGTGTACTGAGTGAGCGCATTTTGTTCTCGTAAACGTCTAATTCATAATAATTATAATTCAAACTTTGCATTTGCTTTTAGAGAAACGGGATCAAACAACATGTTTCCGTGTACTTTTTACTGTAATTTTTACTTTTTACTATATGGATGAAAAAGTTATACTCAAATGCCCTTTTGGTGCACCTCTCGTGTTCCCTGAGTTTACACTCTGAACTACATTTAAATGAACCAGTTATAAGCATATTTGGGGTCTAGGCTTACTTCCTATGTCAACAACATATGATTCGCCTTTTCATTTTTTTACATGTCCAAAGCTGTTATAACCTATATCGGCGCTTTCTCTACTTGAAATGAAGTAAAAGAAAATTTATCTTGGCCCAAAAAAATTATTAATTCAATATTACATTTCCGTTTTGCTGAAACGTCTTGTCTTTTGTCTTGTCAGATCTGTAATCCACTACAAAATATTGCAACTGCTATTTGTATTTTTCTTAATGGAGACGTACTAAGTTCTTAACCGAAAAGCATTACATTACGGCGAAGGGTACGTCGTGCGCTCGCGTCTCTACATGAGTTCACAGGTGGAATCCGACGGCGGAGACGGCAAACATGCGGACATGCTGTGAGAACGGGACACGATTCCCTTTCATACATGGCCCGCAAATCCTTTCCTCGGGGCAAATGAACTTTTTGTCAAAAAAAAAAAAACTTGTGTCAGTTACTTGTAATTTAAAACATTTTGAGCCCCTCAAAAATTTGTTTTCATATTAAGTGGAAAATATGACTGTATTCATTTCCCTTAAAATATAAGTGTAACAACAATGCTAAGACGTATAAAATACCGCAAAAAGTTATTTAGCGCAAATTTTCAAAATGCAGAGCCTCATTTTCCAGATTTCATGACTAAAAATGTGTATTTAAAAGTAGAAAAAAGTTCTCCCCGAAGCCTTGCAGCAACACGTGGATGACCTGAGTGACTTGCCATTTCCACCTGGTTTTTCAATAGTGCACATGGGCCGCAGATGAGGATGTTACCAACTTAACAAGGTAAACGTTTCTCCGATTAAATCAATATCTTGTTAAAATATTTTTCACGTTCCGAGAATTCTTGTACGTTATGTTTGCAAATTAGTCTCGGATCAAAGAGATGCGTCCCGGGGTAGAGTAGGCTGCGCACAACGAAACTGTAATTTAACATCTCGGTCAACAAAGAATATATAATATAACAGATTGGAATCCTAACTTTATTCGACGGTACCAAATATTTCATCTTATTAGCTCCTCTAATATGTTCCACTATGTCCTTTATCAAGACCGACATAGCGTTCGATCATCATCAGTCGACCCTTATCCCGAACGTGCTTTTTTGCTCAAAATTTGCCAAACACCATTTTGATTGATCTTCAATAGGTTGGACAGGTTAATGTAGTTCAACGACGGATTACAAAAGATAAAGTATGGAGGAATTCAGGTGTTAGTGGTTTTCGTTCGCGTTTCCGCAGGGCGTCCGGAAGCACGAGCAAAAAAACAAACAGACAAGTCAAACAGCGTCCCCCCACAATGATGTATCTAGACCAACACGTGTGATATCAGCAACAGGTTTTCCAGAACGATAAAAAGATTTCGAGGATATAGCCTACGTATGTTTGAGCATGCCAGTGTGTGTGTGTGTGTGTGTGTGTGTGTGTGTGTGAGCGAGAGTTGTCAACAACCATGGATTTCCCCTTTATAAGTTTTCAAGGGTGTTCTACAAATATATATGTACAAGTCTGTATAACATTACATTTAATGAATATATTTTTTATGCTGTGTAGCTGCTATTTTTACAAGTTACTGTGCTGAAAAAACACGTCTGCGGGGTGTTCTGATAGAGCACGAAGTTTGCGTGAAGCACAATCAGCGCACGCGCCATGCAGTTCTGCAAGATTGTGGATTTTCATTTAATCAAAATACTAACATCCCTTTTCCACTTTCATTGGTATGCACACTCTGTGATGGATACACTGTACCACACACAAGGTTTCCACCCACTTGGGTTCTACCAGCGTTTTAATGGTTCAAGACTGTTTGAACAAGTGGCAGTGGTTACTTGTTTGATTTCACTAGCCTGGTCTTTTTTGCCTTTTCTCTGATCTTTTTCTTTCGACACGCCTGATACTAGACCAAAACCAACAAGTAAAAAAGATTCATACGCAGACCGATTAAATTCATTTATTTTTATAGTTCATTCATCAAATCACCGTTGGATGCCTCGGTTTAGCAGGAGAAAGGTTAAGCACACCATTATTACCTAGTGCGACATGCGTCCTTTGATTTACGTCTAGTTTTACAATGACTTTTCACCTAGTTGTTTAGCCTTTGTTGAATGGAAAAAATAAGCATTGTAAACAATAGATAGATTGTTTTGATATATAACGTTTTCACTGAATATGAGAAACATCGGTCCCGAAAGATCAATGTAGTTCTATAAGGTTCGCTGGCAATGTGAAAATCCACTACTTAAAAGACAAAATACCCTCACTTTTCTTGCCGATGTGCCTAAGAAAAGACCTATGACTACGTCAAAAATGTCTGTATGAGAGGAAATCTTTTCAAATTACACAAGACGAAATCCACTAAACGTTCATTGTTTTCTGTCAACATTGTTTTCTTTCATAAGCAATGTGTAGAGCAAGCAAAATGAGGAGGTGCGATTCGTTTAACGCAACAAGTTCAAAATTTCGAGGTGACCATTTGTCGCCTTTCGCCAATGCCACACCCACGGTGGGTTTTTCACAATGGTGGGGCATTTGGTTGACCACATTGTGACTGTGATTCTCTGTTAACCACAAACACGTGTTAAAAACACCTACTGGAATAAATGTTTTTTGTACATCCGCATTTCTCAAAAACCAATTCAGGTTAAAAGAAGGGTAATATTCTAACTCAAGACGAGAGAAAAAAAATAATGATCAGTTTGGCTTTCACCAACGTAACATCCCAAAGAAAATAGTCTGTGCAGTGTACGTAATAGAGTACAATGAATGAATTATCTAAAAGCAGATTTTTCATTAAATGTAATTCACTAAATCACTCTTCATTTCTTTAAGCACCATTAAAAGGGCGTTGTTAATCAGTTGATTGTGTGAAAAGCGCGTTTGTTCTGTTTTGCAGCAATGTGCTGGCAATGGCGGGTGCTCTGTTAAATGGTTTTGCCACATTCCCCGCTGAACTTCAAAAAGCTCGACCAGCTGCGTGCTAATTGCTCTTACAGACAGCGAATGGTGAAGTAGCATAGGAGGGTAAATTGCCATACAAGTGCGAACCGTTTCTTCCTTGATTTGTTTTATTGAATAAAGCGATGCAACATCAACTGGAACGTTGAATAATAAAACAACATTGCGGAATGGGATAATAAAGGTTTGATCTATGGCGAACATATCGCAATAGGTGCACATTTCGTGAGATGATTAGTGCGGGCAATTGTACAACATTTACTGTTTGGAAAACATACCGGGAGTGCCCATTGCGTGTCACAAACAACACATCAATGTTTCTCTGGAAAAACGGCTAAAAGCCAAAGAAAACACGATAGTTATTTGTCATCTGTTTGGATTTCGAAAAGAAATATTATTCTTTCACTTCAAATGAGTTTTTAATTCATTAATCAAAACTTTTGAGTCACAGACATCAAAGAAGAGAGGCGAAACCTGGAGCATTTAGCAGAATACGCAGGCGGGCCCCACTCTGCTCGCCTGCCCATGCAGTCAAGTGCTGGCCTGATTGCTAGAATGTTGACTCAACAAAAACAGTCACTTTGAATCACTTCCATTGTTTGTTATACATACTTAACTATCTATTTACTTTTGATTTAACAAGAAAAATCAAAGTTCGATGCGACAATAGATTTTAGTGACACTAAATTTGTTTTAGATGATCTATTTGCGCCTTCTTTTTGTGCACTATTTTTTCTCCTAACTTTCCCTTAAGATTTAATCTCGAGTGCCTTATTGGCTTTTGCGTTACTTCAATTAAATCAAAAGAATGCCGCTCTGTGGAACACCGGTAGTCCGGTTCTACGCTTGATTTACTTCTTTTTCTGCTTACCTAGATTTATTTCCTTTTCAGTCGATGTTCACAAAGCGTTTGTACGGGTAGAATAACTCAAAGAAACCCGAAATGGATGTCGTTTGTCATAAATACGAACCTATCTCAGCTGTTGGCCAAACTAAGACAGTTCCAGCATGTCGATATAATAAAATTAAGACAGAGAACAAAGTGTAGATGCCCAGGTAAAAAGAGTGAATCAGAACATAACTGATAATATATGAGTACTACACACAGCGTTCCAGCTGTAGAAATGCATGCACATTTTTTTTAAAAAATTATAACACGAATTCCTAGCATTGTTTTTGATAAGTTTGTTGTCGCTTCCGTCTTCCTGCCAACGCAGTCGAATAGTTTAATAAAATATGTGAGAATGTTAACTCCACACAGTATGAGCCTATTTTCTTTTATATATCCGACCGTTGGTGCAAGTTCCTTACACATAGAGTTTTCTCCATTTATCAGTCATTCTCGTATTATTTCATTACCTACATTTCTCATTTGGAAACACGCAAACTATTTTATATACATGTAGTTCAGCGCACACATACCCAAATAATTTCCCTTTTCAAGTGATAGAAATGAATAAACGGCGCCTAATGTCTTATCACAATGAAGATTCACAGTTTTAGAGACAAATGTGTTTTACAACCGCATCACTACTTACCCTGCCGGTGAACCGTCATTGCAAGTGACGGTTCGATTTGTGAGGAAATGTCGTTTAAGTCGAGGGATCTCTTTAATTCCACATCCATGCAGTCCCCCGGCAAGATCTTGGATCATTTTGATAACCTTGGCTGGGTCTCCATACTTGGACAACTCCTCTAGATGCAACACAATGTCCGTATTTGCACGTTGATCGTCTACTGGAAAAGTGACTGTCCCCGTCGTCAGGATCGCACCAACTATAAAACTCAACCACATGGTTCGTCTGGAAAATAAAAAGTCTATTTTTCTCTCGTTGTACTCGATTATCTTGCAGCTAGATCTGGACGCGGCGAGCGATAGCCTCTACGGGGCCTTATTTATTTATTGAGTTTTTATCCGGGGTTTTTATACGCTGGGGCTCTTATGGACGAGTATTGGTCTCCCACACAAGAGGGCAGATGAGTCAAGCAATGTTCCGATCCTTTCTAAAAGCCCGTATCTGGTAAAACAATCAGGTGGTCCAGCTTTACAGCGAAAACTGCCTCGGAACCCTTGGGTTGACTTCTGAGATACCGGGAGGTCATATTGACCAATAGGAAGTGACATCAGCTTGTAGATCCTCTGCTTGGTGAATGTCACTTGTACCGAGCCGAGTGCACGTTCTCTTTTTTATGAGTAATTATTCAGTAATAATTTTATCAAATTAGACTGTAAAAGCAACACAGCAACACTTAACAACAACACAATATCTCTTATCATTTACTTTCCCCCATCCCCTACCCCAATAAAAAAATTGAACAGAAGCTATTAAGAACATCCAAAAGATTAGTTGAATTAAATATTCGTCTTTCGACGAAATGCGCACACAAATATTTTACGTAGCGGGCATATGTGCCGATGTAAACGTTGCATCATACTTAAAGGATTACACTAGTCAATGTGATACCTGCTCTCCGCAATGTTTAATTCAATATTTTATATCACTTCCTCCAAGAAGGTCGAGAACGTGCTGAAGAACGCAAACATTGAACCCCTCTCTCTTTTTCTTATTTCTACGAACCCAGTGGAATCACTTTCTTATATAACCCTTATTTTCTCATAGCAAAATACTGCTGTTTATGGGAGACCAACAAAAAAGGACATTAAATTTCAAAGTTTCGGTAGACATTGCCTGGGGATATTGTTTCTAGAAACTGAATTCTGGGAGAACACATCTTTAAATTGTCTTCAGTGCTAGCTCCCACTCAAGGCACCCCCAGGTCAATTCAATTGCAAATGATCAACATCCGACGTGCTTCTGTGAACACGCGGAAAGGATTGTGATGTTCCATAGAAAGACACAAAAACAACACTAGAAATTCGTTCTGAGAATACTCGAGGAAATAATAATCGCAGCTTTGCTTCCCCGCTTGTTTTATACACGCGTCCCGTTGTTTAATGTGTTTTTACTATCAACTCTCTCAGTTATTCCAAGGGACCACTCGTCCACACTTCACACTGATTGAAATGTTTGACTTTTGATGTCTGTGCGTCATTTGCGGAAGGTGGTTAGCCGCTAATGGACCGCGCGCTATTTCATTGAACCCATCCGTTTAATTACTTAATGCAATAAACAAGACACCAACGAAAGCGTGCTGCAAAAAAGATTAGAGTTCATTGGTTGATACCACACCTGCAAATTTGGACTTTTTGTAATGCCATGCATCCTTTACTGGACTAACGTACAGTAGGAAACTCGCAAAATCGTAACTTGTTACTTGATTTGTTTTCTTTATTACAATCTACTTCAACATATTCTGCCTCTAGTGGAAAGAAGGCTATGAGGTGGAATGTGGATGGGTGGGGAGTGGGAGCGGCGCGCCCTTAACACAGGGGTAGTTGGCGATTTAATTTGTAATTTGCATTTCACTAACTACCTCGAGGACGGCAGCGGGGAGGCACGGGGACGGTGGTCTGTATCCCTACATTGAGGAAATTTGTGGCGATAGATGCCTGTGCCCTGTCTTCGGGATTAGCAGGGGTCGTTCCTTGTACCAGGTAACCCGAACACAGTGATTCAAGCACCTTTCCATGCAGAAGTGGAAAAATGACGAATCTTAAACGGTAGTCCCCGACTCTGAAACTTGGCCTTATACTCCTTGCCAAATCCATTGCCTCAAGGTATTTCTGTGTCTGATTACATCAGTTGAGATTGTTAATGAAATAGCTAAAACTTCAGTTCAATATTCAAATGTTCAGAGAGATACAGTGTCATCTCTGGGCAATATCAGAAACCCTTTACAATTTGACAGATACCTGAGTTAATATCTGTCACTCAAAAGATCAAAGGGCACCGCGCGCACCTGGCTTTTTAATATTACCCAGTTTTGCCATCTCGAACAAGTACAACTTTATTAGGTTTTACTGGGGGCATTGTTATATATCGGCTATCATTATTTCTGGTAGTATGGACAATGAATCCAGCCGTTCGTCGGTGCGCAAATCAAAATTGTAGCGGGTGTCTGAAACAATGTGAAAAGGCGTCATCAACTTTTGCGACATTTAAATTATTCTTTACAAAGTAAGGCGGGTCCACACTGCTAATGACCTTAGCTAACTGTCACACTTCCAGTCTGATTCTAGGTCTCAGTCAATGATTACTTTGGTCAATACAATAAGCAGTTTGCGGTTTTTCACGAAGAAAACCTCGCGCCAGGAACTTCTGGTACGATTTGGGACCCACCTTTGCGGTACTTATTCCATCGCAATGCCAATGGTTCACAGGCTTTGATGTCGACCTGTCGCGTTAGGGCAGTCTGATAACTGGCATTTACAGAAATATTTTTCTTGATTTCCACAGAAAACGCCCACCAAACATGGTCTATATAATTATGTTACTTCATTTCTCCAATCCACCCCACCCTCTATTATGTTCTGCTAGTGCGCAGACAAGTCGCAAATGAGGGGCGGTCACTCCGCTTGTTAATGCCCCCACGGCTTACGATTCTGAAAAGCCCCAATTAACTTTTTCGCTTTCTAGTCTTTCCACGGTTTATGTGGCTGAATGAACAAACAAGACTGGGTCCAAATATAACTTAGTCAAATAAACGGTAAAATGTCTTTCTCTGTGAAAGGCAAAGTATCATACCTGGAACTGCACTGCGGTGAAAGTGAAGAGTATGCTCCCTTTATTAATTTGATTAAGCTGTCTTTGGGAGGCGGGGAGATTTAGTCCCGAGTAAATACATTGAATTACACGCTTTTTAGGCACAGTATGCGATGGGCGCTTGGGGTTACTCAAGGTTGCTCACCAAATCAACCCATTGTGCACAACCGGCTGGGCTCTAATCCCCATTCAGGCTTAATTGACTGGGTTTCCAGGCTTTGAAGTTAATTACCATTCAAAGGATTGCCGAATACAACAGTATTAGATTTCGCCGTGAAGAAGAAAGTTCCCATAGTTATATACGATCAAGTGGCGTAGTACGTGCCAGTATCTTCAGATGACCAATTTCACGTTTGTTTCCATTGTTATCATTTAGTTCTCCAAATGACATGACTTAGAGATGATGATTAAATAAAACTGACTATTTTATGTCCCTGTCGTGTTTTACTACTGTCCTTGTTAGCTATAGCGGGTTACTAAAAAAGCAGCGAGTTAAAAAGTCAAGTGGTGACAAATGGATTACACCAACGCCACTCGTTTCTTTCTCCCCACCTCCCCTAACGCATTCCGACCGATAAGTAATAAAATTGTGAATTAAATTGTTGCCTGTGATTACGTTTCATATTTTTCCAGCTTTCAAAAACATGCACTCCTAACGAACTTCTAATTTGCGTAACAAAATAAAGAAAATATTCCCATCCCGTTGATTGATTATTATGCAATAAGCACGATGTAGATTTTGAAATTCAGTTAGTTAGTAGGAAGAAAAATACAGTACGCGTATGATTAAAATACAGTTTTATAGTAACTTATTTTAAATCTAAAGGATAAATAGCTCTAGGCATCTCTTTTAAAAGACATATATGTTTGCTTAAGCAAGAACGTTTATTTTTAAATAAACGAAGCGCAGCTTACCTGTTACGTCAACTATATCTATCTTCAGCCTGAGAAGTATGCGCTTACTGAGATATCCTACAATGATGTCATGCTTAACATGAAAATCAAAATATTCTAAGACGAGCGCCAGACAGCATGTGCCAGTAAATCCGAACGAAAAAAAAATGAGATTCCTGGTTGTAATTATATAATCTGATAATATATATTTTAGTTCCTTGTCTTACAGTGGTTTGCGACAGAACAGTATCCCAGCACGTGTACACACACAACTACGTTTCCTCTCCAGATACAGGTGTTTTGAGGTATGCTGCCCGGTGCACGTACACTATCCAAATGCTGGTCGCTACACCTTCCTTCTAGTGATCTTTAACGCAAGGTAATTACCCCTTACAAACGGGGGGCACCCATTGGCTGGTCGCTTTTCAGGTTGCGGTCTCTTTCAACCCCAGCATGTTTACACGCGTTCGACGGGTATCAATCAAATAAACAATATACAACTACTTCTCTGGCACTCGTAGTAATCACTGATAATTGAAAAATTAAAGAAAACAAAGCCGTTTGAAGGTCTGTACGGCTTCGTTTTAGTGTATGAACTGTTTGTATTGGATGCCAAGTCAACTGGTTCGATATGGGCTTAACAACCTATGCGGGTCTTTGATGTAAGCATACCTTGGAGAGGGGGAAGAGAGGGGGTCACGGGGGTGGGCGCAAGTCTCCTCGTTCCACTTTGATGTAAGGAGAGCAACATGCTTCGAGGAAAGCAAAAAATAATAATTATTTGATAGGAAAATGTGTAACAAGTTTACGTGAAGTTAAACAAAGATTGATGAGAGACGATAAAAGAGCACAGAAATTGATCAGTTTCCATATCCACGTATCATGGATTAAGTTATAAAAAAGTTTCACGCCTTAATTAATAGTAGGTGACTGGGCCTTTAATGTTCGTCTGATTGACAATCGGATCACATGCCGTAATGGCATCGTCCCAAAGTTTCTTTTGAACTAAGAACATTTAGCAGAGTTCAAAGGAGCACTACTTTAATTAGCTACGTCAGCGGGTTATTTAAATCTCCGTCAGCAGAAAAATGCCAAAATATGAATCAGGGCGACATACACGTTTTGACTACGATGTTGTGACATTTGAAATTCTCGATAATACTCATGTTTATGAGATATATATGTGTGTATATTTCCTAAAAAGCCTAGGCCAACCAGGGTGCGGTCTTAACCCCTCTTTTCCGACACACTAAATAACAGCCTCGGATCTACCCAAAGGGAAGAGAGACAAAACAAACTCCCCCCCTTTCCTGGATCCGCCACTGTAAAATAGACATTATCTTTTTCACACAATGAAAGGACAGACCAAGAAGTTATAATGAGCATTATGACTTCTTGGACAGACACGCATCAAGCACATAGTGGAGGAAACGTTTTTCGACCAACTGATTTTTCATGCTGCAACACACATTTAAGATTAATCTCAACAAGGCTAAAGCGTGATAAATACGCAGATTTATCTCAATATTGTAGTAGGAGCGACGATCATATTTACCTTAATTATGTGGATTAGGTCATATACTTTGATCAGTCGGGCAAATCCACATTTATCGAAGGGAGAAGCATACTATAATTGTGCTCCCACCGAGGGCGCCGCCCTTGACGATCTGATAAAAAGTACGATAAAGAAGTAAAAACTCGCGTCTGTGTCTCGTTGACAATAGAACCACTTTTCGGTCAAAGACAGCCTAAAAGCGACAGCGGAAGTATTAATTGACAATAGTGTTTCTGTCTAGCCACTCCAAACTTGAAAAATGATCATCACTTTACCTGCATAAGGTATCGGCTCTGTTTGAAAGTGAAATTTATAGTAATAACATACGTGAATCAAACATTTCGGTCTTTTCTATGAAGAATATGGACCTCTTTGATTTCAGCAGTCAAGCAGAGAAGGGAGTCAAAAGCATTTGTCCCTTGGACCCATCAGTTCTGATGGGTTCGATGAATGCAGTTGATAAAACATCCATTACACATTATAGATGTCTTTTGACATTTTTTGACGCTGTCAGTTTGAAAAATATACGGTATACAGTTAAAAGTTATTTTACTTTATGTTTTAACTCACCGTTCAAAGCATTTAAATCATGCACGAGCAAACCGACTGAACAATCCATCGGCACAAAGTCTCTGTGTTTCTTGCTGGGTCTTCATCCATGCAAGTGACACTTCTTAATGTTCTTAGCTAGTGCATGTTCAGTTTTACGTCTAGCTAGGTAAAATAAATCATTATACCTCGCCCTTGTATCACTAGATGCATAAGGCGATAAAATGCTTTATAACGCCAAAAAGGGAGAAACAGTCAAATCGAGCTGTGATATCTAATACGAGATAAATTTGATATACAAGGGGAAATAGGTGGTATTGTTTTTTTTAAACATATGATTGACAGATTGTTATTTTTAAAGGAACACAAAATGTGTCTTTATTTTCATGGGAAAACATGTCGCCAAGCGAACAAATAACAATCCATGTATTATAACTCTGATTTACCCTTTGTCTAGGGTCTCTCTCTTACCCTTTACCAGGACCTACAGAGTGATATTTGCAATACTAGATATGTCTCTGGTTAATTCTATGCATTTTACAGGACTGAGAAACAAGGGCGATGATTTTTAATGGAATTTACAACATTGATCAGTTGGATTCTTGTATAGAGTAGGTCTCTCTATCTGTTACAAAGTTAGATGAAAAAAATCTTCCAATTTTGTAATGGCGAGAGCAGACCTTTGGTTGTTTTAAAATGAAATTGAAAGAATCAAAGATTAAAAATTGAAATAAAATCAGACCCAAGTAGGTCAATACAGAAGAAACTGAAATTAATTCAAGAAAAAAAAACTTAAGTTATTCTTTAAAATGATATATATCACAAGAACGACTGCATGAATAAGATTCAATAGATTACGAGAAGACTTTTTGTTAGAATGGTTTTTCAGAATGATAGTGAACAGCCAACACCTTGTATCGCCAGGGAATTTAAGCAAGCCTTTGAAAGGAGCCATTATGTGTGCATAAAGAGTGGCCAGGTTTGTTTAGTAAACAGGAAATATACTTCTTTTGGTCAATGAGGGGTGCGGCCGGACATAGAGAGAAATCGATTAAGTTACGACGTATTGAACAAGATTGGAAAGAATAGAGAAAGGGTGAACAAAATCTAATGGGACGTATCTAATTAATTAACTGAACATATTGATTGAACGAGTCTAATTATGTATTTAAGTTCGATTTCAAATACGCAGTGATCATTTTTCCAAAGTTTAACTAATCTAATCACCTGGATAAAATGGTATTAACCAAAGATCAAAAGAATAAGAAATTAAGTAGTGGACTTCAATAACAAGAGCACAGACCTTGGGTATGTTATGATGAAAAGTATTGAAAAACTTAGTTTAGATGAACTGCACGACATAAAAGCCTCAAAAACTTGCCAAATTATCTCAATCTCAAGAGAGTTGATTAGACAATGGCCAGACCTGTGTACTCACGCAGGCACACCAGTTGATTACAATGCTCAACTGTAATTAAATTTGCTGATCAAAGAGCTGTTCGTGGGATATTGTTGAATTTATTCAAGAACGCGTGGACCTGTGTTTTCGTTCGGCTGGTGAGAAGGGAGCGAATTGCGTTCTCTCAGTATCCAGGGCTGTGGTCTAGGGTGAAGGGTGGAATGAACGCGCTCGAGGCGGTTGTTCTTTCCCTGCTGTTAATTTTGTTGTCTTCCAAACAACCTAAATGGGTAAATATTTGGAAGCAATTGTTTCGTTACAGTAAAGAAAATCAAGAACTTACGTTGTATTTACCTTGAAACCAAACATGATGTAGTTGATATCAATATTTTGTATTTTTAGAGTGCCATTAAGAGGTGCGGTTCTTGATTTTATGTCGCATAAGAAGTTCACTTTTTTAATATTGACTGTTCTGTTTCTATGTCTTGAAATCCCTATACTACTCACACTGCGCCATTCCCACCTGTGGCGGTCATCTCATGTTTTCTTTAATGGAAACAAATAGATGTTGCGTCAATATGCCCAATTTCTCAACTACTGAAGACCCAGAAAAGACATCGTGTCATTCAAAGCCACGACGTAAGAGTATCCTGTAAGGGATTATCCCGCTAATTTTCCTTGAAAAATTTTCCCCTCTGCTCACGAAAGCATTGCTCGACCCGTCACTTTGCTTGAGTCCAGTGCTTTGTGACTTCTTATTCCATAACTTAGTTTTTCAACGAATTAAGTGTTCAGAAAATTTAGATTTAAAATATGACTTTAGGGCATTAGCAAGCATGTGTAGTAAACATTTAAATTTACTGACCCTATCAAGACAATAAGTGTATAAATCTAGTAAAAGACTGGGTGAGAATGGCGATGGGGAAAAAATGTTGAGGCCCATAAAAGCATTAATTTACATAGTGTTGCGAAATACTTTAAATCGTATCATTTATATGAGAGAAAGGGAGAAAAAAGATAGTATATAAACACACTTGCAACGGTGGGAGCCAAACACCCAAACCCAAGTGTCCAAAAATAAAATTGAATGAATTCAAAGTTGTATTCATTTTTTAAAAACATATACGTGTATAGAACATAAATCCATATATTATAATTTGTAGTGATTTGTAGTGATTCAGTCATGGTAAATTATACATGACGTAAGAACGTTTTTCTAAATATTTAAACTATAACTCAAGGGGCTTTGCGTCATGGCTAATACTAGGTAACGTATGTTCCCCAGAAATATTGTCAAAAAGTTTCATTTTGTTGGTGCAATAGAAAACATTGTTTTCTGTTGCTGACCAAAAAATATAATGTAATTCCATGATTGATTGACATTTCTTATATAATATTTGGATCATGAGGGAAAAAATAATTTATTCAATGCTTGTTTTACTGTCAGTAGGGTGTATTTTCCCCTTTTTTTAATATTCAGTAACAAGCAAACTAAAGTCGCTCAAAAACTTCCTAACCGCTCTATACAGAAGATTATTATAATTATTTATAACGTTATACTTGTAGGAGATGAATCAAAGAACAAAATCAGTGATGATTGCATTTTCAAAGTGAGTAAAACGTTTTACAGCTGGACGATTTGCATTAGTGACAGTTATACGTAGGCCTATGTTCTTTTTGGGGATAGACGATGAATAATTTTTTATTATTCATGGTTCCAGGGAAGTGAAACTTTGATACAAACTTCTTCATGTGGGACCCTAAAATAATCAAACATAGTTTGCAATCTGTGCATTAAATATTTGACATCAATTGCACCTCTAAATTGGGTTTGGGTGCTAATAATTTAAATGATTTTTAAAAAAAGAAAAAAAAAAACACTCATTCTATAACTGTTATGAGAAAGAAGTGAGATTGTATGAGAAACTCACAAGCACGGGGTGTGAGGGAAAGGTTGGATAAAAAAGGTCTACTATTACTGTATATTCATGACTATTTTGGAAAATTGAACCGAAGCAAAACTGACATTTTGCGAAAAATTCGTGTCCCGACCAAAAGACAAAATGATTTAAATGTCTATTTAAAAAATCATATTTCAACTATACATGTTTCCAAGGTGAATCTTTTAATTGGCATAAGACAGATCGCTCTTTTTTACCATGTGTTTAACAAATTAGATGTATGTTTTTAGCTATAGATTGCATAAAGCATTTTTATAATATCCATTTTAAATTATGTCCCAGTCTTTCAGTGTTAATGAGATCCTTACATTGATTGGTTTCATTGACAGGGTTTTGTCTAGTTATATCGTTATAGGGCGCATTGCCAATGAAAGTATTGTTCTACATAGATCGATCCAACTCAGCATGGACTCTCGCTAAATGCAATCAGATTAAGTGAATGACACATCTTATCTTGTTTCCTCGTATAATCACCATTTTTTACTCAACGCCATTTGCATTCAGAGAACATCCCCGCAGAGTTTGATTGATCTTCGTTTAAGGCCGGTTTCGTTGGGAATTGACCCTTAGATGTTGACTCCTTTGAGGTAGGTAATAATTATAATGGTATTTTCATCAACAAAAGATGCATTACCAATCTAATACATATTTTATTATTAACATCATTATTTGCCTGCTTACATGTAGGGCCTACTTACTAAGTAGCCTAACTTTTTACCTAATTACTTACTTTTGGTAAGTATGCAACCTAAGAGCGGAAGCCCTATATTTCAGTTTTTATTGTTTTTTAAACGCGTGGTGAAATAATGTTATTTAGGCCTACCTACATGTAGAAATTTTTTACTAAAATTAACAAATAAATCAACAGCTAAAGAATTAATATAGCTTAACCCATCCATTTGACTTTCAATCACATTTCTGTGAACAGTTCTCTTTAACTGGATTTTTCAAATTAATTTCTTAAAATTAACTAGCCTGTTATAATTTTTAGATTGGAATAACAAGCTAAAACAAGAAAACAAGAAGTTTTTAATAACGTTAGTTTTTAGGATAAACAGGAAACTTGTTGTAGGAGTGTTGAAATGATACTGAAATCAATGGTTGATTGGGATATTTATCACTTTGAAATATAATAATTACCTCCGCCAAGGAGGTTATGTTTTCACCCCTGTTTGTCTGTCACAACACAACTCAAAAAGTTAATTAGGCCTATGGACCGATTTTGATGAAATTTTCAGGAACTGTCAGAAGTGGGCCAAGGAACAGATGATTAGTTTTTGGTGGTGATCTGGATCAAATATCAATCAATAATCAATAATAATCAAAAATTGCTGCCTTGGCAGAGGTCTGCGCTCTTGGATTGCTTTTCTAGTTTAGTAACTGATATGATAAAATGGAGAGACGCCAGAGCCCTTCACGGGATTTGTTTCGTCTTGATCGCCAGAGCCCCCTATACTTCAATTGGTAAATACAGGTTTAGCGGGACTGGAGTAAAAGAAGCTTTTTCTTCGAGCATCTACTTTATCAATATGGTGAGTGGTTTTAAGCTTCCAAGACGATTTAATGGTTGCCTAGTAAGTGTCTTTCAAGTTCTATGTGTGTTGAATTCTTAAGCATACGTTTTAAAATTCGTAGCGCTCTGTGCTTTCTTCTCGCTACCAGGCGCTCCGCCGCCGAGGCAGTGCACTCATTTATGAAATGACATAAAAGAGATGCACCAAAGAGAGTTGAATCATTTGTGGATTGAGAATTTGAGAAAATGGGCTTTCCCCCCTTATGAGCCGGTTGTTTTGATATCAAGCAGTAGTCATAAAATGGTCATCAAAACAACTATTTGATTCAAATCAAATTATCTCTAGCTCTGCTAGTAAAGGCAATATACAATTGTTTTATGATCAGGAATTTTGGCACTTTCTTATTGGTCAGGCGCCAGGATTAGTCGATTCAGCCCACGATCTCTCAATGCCATAATGTCATCAATGTGGTCTAGTGTAGTGTCTCACCATTGGTTTTGGTCAGTCATCTCAGCTTCGTTTTATATCTTGCCATGAGGTGACCTCACCCAAAGTCAGTAATAATGTATTGTGCACTTTGACAGAGGTCAGAATGTTGTTTTGCTGTGATATCACCCAAGGTGCAGCTGAGGCTAACATCACTGTTTTTAAGGCATGCAAAACAATACATTGACATAGGTTTAAGTCTATAATTATTTAAATTTATAGTTCAATATCTGAACATCAGTGTTAAAAGTTTCAACTCCCCACATCGCCATCTGCCCACATTGTCATTTGATTGACTGTATATTTCCTTTAATCTGATTGTTCAAAAAGCCAACAACTATGTAATGAGTCAATATTATATTTGGGGATTATGTCCGTTATCAGTATTACGTTTTATTAGACCTCAAATTGATGGACGTAAGATCATAAGATATGCTAACTGCACATTAATGTATGTTTAAAAAAAATACGTAATTTGATAATATATTCATTTATGGTGTGTTGTCTGTAATTCTTTTTGGATATCAGTTGCATGCCAGCTGCTTTATTCAGGGTCTCAGATCCATAGTAATATCTTCAAAAGTCATCTTAGATATGCATGCTTTGAGTGAGAGCAAATTAGATGTTATGTTAAATGTATTTCAGCCAATGTGATTGAGGCAGATTTGGATCTGGATGTATATTATGAAATAAGGGTTATTAAGTTCATTTTCAAGAGCAACTTGGTCTACTTGAAAGCCTGGCTAATAGCATGTGGATCAGGTAAATTTATTTTATGCTTTGTTGCACGTAACAATTGATAACTATCAGTGACACTGGTAGCCTAATTGACACAATTATAACTTGATACTATCTTGTAAAATTTCAGACTTGTGTGGAAGATAAGAAATTTGTAGCCAGAGTAAGCTAGAGTCCCAAGGAGACTTTAAAGGGAGACTGTCCAAGAATGGATGTATCAGAAGAAGAATTAAGCAACCTAGACCTTTATTCTGATCTGCTGTCTACTGATCATCAGCATGAAGAGATTGAGAAACAAGAGGTAGGTAGTGTATATGGTAAATAAACTAATATATTAAACATTAGTAGAAAAGAAGTTCCATGGCCAAGATGTTTTTTATAGCCATGGTAATACACAAATCAGATATAACAGAAGTCTGAATTTGAAATGTTTCTGCGGTTGGAAAATGCCTTATTGTTATTGATTGCTTTAGTGATTGTTGTGTGTTATTTTTCTTTTTATGTGTTATGCCTAAAATACTTCCTTGTTTTTGCTATGGATCAGTGCCTCTGGTACTGGCATTCTCTTTCTACATGCATGTTACTCATCTTATCTGATAGGAGATTCAAGGTTATCAGAAACAGTGAACAACGATATTATAATGCACACAGTGATTAGTGTGTGAAAATTGACTCTTGATACAGGTAGGATTATAGGATTTCCTTATGTCATTGTCACCTGAATTTCTTAACCTACATATAGAAATTTTTCCATTCTCAGCTGAAGTCTAGACTTGAAGATGTTGTGAGAGAAAATGAAGAAATGAAGAAAGAATTGGCTAAATTTCATGTTCAAACAGAGACATTGGTCAAAGAAAATGCTGTGTTAAAGAAGAACATGTCAGCACTTTATCAGACAGCTAAACTGGAGATGAAAAGAAAAGAAGCTGATATCACCAGGATGAGAAAAACGTAAGCAGACAATATCATTCCCTCCTTAATCTGTGCAGTGGGGTGGTACATTGCCTTTTAATACTAATTAAAATTTGGTTGAACTGGTATGGCATTTTCTTCAGCTTTTTCTCTAGTTTTATTTTTCTACCTGTTACAAACATGCCATTCGTTATAGTGGCATATTTTTTTTTAAGTGAGGAGTTGTCATTTAGGTTCTTGTTAACTTACAAAATTAAAGGTGCATTGAATGTTTTAAATTCAGTCCAGGTGGGTAGATGTCGTGAGTAACTGGCCCGGTTTAAAATTTTGTCACTCTTTAACAAAATATTTCTTGGCGTTTGGGCCTGTAAGATTCAGATATTACTGTCATTGTGATGGATCACTGGCATGGAGCCAGCTGTCATTGTGAGACCTGGCTTTGATATTTATTTAGCACAGTTTACATGATTTAAACTTTTGTTACTTCTAGCATGGAAACCTATGCCAAACTAATCAGAAAACAGGGTTTATCATTACCCAACCCGGAGGTGAAGCCTGCTGTTGTGAAGGAAAACTTCAGTGGTACGTTCATTGGCAGCAGGGAAAGAAATGTGAACCAAACGATGCCTGTGAAGGTTTCAGATCCCAAGCCAAGGTCAGAATCAGAGAATGTTCAAACAAGGTTGATGGGTATTGCTGCAATGAGTTACGGTCAGGGGTTCCAAGGATCATCAGAGGTGGAAAAAAATGACAGGTCAGGTCCAGAAAAGTATAAAAATTGTTCAGAGGATGAAGGCAAGGTTATTGTAAAGAGCATATTTTGCGACTCAGAACAAGTTGAAGTGACTAACAGTAGCATTCATGGCAATGGACAGAAACATGACAAAAATGATTTTATAGACAACAGAACTAGTAAGGAGAGAAAGAAGACTAGTTTAAAAGCAGATAGTAAAGGAAAAGAGAAAAATGCCCTCCACAGTAAGAGATCTAGTAATGATAGACTTGATAGAACACCAGAGACCAGATATAGCAGAGAAAGAGGTCATGGCTCACAAGAAAACAGATCCAACAAAGATGACTATAGATGCAATCAAAAACACAATAAAGATAATGGCAATAAAAGTGTAGAAAGGAAGTCAAGTCATGATAGAGAGGACAAGAAACCTGTTAAAAGAGAAAGTAATGAAAGAGACAATTATATATCAGAGAAAAGACCAAACATGGAAAGAAAAGATGACACTGTGAAGAAAAATGCTAGAACAAGTGAAGACAAATGTAGACCAGAGAAGCTTTTAAGCAAGGAGGAGAGAAATAGTTTTGCAGTTAAGACTTCTGCTAGCAAGGAGAGAAGTAAGCTGGACCGCAGTACAGGTGGCAAAGACCGGTGTCATGATAGTAGAAGTCATCACAGTCATGAAAGAAAGCACCTTGACCTCTGTGATAGAAGAAAAGAGGAAGTAAAGAGCATAGATGGGGATCATAGTAAAGGGCATCAATGTGAGGCCAAGCAGCATGGCAAAGTGTTAAACCATGCTAACAAAAAGAGAAAACTCACCACAGGTCATTCAGAAAGACCTTCTAAATTGTCCCGGAAAAATCAAAGGGGGCATTCTGAAAGTCACAAGCATTCAAGGACTAAGTCCACTATTCACAGCAGTGAAAAAGACAGGGATTCATTAGAACATGAACATCTGGTTGAACATAGATCTCAGGCTAAGAACACTGGATTTAAATATCTCAAACCAACAAAGCCCTTTGACATAGATAGGATGGAACTTTATATGAAACATGCCCAACACCATTTTGAAGTAAGGAGAAGAAAAAAGAAAGGTTCTGTTAAGACTTTGGATCTACCCAGAACTGCTGTGAAAAAGACAGAACAGACCGGAAATTCCAGCCAGCTGCCATGTCCAGATCAAATAGCTAAAACTCATGATCTTGATGATCCAATTTGTCAAAGAATTGAAAACAGTGTGCCCAAAGTTACAAATGGTGTTAGTAGTGATTTAACAAATAAACGAGCTGCAGCACATGTATTCTACCCCACCCACAAAGAGGAGCAACCTTTTGACAGAAGCTTTAATGAAGATGCTGTAGGAAATAATTTTGGGGAAGGGAGTAAGATGAAAGAACATGAAGAAATGGCAAATATTGGTGGGATTTATAAAGGGATAAAAATGGAGCCTGTGGTTACTTTGTCTGAGACGGATTCCAAAGAATCTAAAATATCCAAGAAAGAGAAAGATGTGTCGAATGAAGCATACCAGACCGGTGTATTTGACAGTGATGTTGTCGAAGAAATAACTGGAGTATCTAATCAAATTGAATCAGGTGTAGGCTCTGCATTATCATGTGCTAGGACTGAAGTACCTGCAGCAGTAATGGAACATAATGGATTGATGGAGACCTCTGATGTGTTAGAGGTGCAGCAGTTAAAGCCATTTGAACTAGAAGGCGATATTAAAAATGCCGGGATCAAAGATATGTCGGAAACAAGAGAAATTCCCCAGTTGGTGCAAAAGAATAAAATGGACTTCCCTGTTGAAGTGATGGATTTGTCTGAGAGGAATGAAAGTGGGCTTGTTGATATTGTAGAACTGGGATTGGGAGAAACTTCTCCTTTGATTGATGGAGAAATGGACGATTTAGTTCTTGATTTCAAGGATAGAAATGGTCTTGAGAATGAAAGTGCAGAAGAGGGAGAAATCACAAGTGAATCAGAGGATGAAACCAAGAGTAGGAAATGTACAAATGAACCTGTGAAAAGTAGCAGAGACAGCAGACAAAATTGTCCTGAGCATAGAAAAAGGAATTCAAATAAAGAATTCTTTAAACGGCATCATGGTAAAACTGATGAAAGGAATTTGAGTAAAAGTCAGATAGAAAAAAGAAAACGCTCTATTTCTCATAGTGAAAATGGTTTCAAGAAGGATGCAAGTCACCACAATTCAAGGTATAAAATAAAGGACACCAAAAATGAGGGCCAAGAAAAGAAAAAAAGAGATGGAAGTAGAACAGATAAAAATTTACATAAAGAATATTCAGAGAGTAATCAGCCAAGAAAGCATAGGAAGGAAAATGAATGTGAAGCTAAAGAAAATTGTCCCAGAAAATCCTATTCAAAAGATGATAGAAGCAGGTCAAAAAGGCCTTAATTAATTCTATAACATTTTTCAAATGTTATCAGTGACGGTCTTAAATAATTGAAAGGGTTTTAGAGCATTTTACAATTTCCTTTTTTGCTATTTATGTAATTCCTATTTTTGTGAAATGAAAGTTGATGTTTATTGCTGTCAATATCAATCTTAAGGGATTTGCCATTATTTATTTATTTTATTATATATATGTAGATTGTGTAGGTAAGTCTGCATAATCAAATAACTCAGAAACTCTTATGTTCTTGTAAATATTGATTTGCTGGATGGCAACAGACTGTACTAAAAATACTGAATATTTCTTGAAATAAAAGCTTTTCTACAATTTTTATACAAAATTTTCTACAATTTTGCATTATTTTCAGACCGTACTTAACTTGCCTGCAAACACTGGGCAATGCAATTGATAAAACCTACAACAAAGAATATTAAAACTGTGCCATGTTATGGCTGCCTTAATAATTTGCCTTTAACCAAGATTACAGGGCTTCCTCCACCTGTACAATTATGTTTATGAAGTTGCATCTTATTTGGTAAAAGTAATTTGTCAAAAGACCCCAGACAATGCCTGTGGTACCAGAAAATGCTACTTGTTTTTGAAAATTGTGCATGTAGCCCTGATAATTATTATTATTTTTAACTTATGTTGATTCCTCATAAATTGTATGCAATATAATTTTTTGGTCAAAAAGTAGGATTGATAAGAAATAAAAGGAAGAATAAGAAAAGTGTTTAGCTTGGAAAAGTTAACTTACTGTCAGTTCAATACAGTAGGACAGATGTACCATAAATTATCTTGCCATGAGTAAATATGTGTATATATGCAGGTTTTTTTTTTCATTCCAACTTCAAATATTTTAGGAAAGATCAAATGCATGAATAAATCCTTTTTTTTTACATTTATTACAGCAATATTGCAAAAGTGGCTTTTAAAACAAATGTTAACACATTCAAAAACTTATATGCACTTATATTTACTAAATTGCTGATGTTGATGACAACTACAAGTTTGCACCACTGGTATTCCAGTGGGTACAAACAACCTCGTTGTCAGAAAAGCAATAGAGCCAACAAAGTGATTGGTTCTTATAAATAGACTTAAAGCAGTGTGTAGTAAATCTGTATCACAAACCTTCGAAAAATTCAAAACCAGAAATGAAATGGTAATCCTCTAAAGCTTAATCAACATCACTACAGTTACACAACTCCTATAATATGTGGTAGGAAATACATCAACATAATTTTAAAATGGTACAAAAAGAGAATGATGCCACCTCCAGCCCAAGATATATCATGCAGGATTTATTTTTTTTTGTTGAGTCAAATGTCCCATTTGGAAATGAGCTTCCCCCAGCACTTCCTCTTTCTTCAACAATAGTAATGTTTGTTTTTAACACTTTAATATGTTCAATTTTGCAAAATGTGAACTACTAGCTATGCTAACTCCACATATTACACTTTGAACAAAGGGCAGATGAACAATGATGTATAAGAACTACTATTAGAATAAATATTGGTTATCATTAAAGAACTTTGTAGGTCTAAGTTTAAAAAAAATCATAACCCATGTTTCTGATGGTCTAAGTTTGCTTAACATAACAAATAATATCATCTTGCTTTCAAAAATCCCACTATATATTCCAGGTTTCTTGTCCAAGATTATATTGTCCACAATGCTCTAGAAAATCACACCAAAATAAAGACGAACTACTTCCAACGGTTGTTGTTTTCACAGTAATGCCTGAATCAAATGTTTGCAACGTAAATTAGTCCACCAAATTTGTTCTCTTTATGAAGCAGCCGATTCTGCTGAGTGTGATGCTGCTGGTTCTTGTGGTTTCATGACATCAGGAAGTTCTGGCGGTGTTGAGAGTGGTGTGATCTCTACCGTATCCCCGTCTAAAGAGAAAATGTCAAACGATGCAATTTAGATATTTCTCAATTTAACCATCAGGTGGAGAAAGAGATCTACAACTTTTATTCTTAATTAATTTATCTCTTTACATAGCTCATTTAAAAACTAACAAAATAAAGCCATGGTTCATATCAGGCATAAAACACTATTTTTACAACCAAGAGAAACATCTACAGCATCTGATATAAACAATGAATAAATATTTTTTACACAAAAATCACATTTAAACTTATGACCACTTTACTTACTTAACACACACACACACACACACACACACACTGACCTTCCTCTTTGAATGCTAACCCTATCGTGGCAGGAGCTTGCGCCCTGGCTGTTGAACTGGTGAACCCACAGTCTCCCAGTGCCTTATTGTCATCCAAAGGCTAAAAAATAAAAATGAATACAAGATGGTATACTTAAAATCAAATCCAACTTAAGAAGGGTATGAAATCAAATTTCCAAATTTCACCAGGCATTACATTTTTAGCATTATCATATTAATCTTAGAAATAGAATGATTGTGTCTAAATATAAACAAATTAAAGCATCAGGTTCAGATGCATTTTGTCCTATGAAATGCAACAAATGCCAGCTCTCTAGCCTTCTAAGTGATCAAACTAACAAGATTTGGTTCAGATGTATAATTGTGGTGAAACCTGTGAAAATGTACCCATTAATCCCATGAGGCCAAACGAGACCTATCATCATTTGATGGATGGTGAAATTTTGTAAATACGTAGTTATGTATGTTTAAGGTTGTGGTGATAAGTATTGAGACACTGTGTTTAAGTGACCAAATTTAAGGTAACTTCAGCTGCGTAGCAGTGATAAAATAAGAGAATACAAATTTTGAACTGATAAATCACACTCCCTAGTTAACCCGAGGTTAACAATCTTAAGAACAACTGTAGCTGAAAATCAGAAATTCTCATTTATACCTGAAAGGGATACATAATTCTAATTATGCATTAAATTTATATAAATGAATTATATAATAAAGTTTCTATTTCCCTAATGAAACCAGCTACAGAAGAAGTAGATTAATGATACCACCCGAGCAGAGAACGGACCCTGATAAACCCAACTGGCAGCTCAGTCCAAAAAGTGAAACATGCTTAAGAGCCACGCACGATAGAGGTTGGGTTACTCAGTCCCATCATTACCGAGTTTTACCCTATCCTCTAGAGGAGATAGGGCAGACATAACAAAAAAAAAAAAAAAAAAACTTTTTAGAAAAAAAAAAAAAAAAAAAAAAACAGAGACTACTTTTGAATGTAAAAACGGATTCATTAACCATTGGTAAGTATGGGAGAAGTTCATTTTTTGGCCAAAACGAAGAGTTATTATCCCTTTAATCATTCCTGGAAAGTGTACAGTGACACCAACAATGACAACAGATGGAGGCGGTGGCTGTATGTCCAGACAGATTGTGTCTGTCCATAAATTATATTCTCTAATTATCATGTATATTTGCTTTAGGAAAAACCAGCACTTTTTTCAACTGTCTTTCAACAAAAATCCTTTAAATGGTGGAAAACCACCATTTTCTTTATAGATAAAAATTTTAATGAATATTGTTTAATAGGTAATGTAAAACAGCTGGGACAATTCACTCTTTGCAAATACCTCATCGTCTTTAAATAATTTCTGATCCTCTGGTGGCGTTTTAAGAATTCCTTCTACAACTTTTTTTAGTTCTCCCACTGTTGTGCTCTCCTTTGCATCTATAAAGATGGTAGTCTTCTTACGCCGTATCATTAAGAAGACATCCTTAAAAGAAAGATAATATACATGAATTTATTATAAACACTTTTTATTCCTAGTAGTAGTAGTTGAAAAATTCTGACATTTTCTTCTCTCTTTACTTCTTTATCAACAGAGAGAAGAATTTTTCTACACCAAGGAATAATAAAGTGCCTAGAGCTTAATTGACAGAATTTAAAAAGGGAGTTATGTTAGTTGCTGTGGCCACTCAAAGCTTGGACAAATAAAAAATAAAAAAAAAAAAAAAAAAAAAAAAAAATATATATATATATATATATATATATATATATATATATATATATATATATAAGAGCCACAAATTAAATATAACCAATTGATACCTATAAACTACTATTCATACAGCCTATTAATTCGTGAGTATATACGTTCTTGACAATCTCTGTCACATACAGAAAGTACCAAACAGGTAAGTGGATTAACAGTTCATGGTTTGTAGCACAGTGCCCTTGGCTTCTTGTGGGCCATTCAGAAAAGAAGATCTGAGTATCAATCAGTATCAACTGGTCCAAGGCTCCCCAAGCATCATCCCTGCAGGGGCAAAGTAATTAAATCTCGGCTCCATTCGACCAGATGCGTGGGGAGGCGTGTGCGAGGCGAAGAGACCATTACAGGATGAAATGGTCCTTCTTTCATATAGGGTCCACCATAGTTGAGCCTTGGACCATTTGATGCTCAGATCTTCTATTCTAAATGGCCCCTCAGACTGTGTTCCCATACCTAGATCAATCTAACAGGATTGATCCACCTCCAAGGTGGTTTTGTGCTAAATGGCTTTCAGCTTCAGCGGTTTAGATGTCTGGCACGCCTAGTGAAGCTGGTTAACAATAATTAATTACCCCCTAGCAGCTTCAGTAGGTGTGACAGCTATCTAAGCTGCTTAAGTTGATTGCAATTTAGCCAGATTCCCCGTGGAGATAGATTGATCCACAGTTAGTATGATAGGGTCTGGGAATGGTCCCTAATATTATAGAAAAAGCAACACAGATGCTGCAAAGAAATATATTTTTGATGATTTTAAAATTATGTATCTGAAAATTTGTTAGTTTTTCCTCATTGAAAAGACTGAGTCATTACTGTAACTTGTATTTCTGAGTGGTTGCTATAAACTTTCATCTGTCACTAGTGTATTATATACCCTGACTTTCAATCATTTCACTGATGTTTTAAAAAATGATAAGAGTTATGAAAATGATGTTAAATTAAACAGTGATGGGCTTTCACCATTATTCTGATATCTGTTAAGGACTAGAGGAAAAATAAAAATCAGTACAGATTTCTGACCCTAATTATTTGTAGATTACTGACTGCACTAATTTAAAGAGTTTAGATAGCAGAGAATAAGGGAGCATCAGTAATAATAGTTTTCCTCCAAAGAGATTATTCAAGTCATATTTAGCTTTTCTGTGTTTACAGAGCATGTTGAGACAGACACAGACATCAAGTGAAAACTATGTATGATTGATGCAAAGGGAAGTCAAAATTGGGGAGGGATAATTTTGACAATTTTGTGGAAATGTGTGAATGCATCATCTCAAAACTTATCTAAAAACAGCAATTATATCGATATGGATTTATGCAGTGAATGATTGTGAGCGTGAACAAAATGTGTAAGTTGATAAATTGAGAAACTCAAGTTCTGGATAGACATCTTAGGAAAGATTGCTTTTCCTTTTCTTTAGAGTAAAATTGTTTATGGCAGGAAAACGCCAGACAGAAGAGTTAAGCTTATGCCAATCTACAGTTTAGAATACCGTAACTCAAATAAAAAGTGCTGGTAGTGGTGTGGTTTACTATGTACATCGTCAGGTACCTTTGATCTAGCAGGTTAGGTGATCAAAATCGCCAATGTTATACATCATGTCATATCAACACCTACTTTATGATTCCTAAACTCGGGGTATTGGTGAGAATAAACCTAAGGACGTATAGGTGGTATGAGGATAGAGAAAAAATTAGGAAGGGACAATCAGAAGGTGACTGACAGACCATAGCAACACTGTGAAACGAGACGCCGGTAAATGGGAGTTGTGTTTCAATTAGCATATCCTAAGGTTCTCGGTGTGCTATGATTATCAGTGATACTATTACCAAGATTTCAAGACAGTAAAAAAGCTACAGGCTATTCAAAGAATGAAAGTTTACGACACAAAGATACTCACCATCCTGATTCAAGTTCCCACACAACAGGGTAGTGACAGTAAAAGTTGATTGGTTGATTTGCGCACCACTATCATACTCTTCCGGCAAGAGACACGTTTCCGGAACATACTTGTATTAAATATTTAACAAATAGTAAAATTAAGATAAGTTATCATGTATTGAGCCAATATTTGAAATTAAGTAAAAGAGATAATATTTATTATCCTATTTTATTTGAAATAGAATAAGATTTAAAGTAATCAATCTTCCTCCCAAGAAACTCCATTCTGCTTTTTCGATAGAAGGAAGCAATACGTGACCTGACGTGACCTTGCCTCCTTAGCCTGAGATGTAGAGCGCAGGGGTTTGAACTCAAAGAATAATTGCAAGTCATCCTGTCGTCTGCAACATGGCTAGCAAAGGTGTGATTGCAGATATAACAAATGGAACAGGGGAATTTGTTCGCAAACCGGCTGCATTTAGGAAATGGATAACAGGTGCGAGCGTTTATATATTCATGATACACAAATCTCATTGGCCTTTTTATGTACAGACCCAGTGGGTCTGTATTGTGTATACATAGCCGTCACCTGCGTCCGTTGTTGCAGTTGTCGCCCCTTTAAGACACTTTCTGAGATAACACGATAGGTAAAAATTCGTGTGAGCTATTTCCTTCAAATTTACAGCACAGATTAATATTAGTAAAATACACAAGGAATTAAAAAACCAACCTGATTGTAATATTATCCCTGAAGTTATGAATTTTTTGTGTGAAATGTTCTCTCCCCTCCTCCCCCCATTTTCTGTTAGCTACATTTTCTGAATATCTATGTTATTGGTACCTGTGGTCCATTAAAAAAAAATTGGTGCTGATTTGGCTTATAAGCATTGTCATATTGCATCAAAATTGACAAATACAAAAAGCCTTGTTGTGCATTATCATATAAACATTGTAAAAAATAAAACCATTTTACTTAAAATTCTTAGACTTACAGAAATGATACTTTGGGCTGAAGTACAGCTCTTGGTCAAATTCTAGCCTGGTAGGATTATTTTTTAAGGAGCAAAATATAGCTCTTGCTCAATCACCAGCTTGATTGGATTATTTTTATCATATTATTTTTTACAAGTTATGTATTCTTTTGTGAAACTTTCATTTTTCACACATTTATACTACTTTTATTTTCTGAATATCTGTGTTACATGTAGTACATAGTGAAATTGGTAGTGACTATGATGTTAAACATTATGTAATTTTGCAAAATTGACAAAAAAACCTATGTTTAGCCCTTTCAGCATTATTTTCTGCTTTATGTCTGTACATTTGACAGCTTTGTTGGCTTGCTATGAATTAAATTTGAAATCACCTGTACTTGTGCCTCAAAGGCATGTTTTTCTTTTAAACATAATAAAATTACTACTCCAGCTTAAAAATGTTTTCAGCTGATGGAAGCAGTGGCTACAAGGCAGAGCGTGGTAGGTACCATCTATATGTTTCTCTGGCATGCCCCTGGGCACATCGGACTCTTATTATGCGGAAGCTTAAGGGTCTGGAAAAAGTGATATCTGTGGACATTGTTGACTGGCTGTTTTCAGAAATTGGATGGAGGTTCAGTCCTGAGGTAAAAAATATTCTGTATATATATATATATATATATATATATATAGAGANTGTAATATTATCCCTGAAGTTATGAATTTTTTGTGTGAAATGTTCTCTCCCCTCCTCCCCCCATTTTCTGTTAGCTACATTTTCTGAATATCTATGTTATTGGTACCTGTGGTCCATTAAAAAAAATTGGTGCTGATTTGGCTTATAAGCATTGTCATATTGCATCAAAATTGACAAATACAAAAAGCCTTGTTGTGCATTATCATATAAACATTGTAAAAAATAAAACCATGTTACTTAAAATTCTTAGACTTACAGAAATGATACTTTGGGCTAAAGTACAGCTCTTGGTCAAATTCTAGCCTGGTAGGATTATTTTTTAAGGAGCAAAATATAGCTCTTGCTCAATCACCAGCTTGATTGGATTATTTTTATCATATTATTTTTTACAAGTTATGTATTCTTTTGTGAAACTTTCATTTTTCATACATTTATACTACTTATATTTTCTGAATATCTGTGTTACATGTAGTACATAGTGAAATTGGTAGTGACTATGCTGTTAAACATTATGTAATTTTGCAAAATTGACAAAAAACCTATGTTTAGCCCTTTCAGCATTATTTTCTGCTTTATGTCTGTACATTTGACAGCTTTGTTGGCTTGCTATGAATTAAATTTGAAATCACCTGTACTTGTGCCTCAAAGGCATGTTTTTCTTTTAAACATAATAAAATTACTACTCCAGCTTAAAAATGTTTTCAGCTGATGGAAGCAGTGGCTACAAGGCAGAGCGTGGTAGGTACCATCTATATGTTTCTCTGGCATGCCCCTGGGCACATCGAACTCTTATTATGCGGAAGCTTAAGGGTCTGGAAAAAGTGATATCTGTGGACATTGTTGACTGGCTGTTTTCAGAAATTGGATGGAGGTTCAGTCCTGAGGTAAAAAATATTCTGTATATATATATATATATATATATATATATATATATAGAGAGAGAGAGAGAGAGAGAGAGAGAGAGAGAGAGAGAGAATGAGAATGCAGGTATACTTTTGTTCTGATAATTGTCTATCAAAACATTCAAATCTGAAATGCAAACTTCTGAAGAAAAAGGTATGTTTATGAATGAATGGGGATGATAATATTTAAAACTTGTTTCTAAAACTACTGCAGTTATACAGCCTATTACCTTCTGTAATTTATGTGCTCTGAAAATAGCAGTGCTGAGTAGTTGATATCCATGTCATTAATTTGATCACTTTATANAGAGAGAGAGAGAGAGAGAGAGAGAGAGAGAGAGAGAGAGAGAGAGAGAGAATGCAGGTATACTTTTGTTCTGATAATTGTCTATCAAAACATTCAAATCTGAAATGCAAACTTCTGAAGAAAAAGGTATGTTTATGAATGAATGGGGATGATAATATTTAAAACTTGTTTCTAAAACTACTGCAGTTATACAGCCTATTACCTTCTGTAATTTATGTGCTCTGAAAATAGCAGTGCTGAGTAGTTGATATCCATGTCATTAATTTGATCACTTTATATTGTTTTATACTTTTAACAAAGTTAATCTTGCTATCAGATCTATACATGTACAGTTAAACAGAAACAGATGCATTTAATTGTAAATTTTCACATCTCTCATATTTCAAACTTTTATTAGATATTTATCTTAATTTCTCTGTCATGACAAAATTTTTTCCAATTAAACTGATGATTAACAATGTGAAGTTTCTTAGAAATATTATAATTATGAATCTTTAAAAGGAAGCCAGTGCAGATATATTTGTTTAATTATTAGACTATACATTAAGAAAAGTGGATTTGTAATTGTTCCAAATTACTCTAAATGTATATTTTAGAAACCTGGCTGCACCCCAGATAGAGAAAATGGTTGCACTTACATGCGCGAAATATATATGAAGGCAGATCCAAGTAAGTTTGCCATATATCTGAATATGTCTTAGTTTAAGTTGTTAGTTATAAATAGTATGTGCTTTTGTTGGCATTTTACATAAATACCAATTATTTATAATAAATTTATTTTGGACTAAAAAAAATTAGTATTTTGAGTATTTTTCTCTTTTTTTTTTCAGCATTGTAAGATTGAATTTTAGTCTTTAGAATGTTATAGGTTGCTACCTATTTGCTTTTGATTCTTGCAATGGGCTTTGCTTTGCAGCTGACTCTTTACATAGCTGTCACCTGCACAAAATAGAATACTGTCAATTCTGATGCAATGATACATTATGCTTAACTGCACAAAGCAAAAAAACAGCATAACTTTTGATAATAATGGTCAATCATGCTGATTTTCACACTTGACCTGCGTTTAATGCTTACTCATCAGTTCTGTAAGTTTTAAGTCAAAGGGTAAAATAGTTTTCCACTTATTGTGTTATCCGTGTTACATATATGCTGAAAAAAGCAAAAAAAAACAGCACAACTTTTAAGAAAATGGCCATGCTGATTTTCAAACTTGACCTGCGTATTATGAATATTCATCAGTTCTGTAAGTTTCAAGCCAAAATGTAAAATGTTTTTCCACTTATCGTTATATTGGTGAAAGAGTATGGCGATGATGACAGATGCAGGTGACAGCTATGTACAGAGTCAGCTGCAAAGCAAAGCCCATTGCATGAATCAATTTTCTGCTTTTTGTCTGTACATTTGATAGCTTTGCTTCCTTGTTTTGTGAAATTTTCATTTTTTTCATTCTGGCATTTTATAAGTGTGAACTTGAACTCTCATAGGCTTGAAGCCTTATGCTTTTACTTTCATCAGTATTACCTATTGTGCATAATTGAACTTTGATGTCGACTTTGCAGGTAAGCATAATGTATTATTGCATGCTTTTTGTCTGTACATTTGACAGCTTTACTGCCTTGTTTTTAAATTTTTGTTTAAGATTATGGTGGTAGATATACTGTTCCTTGTCTCTGGGATAAACAAGAGAAGACCATTGTGAGTAATGAATCCAGTGAGATTATCAGGATGTTTAACACAGAATTCAATGAGTTTTGTGCTACACCAGAACAGATGGAACTAGATTTCTATCCAGCACACCTAAAACAGCAGATTGATGGACTTAATGAATGGATTTATCCGTACGTATAAAAAGAGGATACAAACCCACATGAATTAAAAGAGAAATTGGCATTCACATTTTTTTCTCTTATAATTTTAAGTTTTTATCTCATTGTAATCTATTTAAAGAAAAGAAAGGAAAAAATGTGAACTTCATCTTAATCTGTGGGGCATCAATGTCATTTAGTTTTTTTTTCATAATAACATTCAGATTTAGGTAAGTACATATCCTGCTGTCATTTTTCTCGCTGTCAGTCTGTATCTTTCATCTTGTAGGAAAATAAATAATGGGGTGTATCGTTGTGGATTTGCAAGGAAGCAGGAACCCTATGATACAGCTGTTGCGGAACTCTTTGATGGTTTAGACAAGGTGAGACAGATTTCATTCCAAATGCATATATGCCGATAGCTTTATTTTCCATTTCAGTAACAATCTGTCTCATTAAAAACCATTTTACTATTACTAGTAAGGCACAATTACAAGATTTAAATAGATGATTACAAGTGTTGATGGCAAAAATTGACAAATATTATTTTCTCTGTATTGAGAGAATTTAAATTCTGAGAATATATAACATGGTTGTAGATTTGATGGTGGGTCACTTTTTTATGACAGAATTAGAGCTATCAGGTGTTTAAGATGTGTATTACTGTGAATATACAAGTAGGTTGCTTTGGTATGCCATTCAATTCTGTTCTGCTGCTGTAATTCTGGGTGCTGTAGTTTTGTCAAACATTTGAGTAATACCCATTGTATTTCCTAGCTCATTATCTTCTCCTGCAGCTGTTCATAGCACTATCTCTGTATTAGGTGGAGAGCATCTTGTCTGGTAAACGTTACCTCACTGGACCTGATATGACAGAGGCTGACATCCGCCTGTTTACAACCTTAATCAGGTTTGATCCTGTCTATCATGGACACTTTAAGGTGACTATGTGTTGTGGCATTATTGAAATTAATAGGTAAAATTATCTTTATACAACTTGTGTCTTTAACTTTTGTGAAATCTTAACAATCACTCTCTCTCTCATTTTAAATTATTTCTGAGAGGTATTTTATTAATATTGGCTTTCAGTCTCAAGTTTCTTTTCTTGGACTTGCGTTCAGAAATAACTAGATTTCTACACGGAAGTCTTAATAAGTAAATTGTTTTTTATCTTGATTAAATGGTATCATATGTACACCATATAAACTAGTAAAATCTAGTTAAAATAAATTTTAGTGTAACAAAAAGAGAATAATTGACTATCCCAACCTGTGGGCTTACACCAGGGACATCTATCAGACTCATGGTATTGCAGAAACGGTCAACATGGATCATATTAAAAAACACTACATGGTATGTTGATTTTTGGTTAGATTGTGTTGCATTAAAACATTCAAACATGTTCTTTTGTTTCATTTTCTAATTGACAAATCAATTCCATAGTTTAATTGTCAAAATATGTTGTGATGAATTTCATAATTAATATAGCAGAAGTAACATTAGTTCTAAACAGTGTTTTTAATATTAATTTTGTTTTACTTCCAGGAAAGTCATGATACAATCAACCCATTTCGCATTGTCTCTGTTGGTCCAGATCTCGACTACATGGAGCCTCATGGCAGGGAAAAAATGTCGTTGAAAGGAATATAAAAAAGGATAGCAAATAATTAAGGCATATGTGATCTTATGAGGTTTTAATCTCACAGTTTAAAAAAACGGACAATTTGATGTATTAAAATGCAATAAAACCCCATTTATTTAACTGTATACACCCTTAGTTTCACACTCAAATTTCTCAAATTTGTGAATTTGAAAGAAACTTGTTTTTACTCAGTTTTACTCTATTTTCCATTTTAGAATTTTTAGACTTTCAGTTCACTGGTTTGGTTAACCATTACTCTTTCTTTTTTACCATCAAGAAGGTCAAGTATTTCAATTATGTTAGAACTGTTAGAATGGGTCAGATCAATGCTGTGCAGTAGCTCAGTCATGTTAAAGGACACATTAAGCATATCTGGAAACTGTAATAGTACCAAGAAACAATCAAATTTTGCTCTGAAATTTTATATGCAGCTCCTTGATATACCTAACTGCAATTGCATCGAAGCACCATAAATTGGTGCATGCTTGAAATGTTTTACAAGCAAATGAATTTGTTGTCCATGAAGAATAGAGTTTAATGACTCAATTCAATGTACACTTTGAGTGGACAACTGTGTACAGGTGATAAATGAACAAAAGTTAATGGACACTTGAAGGAAGGTTAAGGACAGTTCAGAAAAGGAAACTTTTGTACTTGAGCACTCGGTATCTTTGTTTTGATATTTATATATTTATATTAATGGATTTTATAAGCCTTTTTGTTAACCTTTATTACTTTGTAAGCAAACAATTTGTATTATATGTGTACTTATAACATAGGTGTGAGTTGCAACTTTATTTTATCATGATAAGATTGAATGTTGTTTAATAGATGTTTATAAATGGAAAAATAAAGACTTTTATCATAATATATTGGAGACAGTCTTTGGAATTGCTACGATTCACCTCAGAATTTTGCCCCACAGAACAGTTAGCACTACAGGTTTGCACTCATTGTGAATATACATGTAGTCATCTCTTATGTTCCACATCACTACTATCAAAGGGCACATTCCCATAGATTTTAGATCGATCTATCCCCGTGGAGAGCCTCACTAGATTACTGTCAGATAATCCGGTTTAAATGTCTGTCCCGCCTACTGTATACAAGCTGTAAGGGGGTAATTAACTTCCGTGCCCACTCGGCTGACGGCTATTTAGCGTGAACCCCCAGGGAGTTATTTCGATCTAATTGGATTGATCTAATCTCTGGGAATGGGGTCAAAGTTGTGATATTTCCTGCATAGATGTGCCACCACATAGATACTGCACTGTTAATTATTACCCCTCACCAATTTTAATGACAATAAAATGGGGCACTTTTGGGTCTTAGTATTGACATTAAGGTATTAAAGTTCAAAATTATTACCCATTGGGAGTAACATTGCGAGGATATAAAAGGAAGGGTATTTTAGTTTTCTGAGTTAGTATTTGGTTCCTGTCTGAAAACTGCTTTACGTCCTGAAGTATTTGCAAATGCACAAAGTTTGTCTGCATTTGTGCCTTTTATTCATATCCCACAAAACCCTTCAATAAAAAATGTGGTCCATTTATATCTACATCCAAAGGGTAGCCCATAAACGGGCATATTCCAATGAAATTCTTTTCCTAACCTTTGTCAAATTACGGATTGTGTTTATCTTGCATAAAGTGCTGCACTCTGGTAGGCAATACATAAACGGAAGGACACGTCCACCAGTCAAGTAAACCAATCAAATGGCATTATTTCAGTCACCTGACATGGTGAGGTAAACACTGATTTCGTGAAGATAGGTCTGGTGAAAGTGATGTTTTGGCTAAGTTAGCGCCCTTACAGATGATTCATTTAGATTCTTATGGGGAGGAAAAAGAACCGGGCGTCCGATCTTCGATGGTGTAGTTTGCTGGCGTCACTGGCATTTTTGACTGCCGTCAACAGCAGTGATAGCGTCGAATTACCTGTGTGCTCGAAGCTTAGCTCTGGGAAAAGGCAAGTGCTTTTTGTTGACAATATCTTCAATATATCCAAAATAATTATTTAAGTCGACAGCAGACAAGCATATTTTAATTGATATAATTTTCTGGATGTATTGTTTTGTGTGAGAGACATTTCTGAAAGCAATTCGCAAGATTGATGTCTGAAACATTGAAGACAAGTTTATATTAAAAACTTTATTTTCACATTACATGGATGCTGAAAATGTATTAGAGTTGCATGCTTGTCCCTTTCTATGTGTGCATTTTGCAACCAGACTCATATTGGTGATAACACATGGAAGAATGATTTGGCTCGATTTGCTTATAATTGCTAGTAGTTTACTAGTACCAGTACATACAACATGTATACTATAAGGGTACCAGCCAGCCAATTGGAAGTAACGTTTTGGTGATTTTTTCAGGATATAAATTATTGTGAAAATAATTGTTTGCAATCATTTTCTCTGTATACTTAATGATTTTGGCAATGTATGTAAAAAAGCAAGATATGATATATGCAAAAATCAAGAATGCATAAACATGACCATTAATATGTCAGAAAATAAGTTTGTTATAATTTCTTATTGCATAGGTTTCTTATGCTTGTAAGCACCCTAGATGGCAGAATCTCAGCACTAAATGTTAATGAACATGGAAAGCCAGAATGGGGTTTAAATGCTGGACCAAAACCATTGCTTTCTTCTAGTATTAGCAAACTTGAGGTATGGTATGGTTCTTTATTTTTCTTCTAAATCTAACAAGGCCTGAATTTATTTATTTTATGATAGTTGTAAAGATTCAATTGGCCATTGATTTTACTGTGTTCCCCTCACCTTTGAATTATTCTGCAATAATCCAACTGATGCAGATTGGAAAGAAAGTTTAACTCCTTTTCACAAGTCAACATTGGTTTGATTTACTAATCCATTTTGCTAGCATTGGCTTATGGATCTAGAATATGGAAAAAATAAAAAGGATCTAATAAATAACGATAATAATAAACAAATGAATAAATAAAATAAAAATGTTCAGTTTAAATATTTTATATTGATAGGATTATTATTTGTTCATATTTCAGATTCAAAGAGATGGAATCCCCATCAAGCTAATCCCTTCACTAGATGGCAAGCTATACCAGTTTGATGGTGAAAGCATTGAATCTGTTCCATTTAGTGCAGACTCCTTGCTCAGTTCTTCTTTCAAATTATCTGACAATTCCATGGTTGTAGGAGGGAAGGAAACTAGAACTTATGGAATTGATGCAAAGACAGGGAAGGTAGGCTTTGTGATGGAATTATTGTTATGTTGATCTCTCACTTTGCTTGCAGCTATTTATTTTTATTCATGCAATTTTTTAGAAGAGGTAGTCACACTGTGTGTCACGTCATATAGCCATCACCAAAAAAAAAAAAAAAAAAAAAACATAAAATGCATTTTGTGCACTGTCATCATAGATACCATAAAATGTAAACTGTCCTACTTATTTTCTCAAACTTAAATGCATTCCATGTTTCAAAACCAGCCTGAACGGATTATTTTCCAAAAATAATGAAGGTTTGGGGGAATATTACATTTTTCATAAATTGGCATTTTTCATGTGTAATTTCAGTTCCTATGGTATGAAGCCATTTGCTAGTTTAGCTATTCAAACGTCCATAGTAACAATAGTACATAATAAAAAATTGGTGGTCATTTGTAATATGGCATCAAAATTTAAAAAAAATTTTTTTTTTCAATTTCAGTGTTTTTTTTTAAATTATTTTTATATCACTGCTTTTTTTTTGTTCGGTCTATTTGACATCTTTGCTGCATGTTTTTAAATATAATTATGAGTCTGTACTTAAAAACTATGAATTGAAATACACAACTCTTATTTTCTGTGAACTGCCAGCTTTTTAATTGTGACCATTGGTATTTCTACAGATTTAGTAGCTTTCACATCTAGATTAGCTTATAATTTTGCATTTCAAGAACCAATTATAGTAATTGTAATTTTTTATACCAGGTTCGGTATTTGTGTAGTCCAGCAGGATGTGAGGTTTGTGGAGAAGATGCTGTCACAGAAAAGGATGATATCATGGTTGTTAGAAGAAATACACAAACAGTGCGGGCAGTGGACAGTAAAACGGGATATGAAAAGTGAGTGTTAGTGATAATGCACATGTGGACTTCTTGATGATCAGCCTTTATCTTTCCCTCTGCCAAGGGTGTTTATGTGTTTGGTTCTGTTAGTTTACAGTTTGTATATTAGCAACATTATGCAAAAATTTATGGATGGATTTTGACAAATTTTTCTTAATAGGTCTGAAATGGGCAAACTTGAAAGTTATTCGATTTTTTTATAAGTGATCCATAAATTACTTAATGGTTAATTATTAGTTAATTATTTGTCTTGGCAGAGGTCTGCACTCTCTGAGTGCAGTTGTTACTGTGATTCTCATTAAACATATGTTGCTTTTTTATTATCTACATATAGGATAAAGTTCAGTTTATTTTACTACTAAGGGTGCTTCTAAATATTTCCCTTAATTTTTCTAGGCGCTGTTCTAAATGCCATGTGGTTGATCACATTGCATTACAGCAATGTCAGATGATAGCTTGGCTGTTTTTTCTATGCATCAAATATTTTGTCTGCTTTTCAGATGGAATTTTAGTGTAGGTCAACATGAGTTGGAGTTCTTGGAAGGTATCCAGCCTGGTGTTTCTTCATTAGATGAAGATGATGATGATGATGTCACAATAACTACATGCTCTGTTACAGGTAGTGTCATCTTTCCTTGTATTCTTAAGTGCTTTTGGATAAAAGTGCACTCTCATAAGACTATTTCTAGGCCCCCCTGTTAGATGCATGTAAAATTAGAAAATTGATTGTATTTGTATTGTGCATTGACTGTTAAAAATGTGCTTACAATCTCTGTTAAACAGGCGAAGAGATTCCGGATGTTGCAACAGAACGAGTAAAAAATCCAGCACCATCCTTTATAGTTCTACCTAGTGGATTGATAGTGGCTGTCGACAAAGATAATCCTTCCAATGTTTTATGGCAACACAAGGTATGGCATCCTGTTAGACAGCTGGCACTATGTAAATGTTTAGCACTTCAGAAAACATTCTCATTGTTTATATGAATTGAGATGATGTAATTTTTATATTTAATGCACTGTGTTGAATGAAAATAAAATTTTGTGTCTATGTACCTGTCACACACTTAGACTTATCTATATAAGGAATCATATTTAATTATGATGTATATATATGTAAATCTGTTTCAGTTTGAAAGTCCCATAGCCAGTGCTTGGACTCTTAGAGGCAATCATCTAGAACAAATAGATGTTTTGGATGGTGACAGAAATAGTCAAGACTTTCGAATATCAGACAATAAGATAGATATGGAACCACTACCACCTGCACCTGTGATGTATTTAGGTATGTTTATCATTCAGTTTTATAGATATTGGAAAAAAGATTTATAATTAGAACAGGGCAGTAGTAATATATCTTCAAAACTTATTATTTAATTATTATGCAATATGATATCTGAATCATTTATTGGTGGTCACTTAAATGATTCTACTTAAGTGTGATTTGTTTAGTTTTCAGCAATACTGAAAACATTTAATTTTCAATTTTTATTTAATTTTTATTTAGGCATGCACCAGAACCAACTGTATGTTCAGCCATCTGTCAAAACTACAGTATTTGGTACATATGGTCAAAACATGCCAAAATTGAGGTGGAGGCCTTTGATTGCAACATCCCCCTCAAGAACTCCTGTCATAAACATAAATGATGAGGCCAACACACCACTTCTGGATTTCCATGGAAGGGACCAAAATGCGGAGACAGAAGTTCAGGCTGTTAGTGTTTGGCATCAGGGATATCCATATGGTAAGTTGTTTTACAGAATGTGTTTTTGCAATGAAACTCGTAAGTAACATATTATTGGGAATAATGCTTTTGTCAGTGAACTGTCAGTCAATTATGCTTTATCATTTCAGATAATGGATATTTCCTGTACAGTGATGGGACCACAGCACCTATGCCAGATCCTCTTAAAAGGCAGCTGGATTTTCTGAACCTAACCAATTTATCCAGCACAGGAGAATATGACGGCAGTTTTACAGTGTCATTGTGGAACTGGTGGTGTGTACCTTGGCTCTCACTTTTTAAATCAAATTTTCTTTAAAGATTATTGTTAATGAAGTTGTGAAGGCCACAATGTCAGAGTAATGAAACATCTCTACTTATGTGATCCATTGTTTTCTTTAACATTGTAACCAAATTGATATCAAACATTGTTTGCAGGAAAGAGGTGGCAGCAATTAGTATTTTGACAGCAGTTTTATTCCATTTATTCATTACCAAGTATGTAGTGAGAAGCATAATGTTGGAGAATCTGAAAGATGAACAGGTAAATATTTGTGCTTAAGTAGGGAAAAGAAATAATGAAATGTGAAACAGAAAGCTTAATTGTGATCAGCACTCACTTGTATTTGAGATTCTGATTAGATTCTTTTGTTGAACATGTCTAATAACTTATCACAGTCCTCATCCCACATCTCATCATCTTACATTTGTGCTGTGAATTCTTTGCTTCCTATACAGATGAATGAAAAACTGAAGAAAGAAGGCAGCAAATCTTCTGGGTCTTTGCAAGAAAGTCTTGACAGACAAGACAGCAATGAGAGTGTGGTTGGGGATAAAGGACTTTCAACTACTCAGGGGCCATTTGTCTCCAGGTAAAATTTAATATAAAATATAATTTTGTAATAATTATGATATTTTAGTGATGTTATAGCTGCCACCTTCCATTATTTGAAGGAATATTTAACATGTAATAATTTGATGATATGGATATATTAACCATGTGATGTTTGCCATTAAGGTTTAACAGTTTACTGTTGATTTTTTCCAGGTTTTACTCTGACTTTGATCAGCTGGCATGTCTAGGGAAGGGTGGCTTTGGAGTTGTATTTGAAACCAAAAATAAAGTGGATGATAACCATTATGCCATCAAGAGAATATCCTTGCCAAATAGGTTTGTATATTTTTAAAAGATAATACAATAGCAGTTTTGCCATCATTTTTTAAACTGGCTTTCAAAGATAGATTTGTCTTTAGGTTGATAGCAATTCAAATTTATTTCTTTAATCAATATTCTTAGATATACAACACACATTAATTGAAAGTCATTACCAAGATGTGATTGTTTTTTAGTACGGATGCAAAGGAAAAGGTTATGAGAGAAGTTAAAGCACTTGCCAAGCTAGATCATGGCGGTATAGTCAGATATTTTCAAGCCTGGTTAGAAAGCCCACCTCCTGGCTGGCAAGAAGAGAGAGATGTTGGGTTACTTGACAGGTGAGTATAGGTACAAGTAGTAAGAGATAAATTACTCATCAGTTTTATCAGTTTTTCATTTGTACCTTTTTTTATCATGTAGATGACATATGTTAAACCAACCCAATTTTAAATGTACAAGAAAGATTGTATAAGTGAACCAATGTCTTTTTATTGTCTCACTTTTGGATTTTATGTTTAGATATTGATAAACTGTCTGACAGTTTTTATCTTTTCTTTTTAGTGACACCACTACTATATCTCAAACACCTTACAGTGGGACTTATAAAAAAGACTTATTGAAGACGTCTAGTCCAGTTGACTGCCCCATTGGAAGCAGTAGAAGTCTAGGATTTGTACCACATAAGGAAGATATAGATAATGATGAGAGTGGATCCTTTAGTGTAGTTGGAACCCCACATACAATGCCACATTTTCACACAAAGACTTCTGTAGACTTTGACTTAGACACATCAGATTCAGACTCTGAAAATGACATCCTGGACAACTTGGAGGCAGGATTGCAGGATGTACCTTTTCAAGTGTATCAAGAAAAACAGCTGGATGTTGAAAATGTGGATTTTGATAATTCGAATGATTCTCTTAACATTGTTTTTGAGGATTCTGGATGTGAAGAAAAAAGCAACAGTGATTCCGTTTTTTGTGCAGAGACTAGTAGCTGTGATTACACAAACTCTGAAAGTGGACAGTTAAGAAATGTAATTGTATCTAAAGAGTCACATTCTCCAATTTCTAGTTCATTTACTCTGCATTCTTCCAAACCAAGCAGAACTGAAAAAAGAAAGGATTCTAGTCTTCCAAAAATGTATTTGTACATACAGATGCAGCTTTGCAAAAAGGAGACACTCAAGGACTGGCTAAATTCCAACACGCTCAATAGGAATCACACTGAGCTGATGCGCATTTTTGTGCAAATAGTTGATGCAGTGGAGTATGTTCATGGCATGGGACTGATGCACAGAGATCTCAAGGTGAGCACAAGTGCTTAATTAACCCAAGTATCAAATAAAGAAAAAATGATTGTTTGGTAATAAAATGTAGATAGAATCATCCACCCAGATAAAACTGCATTACGCATAGGCAAAAAGGCAAAACAAATTGTGAAATTCATCACTAAATTCTTGATTGATTGATTTTGTAGTGGCCATGGGTCTTTTTGTAGGATTTCATTTTCAGATTGTGCAAAATATTTATAAGCAACTTAATAATGAATGCAATTTAATCACAATCATATCAAGTCTAACAGATGGGATTTGATCTCACCCATTTTTCAATATTTTTTCAGCCCTCAAACATTTTCTTTTCACTGGATGGTACTATCAAAGTAGGAGATTTTGGTCTAGTCACAGCAATGGCGGAATACACAGATACCCTAGTTGACAATGAAGAAGATGAACAAGGCAAACACACAAACCAAGTTGGGACTACTTTGTACATGAGCCCAGAGCAGGTAATCAAAACTGAAACTTCTCCATGAATGATGCTGTATCAGCTCGATACCCACTGCCCCAAAACAAAATGTAGTGATGACTCATTAAAAATCAATTTCGATCATTCTATCATTTTGGCACAACTATAAAAATAATCTGAACTTTCTGATGACAGACTTTTTTGTTGATGATCATATTTTATTGTATTTTCTCTTAGATTGCTGGGAAAAGTTATAGCCACAAAGTTGACATTTATGCCATGGGTCTGATTTTCTTTGAACTGTTCTACCCATTCTCAACACAGATGGAAAGAGTTGTTACCCTACAAAATATCAGGCAATTGAATTTTCCTGAGAGATTTAGCAGGGAACTCGGAGAGGAGGTAAGGATGTCCAAAATTAAAAAAAAAAATTGGTTAAATAGTGGTTTTTTTGAATGATAAAACTCTCCAAATAGTTGCATTTCATTGACTATGAAAAAAAAAAACGTGAGTCAAGAGTAGAGTCAGAGAGTGTGTCATTTATTTAATGAAGATTGTACTTGCTTTTATATGAAGCTATTTTCTTGCGCAGTTAAGTGTTGAGATAATGGAATGCAACAATATCTTTAATTTTTTAAACAATTTTTTTCAGTGCCAGTTTGTCAAATGGCTTTTAATGCCCAAACCAGAAGAAAGGCCTGAAGTTACAGAAATACTTGAAAGTCCACTGATGAAAAATTTTGAGCAAACCATGCACAACCAACTCAAAAGAAACCGATCTCGCACTATATCTACATCAAGTAGCTGAATTATCTTGCATGCGTTACACACGTTTGACAGAACTGTAAGATTGACAGTATGCACATTGAACTTGGCACATTATAACCTCTGGTTAAAGTAAAAATATTTGAATCATGTTTTCATTTTGAATATTGGCATTGCTGTCATCACCATGACCAAAAAATGGAAAAAAAAGCTGTGATAAAAATGCACAATTTAGTTACGTGCAACCTCATTGTAATTACATGTTGGAGATTATTCATTTTCATTATTCACAAATTTATTTTCACTAAAATATCTTAAGTAAGGAACAAATACATTGTTGCAGTATTATAAATGTTTTATTTGAAATAAATGCGTATGTACAACATGGCATTTGCCCGTTTGTTTATCATTAGTCTTACATTGTTTATTGGACAATAACAAAGAACTGTAGATTTTGACAAAAGAATATGAGCTGTCGGCTGAAATAGCTCAGTGTCCTTTCATGAAAACTGTGTACTTTATTTTAAACACAGAAAAGTGTGTGATTTGGCATAAAATGGAAAAAATATTCTGTGCCATTAAAATTTGGCTGCTTTATTTCATAGGACTTGAACTCCTTCAACATATAATATCAAGCACTTTCTTAAAAGTGAATATATGTGAAGGTGTAAATTAAGACTTATCACCATTACTTTAATAGTATAATCAACTTGATACTTAAACCCCAGTTTGTTACATGGGCTCTTCTGTTTACTGAGTATGCTGGAGCCAAACTAGAAGTCGTTCAAGAAAGGGAGAAATAACACTTGTGACACCTATGGCAGGAATGATGGATACTAAAACTTGGTAGAGCCACTTATCCAGGCAGTATCATGGATAGGTGAACAGATTTTGGCATATTTATGTTTATCAACAGCAAAATTCTTTTGGCTTTTTTTATGCAATGTTCAACTGCTGAAAATTCAAGAAAAAGGGGGCACAAAGGATATTATCAGTTAGTAGAAAATCAAGTGATATTTCATAAATATATCAGAAGAATGGGATCAGAAATAATACCACATTGGCTCATACGGTGTGACAAATTAAAGCTGACAATTTATTCCTCAATAAATTTTTTTTGGTTCATTTTCTTTCAAGTTGTTGAATTACAGTCTTTTTCACAAATGTATACCATATTTCATTTTAATACAAAAAAAAAAAAAAACTTAAATCTAAATGTATTAAAACAATTTCATTTATTGCTATACTTCTGAAGCTGATTAATACTAACATAGGTTTCAAGGTTCACATAAGCTGTAATTGTTCTTGTGGTTATTAAATGAGTTCATATATATTCAAAACTGGCTACTGTCTTCCTTGGTGCCATGGCTGGTGATGGCTTCCTTACAGTTGCTGGCAGACTCTACAGCATTGTAAACGGACTGCAGTGTCTGGGGACTGAACTGGGTGGTAAAGTCAACATACATCGTGTGAGCATGAACTGAAGCAAAAAGAAATATATTCTCCTTAGTTTTTTTGAATATGCATTTACCCATCACAAATGAAATTCTATGAATATGACAAGTACCAAAACCTGGCTTGCTTCAAAAGTTGTCCAATCTCAATAGTAATCATGGAGAACCAGATCTATGTTTGTGCCTTTCACCTACTGTCGTTATGTACACTGTATTAATATGAAAACTCTGAAAACAGAAATTCTACCTACTACTGCTTTTGATTAAGTTGGCTTTCTGCTCATTCAGTTGTTTATCAATGTCTTTAAGGACTGCCATTTGTTGTTGGTGATTGTATTCTGTTTGCATCGAAGTCCCATCAGCCTTGCACTTGTTGGCCATCATGGCTGCAGGATCCGTCTCACTTGTCATCACTGACACTCAGCTCTGACTCTTTATTGGAATCCTAGCCTGACTTGGATATATGACATATATAATATCATAATACAATTTACCAGGTTTGTTAATTTTGGTAAAATAAGGACTGAAACATTCTTGATTCATAAATTTTTATACTCACGCTCGGCTGTCACCTTTTATTGATCGATTAATAAACGTAAAAAGAACAAGTTTACACCCTTTAGAATACTAAACTCATCTTAAAATGACAGCCTAGCGCGTAAATACTGATGTTACTGATGACGTACTGGCGTGTTACTGCCAGTACGAGCCCTTGCCGGCGTTAGTGCAGCAGGGCTCCAACGAACGCATTTTTATGGTGATTATAAAAACATAAATATCAGTGGAATAGAATTTTAAAAATGGAATTTCGGACTTTTTAATTCGTTCATATAACTGATATCCGTAGACAAGAAGTAGGGAATAAAGACTTTTTACGGTACGTGAAGACAATTAACTGTTACTAAATGCAAAAAATGCTAGTAGTAGATTTATATTTCATTTTTAAACGTATTACTAGTATTACAGAATTACTATTAGATGTGTACTGGTAGCAGTAGTAGTAAAAGACGCGCGATGCTTCACTTGCCGAGCACTTGACCGGAACCAACTTTAATGACTGCAAAAGGACAAAATACTTTAATTCACAATCCAGATATGACGATACAAACTAATTAACCAAAGCTTACCTTTAAAAATACTGCTAAAATATTTTTAATGAAACACGAGCTACATTCCAGTGACATTCGTGAACTCGTCTGCATATGACGTGCACGGGTAATGCTAGACCAACAAATTTACGACAACGCTTTAGTATCTTACAGTAATATAACAGTAGTATATATACATATATGTATATATAAACATATAAAATCTTTTCATTCGGCTAGACACTATGAAATATTTCGTTCTACAACTAATAATTTAAAATCTTTTGTCGTTCTCTGTGATCCATAAAAGTGTCCAAAAAGAGGCTGTAAAACGGAGACTGCCGAAAAGAGCGGGTAAAGACTTCTCGTTTTCAGCATGGATTCCCACGCTGTTTGTTCCATAAGAAGCACGTTCAGCCAAGGGGGTGAAAAAGGTTTCTTTCACATATTCCTTTCACAGTTGTTATAATAGTTACGTCCTTAGGATGAAAAAATTGACAGATTTGGTGAGACAAATTAGAATGAAATATCCCTGCACTGTTGAAGCCTGCAAGATGAAATTGAAACGCCATTTTCTCTAGAGTCTAAATGCAGGGGTATATAGAGTTTAGTTTACTTAAAGAAAAATGATGAAGAAATAATTTAATGTGTACCTCTTTTCTTTAACAGTATTTTTCTAAATTGCATGTTGCATTCGGTGAATTTGATGTTGCATTAGAATAAGGTGTAACCAGAATTTTATCACGAAGGTCAAAGCAAGCAAGAAGAAATGAAAACGTTACCCCCCCCCCCCCCCCCCCCCCCCCACACACACACACACACACGCTTAAAAATTTCATTACCCACTTTCCTCAAGTTATGTGCACTGTGATAATAGTAGATTTAGAAAAATTTGTTTTTCTGTTACAGGTATGGATGAACGAGAGAAGGTTACAGCACTTTTAACTGAGGTGTATGGTTCAGTGCATACAATTCAAAGTAACCTGAAAAAGCTACATGCTATGCACACTCTTCTTTATATGAAGAGAGACATTGGGAAGAGTGCCATCCGTTCTTGTCTCCAGGCTATGACAGCTAAACTTGCACAATTACAAACAGAGCTGGAGGTAGAATTGGAAAATGAGTGTGCTGCCAAAGAGGAAAAATTACAGGGCCTGTCAGACCTTTATGTCAAAAGAGTAGAAGAGGTGAACAACACCTGCCCAAAGATAGAAGAGTTCCTTTTGGCCGGAAAAGAAAAGGAGCTCAAAGAGCAGTACAAAGCATTATGTGAAAAATTGAAAAACATGCTGAAGGCCACAGAAAAAGAAAACTTGGAGCATTGGAACACTTCTTCATGGAGCACTTTGGAATTTGTACCTCTTCCTTCAGGTCTGAAGAAATCTGATATGGGCTACATAAAATGTAGTTCTATAAATCCAGATACTTTGATGTTATCACCACCAGAAAATGGAGATTTCTATGTTAGGCCTGCTGGTTCTTTGGTTACCTTTAAGTTGTACCTGCCTGATGGTTTAGAACCAGATACTGCCAGCCTGCGCTACTTGTCAGGGCAATTGGCACCCCATGGCTCAAAGGTGCCAACAGAAGAAACCAGAGGAGAATTCAAACTGGATGACAGTGCAGCTGTCATAACACTTTCATTTCAACCTCAAATGAGTGGTACATATCAGATCCATGTACATGTTTATGGTCAGGCAATAAAAGGAAGTCCATTTAAGATGGTTGTTCTTGAAACTGCAACATCAGAATATGAGATGCCTGGTGTAGTGAAAAAGAGCCCTATAAAGAGTCGATCACAGTGGAATGGAAAGTCCAGGCCAAGGGTGGCTAGCAGTGGGCTGTTGGCTATCACAAGACACATAACAGGTGAAGAAGACACCATTCCTAAGGATAAAGAAGCAGCTAAGTTGAAAACACCAAAGTTTGATGCTTCATTTGCTGTCCCTTGCTTCTCTGGTGCTGGGGATGGCTTGGCTAATTTGAAGATGGAGCACAATGAAGATTGGGTCAGAGATCCAGCACCAAGTAAAACTACAGATGAAGGTGCCACAGCAAGCATAGCTACGAAGGCCCAAACTGAAGCTAATAAAACTGTTACCATCACCTGGGATGATCTGAAGAAATTTAGAATGCCCACTGTTGGTAATAAGCCAGCTTTGAGAAAACCATTGAGGAAACCAGTTTTCTGCAAGAGTGAACCAGAGGGTGCAGTAATGAATAGTGAAGATAGTGTGACTGATAGCCCTCTAAAAGATAAAAAGGTAGCCTTTGCTGATGTGGGACTGTCCACTGAATCCAATGAAGAACCAGTGAAGAAAAATGAGGTGCCTGATGATGTAAAACCAAAAAGGGAAGACATTTTATTGAGTTTGGCCAAAGAATCTCCTCCAGATTCACATGAGGATGTTGAGGTCCCAGTCAATGCGTCCAGTGCTGATGAAAGTGAAGAAAAGACTGTATGCTTACCTGTTAAAATTGAAGAAAATATATCTCATTGTGAGGAAAAAAGCTCTACTGGAGAAAAAGACAACAGTAATTTTTCTTTTGAAAAAGAAATGGTTAAATCAGTAATTGAGCAACACAGAATTGATTGCCCTGGAAAAGGTGAGATTCTTCTTATAAAAAGTATTTTATTTATTTATTCATTTAATTTTTGCAATTTTTCACATCAAAGAGATATTGAATCACAAGAAATGCATACATTACAGAAAAAGTAACATAAATTAACACATTAATGAAAGAAATGGTAATGGATGTAAATTTGCTGAATGTAGAACAGGTCATGAGGAGTCCCAGCTGTGCAATGTGTCACTTCACTATGGGCCTGGTGAACTTAAAGTCATGATTTTTCGTTATTTTCAGCCCTGAAAGCAGAGTTGGTTTTAAAATTTGGTCACAAGGGGAAAGAATTGAAGGATCATTTGTTCTTCCCGATTGGAGTGACAACTACTAAAGAAGGACACTTTGTTGTGGCAGACCATGGGAATGACATGGTCAAAATCTTTGACAGAAATGGAGAACATATGTTGACCATTGGTTCAAAGGTAATTAATATATCTGAGGTGGAAAAGGAGAACATATTGACAGAAGTCTTACAGAGAGTCTTTAAAAAATGTTGGACAAATTGTATGGTATTTGATGTACTCTATTATCAACTTATCTAATGTCAACTTATCACTTTTGAACAGTGTGCAGAGATGCTTTAACAACCCAGCTTATGGTTTATAGAAACCAAAAAAACTTTCTATATGAATAGATAAAAAAAAATATATATATATAATTTTATTAATATTATTATAATCATTATTTTTTTTAGCAAAACAATGTATTCAGTCGGCCCTCAGCAGTGGTAGTGAATGACCAGGGGGAGTTGTTTGTGAAAGATAGCCGTATGTTGCAGGTGTATGACTTACATGGGAACTTATTGAGATCCTTTGGCAAAGGAGATCTGAATGCTCCATATGGTGAGTGGCATTTTCTTGAGTGGGTGGACATGCTCATAGAATCTGTTGTTGGCAGTCCCGTTTTTGTCAGTACTGATTTGTTTTTGATTATTATGTTGAACCTTATAAATTTCTGTCAAAAATATTTTAAAGAAAAATAAATTTGATGATTCTAATCACTTCATTGATGATCTCAAGATAATATTTTCTTGTTATCTGACTAATTCAGTACTGTTAAAAGAGGCAGATATTCAAAATGCCTTACTCTTCTACAGGAATGGCACTGAACCAGTTTGGCCATCTCATAGTCATGGACACATGCAGGCAGGAGCCCAGTCTGGTGGTCTTTACTCAGGATGGCCGGTGGATGAGGAAGATAGCTGTGCCTGTACTGGCTGGTGTGCATGGCTCCAAGTGTCGATTTATGGATTGTTATGATGACATTGTGGTGGTCAGTGATTTAGGTAAGATGTTTGTAAAATGGGGAAAGTAGAATTGTGTGTGTTAAACCTTGTTTCAGTAAGGCAGAGGATATTGAAAATATGAAAAATCAAATAAAGTTATTAGAATTTTTTGTCAGCTTATGATGGCATTTGCTTTATTTTCTCTTTAAGTTAATGAACCAATTGACTGAAGAAAACATACGTAATGGATAGTTTTGTGGATGGAATGCCTGTGGTAACAGTGACAAATAGAATAACTTCAAATTTTGTAATTATTGGTTTCAATAGGTCAAAGCCACATGTACATAGTTAAACAGCAAGGTGGCCAAGTTGTAAAAGAGTTTGGAGGATTTGGACGTCGTCCAGGGGAGTTTAATGAACCATCAGGAGTCGGCATTGATGCATTTGGCAATATAGTTGTTGCTGATAGCAAAAATGATCGAGTTCAGGTAAACCCTACAGGAAGTGGGAACTAGCATACTTTGTTAGGTTTAAAACGCCGAAGAAATTTTAAATCATCTCATTTTCAGGATGTATGAATTCAATTTTCTGTGAAATTTTATAGTTCACAGTTTGTTCAACTGCTTACTTGAAATATTTTGTGCAAAGAGTCATTTTACTTTTACAGGTTTTCTATCCAGACGGGACTTTCCAGTGTTTGTTAGAGCTGTCTGAGCCAATTTGCAGACCATCTGACCTTCATCTCACTGAAGATGGCCATTTGGTGATAGTAAATTTTCTGGAACATTGTGTGAAAGTTTACAAACTGCACTGTTGAATAGGATAGATGAACCTCATTTGCCCAAAACTTCCCATGATGAGTGAGAGTTTTTCTTCTGTTTCTCAGGAAAAGGACTAAAAAAATGTGGACTTGGCCACAAAGGTAGACAGGTAGACCAAAAAGAAAACTTGAAAGCGAAAATAAAAAGAAACATGACAATATTCATTATGTGAAAAGGAAAAAACATAAACTTCAGGTTTTAAATTTTCAAAAATCATTTGTAGAACATGCTAAAATATAAAACACTGACACTACTAATAAACATACATAGCATTGGCTCAAAGACAAAAGTTTCAATATGAAAACTTGTGAATAACACAGATGTGGGGAAAACTTTGGTGATATTTAGTGTCTGGAGCACCTGCACCACAAGTAGTCTGCAGGTCTTCCCAATTCTCTGCTGGTCTGAACTAAGTACAGTAATAACTCCGATCTTTTCAGTGGGGGAAAATTATCAGTTTTTCAGATACATTGTTTTGTAAGCATTAAAGATATATGTCTTTGTAGCAATTGTGATTTCACCATATAAAAAGGAACTATAAGGCAGCCTGTTTTTCAGTTTTGTTGCCAACTTTCAATGGGAATGTCCTAACTTTTGGATTTGTCACAAAAAAAAAGTTTCTGTAAAATTCACAATTTTCCCCATTGAAAAGATGAAGTCATTATCATATTTTGTTTTTGTTGGTCTATGTTTACATATGATTTAATATTCTGTATTGCATTTTCACATAAACATGCCAGTCCAGAGGACCTGTGATATCAAAAATCTTGCATGTCCTCTGGCTGCTCAAGTAGTAATGAACTGTCGGACAGGCAGTTTCCCCATGTCTGATAACACTATGCTACTAGGTACAAAAATGGTTCTCTAAGACTGGGTTCCCATAGATTTAGATTGATCTATCTGGATCAACCTTACTCCTTGAGGGTTCACGCTAAATTGCTGTCAGGTTCCGAGAGCCGAGTGCCCAAAAGTTAATTACCCCTTTACAGCTTTTAGTACGCGGGACAGACATTTAAGCCGGTCAGGCTGACAACAATCTAGTGAGACTCCCCATGGGGATAGATCAATCTGAAAATCTATGGGAATGCACTCTAAAAGTGCACTTACGAAATGAAGTAAATTTTTTGCATTAATCATCACTGGAATAGTACAAAAGCTATGTAGACAAAATTTTGCTGCAATTTAGCATGCATGTGTTAAACATCATTCAATGCTTGTGCATAATTTTTATGTACAGACACAGATGTGTCTGTACATATTGCCATCACCTGCGTCTGTCGTCGCCGATGCCGATGCCGTCGCCGTGCACTTTCCTTGTAAACACGATAAGTGGAAGGCAGTTTTACTTTTTGGCTTTATATTTACAGAGCTGATGAATATTTATAAAACGCAGGTCAAGTTCAAAAATCAGCATGATCGGGCCATTACTGTAGAAGTTATGCTGTTTTTTCACTTTTCAGCATATATGCAACCTTGTAAACACATTTTAAGGAAAACCGTTAGGCCTGTTGTCATGAAACTCACAGGTATGGTCAGTCTTACTAAAACGCAGGTTGAGTTCGAAAATCAGCATAATCGGGGCATTATTTTAGAAGTTATGCTGTTTTTTCACATTTCTTCAGATTTCCTCAGATTTAATTCTTAGGCATGTTAATAGCCTTATTATTTAAGTAATAAGATACGTAAAAGTGTTTGTTTGACATTTCCTGCATCTTTACAACATTGTTAGTTGATTATGTAAAAATGATGGTAAACTTGTTATCGTGTATTGTGTAATAAAGTGTCAAAAATGGAAATAAACTCATATCATTGCAGTTTGTCAGATTCAATCATTCACTATGTTCAGAATCTCAGAATGGAAGAAATTGGACATTTAACACTGCTCTGTTGATATTTTTCCCATCTCATCAATTTTCTTAGTTGATAATATAAAAATGGCAGTAAACTGTTAATTTTGTTTTATGTTAAAAATTGTTAAAAATGAAAAAAAAAAACATTTCAGAACAGTGCTGTCTTGTTTACATTTTGGCATTTTCAAGTTGTGACTTTGAAGTTCCATGGGCCTGAAGACCTTTGCTAGTCACATTTTCTGAATATCCATAATACTAATATTTTATTATTAAAGTTGATGGTCATTATGCTGTTAAACATTATGTAATATTGCATCAAAATTTGAAAAAAAAAAAAACTATTTTGGGCACTGCTCCAATGATGACCATTTAAGAAAAACCATGTCATTTACTGTTCTCAAACTTACAGGAAAGAAACATGGGACTAAAATACAGCTTCAGTAGGAAATACAGTCTGTTTGGTAATTCTTACTGCCAGTTAAACAGTTATTTTGTGAAAATTTAATTTTTCACATATTGGCATTTTTAAGGTGTGACTTTGAAGTTCCACGGGTTTGAAGACCCATGCTAGTCACATTTTCTGAAAATCCATGATACGTATATTTTATTATTAAAAATTGACGGTCATTATGCTGGTAACCATTATGTAATATTGCATCAGAATAGAAGAAAACACAATTTTGGGTGCTGCTGCCATTAGGTTTAAAAAAAACTGCTCGATTTCATCTGATTTCACTTGTTGACTTAAGGGAGAAGTTTGCACTAGTACTTCCAAAGCAAGGGGGGCACATAACTCACTGTACCCTTCTGGAGCAGCAGTTGTTAAAGTGGGTCTTACTAAAATGTGAAGAAATAAAAAATCAGAGACAAAATGTATGAAGGACAATATCTTTAAAAAAAAAAACTAAAAAAAGAAAAGTACTTGCCATGAACCTCTTCCACTTGAAATAAAGAAATGAGTAGTTGTCTTTACTCTTCTAGTCGATCAAATTTTGTTGGACAAAAATGGCTGGAAATTGGGGTGGAAAAAGGCCCATTAAGTTTTCATTTAATGTTCATTTTCTCAACAGATTGACTAGTGACTAACAAAATTGTTGAACTCGAGTAGTTTCTTTGTAGCTTGTTGTTGGTTAATTAATAAGTTACTTAAATCAACAAAGTAAAACTCTGTAGACAAATAATCCTTAGAAGCATATCCAATGAGGGAAGATATGATAACAGATTGACATCCAAATGGATTATGTTTGATTTGAGTACATGTTATGCACAGACACGGTGTGTCTGTACATAAAGCCATCAACCGTGTCCTTATTGTCGCCATGTTCTTTAAATGCAATTAATAGAAAAGTGAGACTGGTGCTCAAGCTAACTTCAACAAATCATGGCACTTAGACCCCATTCCCAGAGATTAGATCGATCTACTTTAGATTGACCTAACTCCCTGGGGGTTCGCGCTAAATAGCTATCACGAAGTTAATTACCCCCTTACAGCTTGTAGTAGGCGGGATGGACATTTAAGCCGGATAATCTGACAGTAATCTAGTGAGACTCCCCGCGTGGATAGATCGATCTAAAAGCTCTGGGAATACGCCCTTAAATGCAGGTCAAGTTCAAATGTTGCCATAACCAAGGTATAATTTTGAACTCCCATGAACCTGAAGCCCTGCACCAGTAACATTTTCTGAATGTCCATTGTTAACAGTACATGATCAAAAATTGTGGTGACTACTTGATATTGTTGCAATGTTTTTGCAGTTTGGTGTCAGAATATTTGCCAGCTTTGCTGTCCAATATCATTTAACAATTTCGGTTTGTGATGGTATTTGTGTCATCAATGTTATATAAGAAATAAAGCTTTCAGGAAACCGTTGTATTACTCATAATGACATTTATCACTCCTCTGGCACGTGAGTGTGTACTAGCATGTACTTGTGATGGAGAGTGAAACCTTGAGGCAGACTGGTGGTTTATAATTTTTCTTTTGGAAGGATAATTTAGATATCTTATTATAGATTTGTGTATAAATACAAGAGTTAACAATAAGTAAATAAGTGATAATCGAGGAAGATAATTAGATAAAGAACTGTAAGTATTACACAGATTGAAATTGCATGTAAAGTAAGTTGGCATATGTATACAGTGTGAAATGCGTGTGGGACCCTGAAGGGAAACTTGAATTTGTGTGAAATAAGTTGGCGCACGTACCAGAAATGAGTTCAAACGTGTGCGTGTGCCCTTCTTTAAGCTAAAAGCTTACACAACACAAAAACTACAGGCCAAAGAATAACTGAAATTTATTTTAGTGCAACAAAAACTACACCTTCAAATTTCTTGTAAATTTGACCTTATAATGTTATAATATCTGCACATATATTTCGAGACGCCTTGCTTCTTTAAGATATACTTTTCAAGACATTGTGGCATTTGGTCAGGTTAAGCGGCGATAATTTGTCTTAAATATTCCCTTATTGTGCATCTTATATATATATATATATATATATATATATATATATATATATATATATGGGTGGTGTGCCGTACATACACGTAATACACTACGAATGCTCGCACAATTGATTTTCAGTAGTGTTAATCAAGCACAACATGTTGACGCCTTTAAGTTATCTAGTACAGAATTTGCTACATCTTCCTCGCATTTTGTATTATCTGATCTGTTCTAACATTTCGATCGTTTTATTATTTGCAGGAAAACGCGTTTATTTTGATAGATGCAAAACGAAAACGACTAGATATTTCAGTTAAAAAACAATATAATTTACATATACAATAAATAATCGATACGCTTCCATATTTTTTTAACTTTGCCAACTAAATCAAGTTTCTTTACACCACAGAAGTCCTCACGCATAAGGAACACGCATATGTGCAGTTTGTTTATTGCCAATTGCCCAACTGCCACCGATCGACTGCTCAGTTTTAGTAATTTAAGGGTGACTGGTGGCGCGCATCGCATAGGTAGGATGGAAAACTTCTTATATTGATTCAATAACCAAGAATAATCTGATTTCTGATACATAAATTCGTATCATTTTCCTGCAGTTGTCGAAGTACCTTAAATCCAATAAATGGCGCGTTCTGTTTCCGAAGCTAGAGTGCCGCCGGTGTGGCAGGAACGGTAGTCCGCCAGGAACCGTAGTCTGTTCCTCATTACTTTGTACAAGTGACATTCGCCCCAGCTTTGCTTCTGATTGTCACAAGCCTGATGTAAAGAATATACGCTCAAGTACAGGGCCATCTATTGGTTCAGATTGTACCTCTTTGAAACCATGGCTAGACCGGGAAAAGCCATTCTCTTTAATGATCACGTTGTCAGTAGTTGCTACAAGCGAAACATTAAAGGTACCCTTGTTGGATTTTGAAGTCGGCAGAAGTAGGGGCAAAACAATTTCTCCTGCAGTTGAGTTGTGTCTATCACTGAAATGAGTTTCGGTTTCTGTCGTTGCCATTTCACCAACAGGTGTCCCCACACTAGGTCTGCCATCCTCATCTGTCTGTCTCTCATGCACGCCTTGAACTCCACAACCTTGAACACATTGACATTCTGACAAAACACCTTCACCTCGTCGGCCACAAGCACCGATTTTATTTTCATTTCCAATGTCGGCTCGAATCTGCCAACCCTTAGAACATAAGGTAACAGTGAGTCTCGCTTGGTCACAGTTGCATGTTCCCGACGACAGTACGTTTGACTGGTTGTCGTGTGTTTGATGAGGATGTGGGCAGTCGCCGTTCGTTTCTAGCAGGGCAACTTCAGTATGCAAGACGTCGCCTAACAATCTACTTGCCCTCAGTTGTGACATTGATCCATGACGTTTCCACAGTACTACAATTAAAGTCGCCACCGAGACAAGGAAGCCGGCCAGGAACAAGAAGGCTGCAACTCCTTTTTTCAACCAGGTATATGGGGTGCCTTCTTCACTTTTCGACCCTGAAAACAAAATACCGTGCGTTGCTGTTACATTTCAACGTTGGCAAAAACAATTAATAAATGCAGAAACTTGGTGTTAAAGTTTTGGAAACATTTTAGTAAATCACCTGCTGCGCTCTTGCAATCCCACAAAGGTTATCTATTTACCCAATTCCTGCAATGCTCAACTACATACTTTATTCTCAAAACATTTTCCTGATAATAATAAGATCTCCATGTTCCATTAAGCGCGACTTTAGTTTCGTCGTCCACTGGCTAATCACTATTTGTGCGGATGGTTTTAATTGTGGATGAAGTGTGGCGTGTGTTTGCATGGTGGATAGTTTTTAGTATATGAGCACGTTTTGATCGACTTAACGAAATGATGGTTCCCGTTCGTATTTGGTTTGTCTTTCGGTTCAAATGAAGTTTATGAACTTATCTTTAAGTCATGGGAACTTATCTGTAAGTCATTTAGCTAAATTAGGCAGTTCTATGCACACATGTATGGCCGTCAAACAATATTATTGGGTTGATTAGTGTTTCCATAATATTGCTAACAGACAAGCGGTCAATGCAGGTAAACTATTAGTATATGGACAAATAATACGCAATAGAACTTCTATGGTTAAACAAAACCAAAAATAACCTTGGCGGAGGTAATAAACAAGACTTAAGTGTCATTTAGTGGTGATGTTGGACCGCACGAATCAAGAACTATTAAGTTGATCTTTGAAACAAATGTTTTTGGTTACTTTTAATTTCTTCGGCTAATTTTTATCTGATTTTTAATTCAGCCAAAGTAACGCGTGAACACGAAAGCAGAAATGTTGACATTTCAAACATTGGGCAGAAAGACCAATTTGGTGATGGCGGTCTTTTGGTTCAAATGAAGTTTATGAACGATTTTAGTAAAGGGTGTGCGGGTGACATCTTGTCATTGCTACATTGTACGACCAATCATTGATTGTAAAGGGATTTGATTTGATACAAAAAGTGCCTTTACCTCTTGTATAGCGGGAATAAGGTTTGAGCAATAAATGTCGAGGTTCATGATAAGATATGGTTGACATGAAAACGGGGTTGTGGGAAACGTGTTTTATGGAAATAAGAAAACACACAGGTTGACTTGTCAGTCTTGTTTCCTTCATTTCTCCTGCATTTCCTTCATATCCTTATTGTAAGCGGGTCTCTTCGTGGTTATTAAAAGGGGTTTGCGTGTGTGTTTAAAATAACGTGCGTCACAAAACGATCTGTATAATGACTTGTATCAAGCACAACATGTGAAACGTTCTGTTATGAGACATTAGTGTCAACAGGCTAACAGCCTTAACCACATGATTCATATTTGTACTAGATGTTAGGCCATGTTTCTGAAAATGGTTTTGGGACAGATGTAATCATGTAAGACAAAACGATATCCTGTCAACTTTTTTGTAACCAACCACAAAGGCAAATGTTGTGAGCGTAAATCCATCACAGATGTTGCTTTTTAAAGTTACAAGCCTATTCTTTTCACTGAAAAGATCAAGTTTTTTAGAAATTTGTCGAGAATAGAAACTGAAAATCCTGGTGTCTTCGACTATTTTTTTTATACTTTCTGGTCATTTTATCAAGTTTATTTATATCATTTGAGCAGGTCAAGTAACTTCATTAAAGGATGCGCAGTATCTCTATGATAAACATTCAGGTTACGTCAACGAAACTAATAAAAAGAAAAAAAAGAAACATCAACGATTCTTTAGCAGAAAAAAAATGAAACAGAACCAAAGGTAAAAAAGAAGACAGAATCAATCAAATTAATTGGATACAATTTACGAAATCAGTGATAAGAACTAAGCCCCCAAGGATACCAGTTTGTTGAAGTGAAGAGCACTCACATTATATTGAAATGAAAAAAATGACAACACCCTTGTCCAGTGAAAGATAACATAATTTAAAAAATAAAAGCTCACCTGTCTCGCATGGAGTACACTGCCAACCCGCACTGGTGTAACAGCCATCGGTTCCTGAGCACAGCCAGCAGTTGCCTTCTGGCTGGTCGCTGCACAATATGCACGGCTCACTACTTGGACTGAGGCATATCGTCATATTATCTCTACGACACACTGAAGCTGATGTGATATCCCAGCATAGAGAGCATCCTGATTTGATAGGAGAATTGCTGACCGCATAGTTTTTAAAATTTTCAGGTGATTTGTTAACTCTGTACTGAAGTGGACAACGCTGCAATTGAAATTCGGTTCCGGTGGTAACATTTTTAATTGTCGCTACATGTGTGCTGGCTAAGATCAGTAGAATAATACTGATCTGATGGGTCACTTTTAAGGGAGTCATTGCTGTAAATACGTAGCGTGTTTTCTTTAAGACTTTGCCGCATATATTCATCATTGACGGACACGCCTTATTCTAGCTTTAACTGCTGCAGCAATGATATCTCCCTGAAGTAAACTTTTTTACGCGATGTTAGTGGTGAACAATAACCCCCTAAGAGTTATCTTTTATAGGTAATTGCAAATGTTCGGCAAAGATGGTGTTTATTTTCAATTAGCCTTTTCAGCTTTTATGATCTTAAGAGTGGAATGTGCACTTGCTGAAGACGTAAACATCTCTTTCAACCTCTCCCGTCGATTCCCTATCAAAAGGAAAATAATTATATCATGAAATACTCTAACATGTATTTGTATTAATTTTTAGTGACAAACACTGTGTGTGGTTCAGGCATCGTCAGATTTCATTAAAAATCATCTCTTCTACTGGTACCTTGAATGGTTTCCTACTTGGTCATTTTTAGTGACAAACACTGTGTGTGGTTCAGGCATCGTGAGATTTCATTAAAAATCATCTCTTCTACTGGTACCTTAAATACTTACTGGGGTAGTCATTTTCCCATCGTCTTACTGAATTGTATTTATTCTCCTTTCCGAGGAACAGTTGAACTGCATGATGTTATTATCTTTTAAGGTTGCCCTCTCTTTCCAACAATTGTCTTTGTTTCGTAGGCGACTATAACGGTTCACACTAAACTCACCAAATGCTTTTGTGCTGCGATAAAATGAAATTATTAACATTTGATCTCTCATGTAAGAATCTTCTGTTGGTCTTTGTGCGCTGTTAAAGAAACCTTATCTCACACGTTATTTTCCACGTTATCCTTGGCTATCTTCCATGGTCATATAGGCTAGATGTTTATTTCAAGATTGCTTTCTTCTTTCGTAGCAACACGTTATCTTTCAAAACACCCACACATTGCGAAAATGGCGTTCGCTCTTAACCGGTTCAGACCCACTGCATTTCACAAAGCATTGGCCAGACTGTCGCCACTTCAGCTGTAGGCTTTCTCTGTTCCTATTTTTAATTATTAATTAATTAATTAAGAAATTAGTAATTTCTCTAAAATTTCTCAAAAAGTCCGGCGTGGAACCTGTTCTATTTTTCCTCGTGTGAATGTTCTTATCCAGATGACGCAGATTATTGTCAAGGCAAACACGCACACTATGGTTGATCTTTGACGAACAACAGGTGTTTGCACATCAGACTATTTGTTACCGAGCCATTGCCTCGATTAGGTATCCTAATTCACTGCTTATAATCCCAACAGATATATATGAAATTATGCCTAACAGGCTAGACGCTTATTACCTCGGCAACCTATATTTGGTATTTTGTACGTATATGAAGAAAATGAAATACATTGTATATGCAACGCCCCCTTTATTCTTAGCTGCGACCTTTCGCCTTTTGTTGTGAGACAAAAAATGGTTAAGACGCTCAATGGTCGCCAAAGTCAAAAATCATGACACTGGGAAAATGTTCCAGCGATTATTGTGCCTCCAGTGAACGATCAAATCTGGCATTTGAGATTGCCTGCTCAGATGCAACTGTTGAGACTTAAAGGTACATATGAATGGATTGCCAGTAACACATATAAACCACTTCTACTAGATTCTTATACGACTGAAATAAAGTCGACATGCCAAGGAATAAACTGAATAAATCACTCGATCAGCCATAAAAGAGCCGTAGATCCCATTTCCATAGATTTTAGATCGATCTATCCCTGTGGGGAGTCTCACTAGATCACTGTCAGCTTAACCGGCTTAAGCGTCTGTCCCGCCTACTGTAAGCTGTAAGGGGGTAATTAACTATGGTGCGCGCTCGGCTGACTGCAATTTAGCGTGAACCCCCAGGGAGTTAGGTCGATCTAAATCTTAATCTCTAGATCGATCTAAATCTCTGGGAATACACCCTTAGACTGCTCCTTTCTCTAAATTTTTGGTTAGAATTTTGACCTATTTATGTGACCTACTTTTCTGCCCCTTGTATATACCGTATAGTAAGCTAGCAGAAAAACCCATTCAAATATCTATTTCGGGTAATATTAAACAATGTCTTTTGGTAATTCTCTTAATTATACTGTTTGAAACTATATGTTGGCATTTGGTTCGTTTTTGTGTCAATAAATGACTTTGTATGCAAAGGGTAAAGGCGTCAGTTGTAAATGCCTTTTCTGAATGCCAACAATGCTTCATTTTACTCTGCTAAATCTTCGTTTACAGTCCTGTGCATTTAAGTAGTATTACAGAGAAAAGAACGAAAAAATAACTTTTCCTGACAAAACGGCAATAAGTAAATAAAAAACATACTATCACCCTGATTGGAATACTTTTGTTGGCGTTAGGGCATTATTTGTAGAATTTTGGTATTTTCTATGATTCATTTTTTTTTCAAATATGGTTTGCACCTTAATGGCATTTGTACCTTTCCCCTCAAAAACAGAACCACATGACAGTACGTGTTATAGTGATGATTGTGCTATTACCAATTGTGTAATATGGCATCAAATAATAATAATAATAATAATAATAATAATAATAATAACTTTTTTGTGTGTAGGTGGAGACACACGTTATTCTTATTTGGAATGACCAGTCCTTATTTTGTATACTTCTGATTTTCTCGGCTTAATTATTAATGTTGCCTTTCATACGGATGTCCATTTGGCAGCTTTTTTTTTTTCTTCTTTTTTGAGACACCGCGTTGAAGTCTTACCCAATTACCGAACAAAGGTGCAAACACTGTTCTACCTTCTATCCGGTAACTAAAAACACTTTGAAATGACGTTTACTTCAAAACGCAGTAATTATGTTACATGGGAGATCTTTCAGCCACCTTTTAACGGCGCAGGTATTCACAGTTCTAGTTAACAAACGCCTTTAAAGGAAAATACTCTGTCGGATTCAAGATCCATGTGGGGGGGGGGGTCACAGTGATAAAAAGCAGATTACCTTAAGTCACTCTGTATGTCTGCGTGGGAAATCGATCTAGCAAGCCAAAGAGATTATTGGCATATCGTATCACTGTTTAATTGCATGGGCTATTGTGTCTGCCTTTTAATAATTGTGGCTGGCGATGAACATATTATCTCTCTTTCTCTTTTTGTGGATATTTGCTTTGTATGCTAAGTTCAAGAAGAGGCTTAATGTTTGGTAGACTTTCTGATTTCATCACATCTTTGAAAGGTTACATTAATTGTAACATGATTAGTCGGGTGATCGATGTAGGTAATGTTTACCTTATTCGGACTTTTATTGTAAGTATAATGCACATTATTGATCTACCGCATAAGTAAAGTGAAATTGATTATGTGATCAATGACGAAATTTGTTGATGGGACTATAACTAAAAAGTATTCCAAAGGCTGCGTTCGAACATGGCTGGTCTCGGGCGTTGGGCGAAAGTGGCCGTGGTGTGGCTAGTTTTGAAGCAGTGGACTGTTATCCAGGCTACGGAAGGTAACATAACAAAGTTAATAACTTTCAACTTATCTAATGAAAGGGTTATTTCTTCTAATGAGGCAATAGCGCAGGGAAAGAATATTAATACAGTACCAGTGGATTTTGATACGGTCAATATTGGCAATTTTTGCTACAGTCTTCGCACAGTCGAAAAATGAGTCTTATTTCTTTAAATTGTTGACGATTGCTGGTTTATTTATTTATTTGTACTTCCTTTCATGTTTCGTTTTTAATTGGCTAGTAGAAAACAGAGTCAAATAGCAACTTTTGCTTGGCCCTTTTAGTGTGACTTGTATTTCGTGTTTCTGACAATTGCTACCAAGAGGAAATAAGCATATGAATGACACAGTAATTATAGATCTTATCAAAGTATCCCATCAGTCGAAATACATGTTACTCTTTTTATTATCAAGAAAAAACGCCAAATTGTTTGTGACATATTTTATCATCTTTACTTTAGGTACATTTACATCTTTATTTTAAGTACTTATATCATCTTTATTTGATGTTAAGTGTGTGAACATTTTAAGGTTCAGACTTGCCCTCAAAAAAATAAAGTGCGTGCCTGAAATAATCTGCAGTAAAACTGCGCCTCGTTATAAAAGATAACTTAGTGAAATTTATATCTCATTCACCTCAAAAATCAATTGTCAGGGTGTGTATTTCTGCTATACATTGCATTCAAAAGAAAAAATCGATCACTGTTTTTTCACTTTAACAATAGAAGTTTTCCGCTTCGAATGAGCTGCTAATTAATCTGTTGCGAGGTGAACGTGGAGGAAAAGAAATAAAGGTAAACCGCGAATGAGCAAAAATGTTCCTTAGCTTTGTGGCTGGATCATACATGAAAATCATCAAAAACAAGCCTTATTTAGGCTTGTGTTTGATAATTTTCATGTATGTAAACCGTGAACTTTCCAATGTGCATTCTAATCATGTTTACCAATGTGACTTACTAGAGGGTGTAAGTATAAAATTTCTTTGATTTCTGAGATCTCTTGTTATTGATAATAATATCTTTTCAGGACAGTGGCGCAAGCCTCTTGGTGTCTGGATTATGGACGATGTGCACAACTACCATGACGTTAGCGGTGGTATAAATCACGCCTCTTCCGCCGGAGGTTCCATTTCTAAAACCACGGGGCCAAGAGGGGAAACAAACGGCGGAACACAGTTTATCGGGACATCGGATTCCTATGTGATCCTCGGCAATGACGGGGGTTTAGACGCCCGGTATTCTTTCACGTGGGTGGCATGGATAAAGAATGAGGGTTCCACGGAGGCACCCCTGTTCAGTTTTCATAACTCCGGAGGTGACAATTTCGGACTTCATTTTTTTCAACATCCAAACGACCACTCGTTCACGGTTGTGTTTCGGCGACGGAGTGACGGCGCTAGCACGAACAACTTTTACACTGTTGCTAACGTCCTGACGCTGAATACGTGGGTCTTGGTTGCAGTCACCTACGATTATACCCTTGGGGTGATGAAAGTTTATAAGGATGGTCAGGTATGGTTAATCTGCTCATTATTTAGATCCATTTAAATAAAAAAGATGCCGGCTGTTGAAAATGAAACCCTGATAATATCTATTCAGTATTTTTTTTTTTTTTTTGCAAGATTGTACCTGAAATAGCGTTTGTGCAGGCAGCATGATTGTTTGAATGGGTAGTTGCGTGTTATGACAAGTAAAGTGCTTTAAGGCGTTCTTCATTCCACTATCACTACCATAGCCACTGTAACTGATACATGAATCATGCGTATGCAGTTTTTGTAAGTTTCATAACAAAATAGACCATAAAATGCAACTTTTAAAAAATCTTAAAAGATGTTAATTTTTGTCATTGCAATCACTACTCTCTTGGTCAGGTGGTCCATACAGAGTACCCTGGACAATATGAACATTCAACTGATGGCCAGTATGTGGCTATCGGTTCACGGAATTCTCTGGCCTCCGACAGCAGACATTTTGCCGGAGTGATGTCCTGTATACACTGGTATGATGTTGCCTTGACCCAAGCTCAGGTGAAGCAAATTGGTGCCAACTGCTTCACACAAGGTGAAAAATGCGTCAAACCCTGTCTCTAATTTGAAAATTGTTTGTAATAATACTGTCTTGATACTAAATAATTTACAGTTGTTTTAAATAGTTGGCTCAGAATAATATGATGATGCCTAAAAGTTTTGTAGGTTTTATTTAATTTCGTCAATCCTGTTTAGTTAAGGCTTATGTAATCTTCAGGTTTACCCATCACATTGCAGGTTTACCCTTACCAGCTGGCTGGTGGCCACTAGACAGCGACTATAAAGGACTTGACGTTACTGGGAATGGGAATAACGCAATACTCAGCAATGTGAGCCCTCATACCGGTCCATTCCTAAACAACATTGGCTCCTACTATCTCCGAGGAAGTTCAGATTCTTACATTGAAATCCCGAACAACGGCAAGCTTGACGTGAGGTATTCGTTTACATATATGGCGTACATCTGGCCCACCCAAATGTCTGGAAATGGGCTGAATGGAGAGGGCCCATTGTTTGACTACTACGCTGGGACAGGTGCCACATGGGCAGAGCACATTTGGGTTACGGGCCAAGGTCTCTCTCTCTACGTATGCAGTTTTAACAGGAATTTTGCGTCGACGGGATGCACATCGAAAAATATCATTACCAGTTTTTCTTGGCAGCATCTTGCATTAACCTATGATTACTGGATAAATCGTATTACTCTCTACAAGAATGGTGTACAGGTGTTCACTTATACACCAACAAAATCTGAAATTGGTACCGCAGGTTCTTATATAAGAATAGGCGCAAAGGTCGGCGATAACCGTTTTTATCAAGGGAATGTCGGCTGCCTCAAATTATATGGAACCCCGTTGTCTCAAGCCGAAATACGACAGTCAATGCATTACTGTTCCCCGAAGGGACCATCGATTTTACGCAGTAAGATAAAATAATGCATTTTTAAAATATTTCATTACAAAAATATCCGCATGTCCAATCGAGAAGGTCTAAACAGTTGTATCGATAATATCGATAAATACTTATTCTTTGTTGAGAAAAAGTAGGACTTATTGTAATATTCAATGTAAATAATTACATTTTCTACATGCACGTTCTCACCTAAAACTCTTCTCAAAGACTTTTTGTCAGCCATTTTTCTTTTTCTTTAAGCGTATCCGTTACCAGCTGGATTTTGGCCCTTCAGTAAAAGCTACAGCAATGAAGACATCTCTAGTCATGGTATTGACGCCGATCTGTATGAGACATCATTCGTCACTGGGCCTCATGGTGATCCGAATGGTGCAATACGAGTTTCGGGAACCAGCACGTCTTATATTGAGTATCCTCAGAGCACTGTGCTGGATGCAAGATTTGCCTTTACTTTGATGCTTTGGTATTTACCAGGTAAGCAACATTCTTAAATGTGTCGTTTGGGAAACTTACAGGTCAGACGTAAGAACACTTCGCGTTGTAAAGCAAATAATAATGCTTAAAAAAATGCTAACTGTAAAAGTGCAATGCCTTAAACTTAAAGCGTGGCAATATTTTGTTGAGACAGTGAAAAATTTCAATTAAATTCTGTAAGTTCGTTTGAAACTGTACTTTTTCAAATGTAACAAAAATAGGTCGGTACCAGTTAGGCCTAATAGCCAATTCAAAATGACATTTTGTTAATCATCGAAGAGGCATACCTACCATATACATGCGTTTCGTATTACCTTTTTCTTCTTGTTAGTCGAGTTGCTACACCCTTACGTCTCATACGTAAACCTGGGAATTCTGTTATCTATGCACTTTTATTTATCCCGGGTATCAAGGTGATCTAAAACAAATTTGCATGTTTGTCCTTTGCTGCATCTTTTAGGTGGTGAGCCAAGTGGTCCTATATTCCAGAACGAGCATCCCACAACTGGCTGGGGATTGGTTATTTGGCAGCACTCTTCGAAGGAGAATTTGTATGTGGCCCTTAGGCAATGGTCTGATGGAGCGCATATTTCGGACTGCACATTTCAGAATATATTTGAGGAAGATGTTTGGTTACATCTAGCTGTTACATACAATTATGGCACTGGCATAGTTACTGCCTATAAAAATGGAATTGAGTTTGGAACTGCTAACGTCGGATCTGTCGAAGTGGCGACAAATTATGAATTTAGAACTGGTAATTCTCTCTTTCTCTCACTCTCTCTCTCTCTCTCTCTCTCTCTCTCTCTCTCACACACACACACACACTGATGTGTAACTATATTGTACCGCTCCTGTCGCTCTTGTCATTGTTCTGTATCTTGCATATGGCTGTATAGTGTTCACTACAATTTTAGTACAGCAACGCAATCCCTTTTCGCAGTCTCTTGGATGATGTCCTTCTTCCACACTTCCAATATGTCAGTCTCTTTCTAGATGATAGTAACGTTTTCAATAAGGAAACCATAATAGAAAAAAGGACCGAGCTATATGGTAGTATTCAGGAAAGTACAAATATATATTTATATACATCAGGTGTCAAGAAAAGTGACAGCAGAGTTATAGATGCCAGTCTGTTCTGCTTGAAGTGGTACACGACCGATCTGGATATTAATCAGATCAACAAAGCCAAAGATCAATGTTCTCCGGATATGTTGCAGCTCTTCAACAAAGGTACTATATATATAATTTTCGTTAGAAAACATTTGATACATTTTAAGAATTGTTCAAATTATTTGCTTACAGCTTCAATAGACAACAAATAGTACAATGTTTTTGTGCATATTATCAAATTAAACAGTTCGCTTCAATCGTTCTTTCTTTTCTCAAGTATCTGTAGCAACGCACAGTCCACAATGCGCTTTTCATCATGGCGTTTATTTGAAAAAATATATAACTAAACAAGTGTCAGACACAAAGTGATGCCCAACTTGATTTTATGCTCACGTTCTACCTATCTGCAGATGGCATACAGCCCAAACCAGTGGGTCTTTGGATGCTTGGCGGCAAGGACGGTCTGAAAGACAAAGGCCGTGGTGGAAATGACGGAGTGCGCAGCCAGACTCACATTCAACAGGATGGACCTCGTGGAGAGCCATACGGATCGTTCTACTTCAACGACTCGCCAAGTGATCGTATACGGATACCAAACAACGGGTGGTTAGACGTTAGACGTTCCTTGACTGTTGGGGTCTACATTTACCCAATGTCTGTTAGCAGCACTGCGTATATCGTAGAGTGGGACATGCCGGGTGGGACCACTACGTATGGCCCTCACATAGCACTTATGTCAGGAGGACGAGTGTACTGCAAATTCAATACATATTATCAATCGAACGGAGCCACCGGTGGACCGTATGCTACGTCACCTAATGGCGCCGTTCAAGAACAGAAATGGCAGCACCTTGCAGTTGTCTACGACTACGATAGCGGGGAGGCAAGTGTCTGGGTGGACGGGGAGGTTAAGCACAGTTTCTACGCCGGCCAACTCCAGTTAGGAACTCACGACAACTTGTACATCGGACATGGCTATGCTTCAACAGGGAGTGACTTCTTTGGTCGTATGGCTTGTTTCCAAATATATGACGTCGCACTCTCTCAGACACAGATTATAGCCAGCAAAAACCTGTGCGTACCTGAAGGTGAGCTATTATTGATATTATTGTGATTTAAACAGTAGTTGTTTTTTCTGGCGTTTATCTTTGAATCTTTGTACTGAACGAAACAAAACGTGAATTCAAGTGGTGAATTTGGATACAGCGTTGGATTTTGAATTAATGGGAAAAATATTGAAATGATGGAGAAAGTATCAAAATGAAATTGAGTTACAGAGTAGGCCCTACTGGGTAAAGCGAGTTTTGATTTGCAGTATATGGATTTTTCATATCGAAACTCGGAAAAAAATAACATTTCTCAATAATACTGGCTTTTAATCACTATTTTTAATTGGAAATGGCAGACCAGAGATCTCGGACGACTACCGTACAAATTCAGTTTTTCAAGTCCTTTTTGCAAGACGTAGTTAATTAATAACACCTTTGCGACTTATATGTTACAGGGGGACTTCCTCGCCCAATAGGTCTGTGGCCGTTGAACTCCCGATATCAAGGTCTGGACGTCAGCGGAGGAGAGAGCCACGCCTCTTTAGGAAATGTTACCTTTTCCCCGGGTATGTAACTGCGATCAGACTAAAATATTCCTATTTTCTTTACATTTCCTCCCTGTCAAAGGGCAAGCTATCAGTGATAGACTGAAATCGGTAGATTAGTGAACATTGATAAATTGAAATTCTGATTAGTTTATAGAAATGACTATGTTATTGTTATTGAATGCTGTATTTGTGTGTTTATATTGATTTTCTTATTTAAAGGGCTCGATGCGTTTTTTTTCTCCTGTCACGACAGACCAATGATTTTGCCAGGGATAAGCATAGCCCTATTCTGAGTCCGTAAAATTTCATATATTGACTAAAAATGCAAAGATTATATTGTAGCCGACTTTTTAGATATAATTTTAGTGAAAGTACATAATTATTTGATTTTAGGCCACATGGGACAGATGGGTGGAGCAACTAGTTTTTCAGGGACGGCTGATAGTTACATCGAAATTGCAAATAGCGGAGCTCTGGATGCCAGATTTTCTTTTACATATTTGGCATATGTATACCTCTCTAACACTACAATTGGACCAATATTCAACTTTGGGTCAAACGCATCTACGCAGGGTAATTACGGACTACATGCGTGGGTCACGGGCGGGTATAGTTTTTTCGTTCGTGTAAACGAAAGAAGTGGATACTGGGGGGTTTCTATGGGCAGTACTATGCCATTGAATAGCTGGCAGTTTGTTGGAGCGACATATGACTATGCCTCTGGGATGTTGCGTACTTGGTTTAACGGCATAGAACAAGACAATTTATACGTGGGTCGTTTGGAAGTGGCCACAGAGGATTACGTCCGTATGGGGTCCAGAAGAGCAAGCTACGGTGACAACCGTTACTTCTTGGGAACACTGGAGTGCGTGCAGCTCTACAACCTACCCCTAAGCCAGTCGCAGATTAAAAAGGCAATGGAACTCTGCAAAGGAGCAGGTTTGTACCCCCCACGTCCCCTTTATCTCGTATGTAAAATGTTTTGCACATTAAAAAGTATCGATTCCATTGGTTTGATATAGAATCCGTTTTGGCATGACGTCAATCCTTCTATCGGCATATTTAGTCCAATAGTTCGAAATCGATATCCCGTTGTTCTGTGTATAATTAGGATCGTTATGAATGAAAAAGAAAGCTTGATGATTTGAACTCCTTAGGTGAATCATGAGCGTTGAGATCTATAAAGAAAAAATATGCAAGATGGAAGCTCACACAAGTAAAACTGCAATAATATTTTGTCGCTTTTTCAATTTTAGGACATCATTTCAGTAGTCCAAGCAACGTCCCCACCGGATACGGTACGGCGGTGTCACAGGTCACGTGGTCTACGACAGCCCGCGTTCTCTCCGAGTGCATTGCAAAGTGCACTACGGCAGAGACTTGCCTCTCTGTGAATTACCAAGATGTTTTCGGTCAACCAAGTCAGTGTGAACTATCCGCTGCCATTTCGAAGTTCAATTCTTCGGTTCAGTTTGAAGATAAGGGTGGGACCTATAAATACTTTGAAATGGACCACAGCGTCAACCACATTTGCGTTTGAATGTTTCTTCGAAACCTTATAGCAGAAAGGTGTTAAGAGACAAGACAATCAAGAACGTTAAAGGGATAATAACTCTTTGTTTTGGCCAAAAAATGAATTTTCCTGGAGTAAACAACAATTTTCCCATTCTTACCAATGGTTAATGAATCCATTTTTACATTCAAAGTTAGTCCCTGGTTTTTTTCTAAAAAGTTTGGTTTTTTAGTAAAATCTCTTAAGAGATTATAACAGAGTACAGCCATCAATGGAAGTCACGTGATCTGAAGACAAGTTCAGATATCAGAATAATAGCTATAACTGCATTATATTTCTATGAGTTGTTTACAATGTTTTTATTGTGAAATAAAGATATCATACGAAGAGTTATTATCCCTTTAAGATTAGGGTCTGGTTTTGACTTTTAAGATTGGAAAAAATATAGAATCGTTGTATAAAACCACGTGTTTTATAATTTAGATGTTTTACTATATTCACTTATTCGGTTTAGTTTTTTTTTCCAAATTTTATTCTATTTAAATGCCAGTAGTTTCAGCGACGAGATAATTTAATGACCGTTGTAACTTTGAAGTGAACTACTGTGCAGCTATATCATCTGCGGGGTTTTGGCTTGAAAATTCATTAATGTATTGGCAGTTGTAACATTAGGGCTATTAATGCATATCAGAAGGCACAGTTTGTGGGGATACATGTATAAATTGAAAATTGTGACTATTAACTTTTCTGAGGTCTGAGCAATATACCACTATAAATAAACCGTTTGATCTTCAATCCAAGAAAAATAACCATATTTCAGAAGAAAATATAATACATTGTTTACATAGGTTGTATCATACCCAAATCATTAGTCCTTACAATTGAAAGGAAAATTGGGAGTATGTAAGGCAACAAATTTCACATGAACTCTTTTTGCCTTCGATGTTATTGTTTGCTAAATATAAAGGTTCGACGGTGGCCGTATAGGCCTACTTTGCTAAGAAAATGGTAAATTGATCCTCAAATACATTTTCAATAGCACCATTACGTCCAAAATTGCAACTCTAATTCAATTTCATGTCTGTAGATAAAATCAGATTGACAATAAATAATTATGCGTGTGTGATAACTCGTGTCTTTTCATTGTTTCTTTAGATGCAAATGCAATAGCTTTTTAATATTAAACCATACCGCATGAAGTACCCTCAAGGCAATCTGCTCTGAGACTCGGATCAAATCAGAAACCTTGTAAGACTGTATTTGTCGATATAAACAAATACAATTGCTTAATAGGTGTGCAATTTATAGGCCTACCACTTGTCCCGTTCTCCAACGTATCAGTTTTTAGAGGTATACTGTAACAATCTATAGCAAGAATAGTACTGAACATTTTGGAGAAAACTTAGTAAGACATTATCTGCAGTTGATCGATTCATCTTGATATGTCGTCGATTTATGGTTTTAATAAAGGAATGCGCAATTTTCGGTTCAGACAGTGCGATAGTTGTGACGATCATCCCGGACTTCAATTGTGTTTGTTGCTACAGTGGCTCTCTGGGCGGTTGCCATCTCAGTAAAATCACATTTTGTGACATTTTCATAAACCATGTTAGAAGTTTTCTTCAAATAAAGAACATTCAAAATTGTGATACGTGTCCTGAGGGCCACTTTTATTTTTGAAAAACGAATCGAATATCTATCTACGTAACAGAAGTCAGAAAGTTTCACGAGTCCATAAGGTACTCCTTTCACATATTATTACCACAATCATTTTTAATTTCTGCCACTGGTTTTACCATTTAAAGCAAAGAAATATGGGGAAATACTTTGAACTTTTGAGGTCATACTTCAGACCAATTTACTTGTTCTAAATTTTCTCTGGTGCATTTTAGGACTGGGAATCACTTCGGTAAAGAAACAGGGATAGGTATTTAAATGATACCGAATTTAAATCTTGAGCCATTTTACTTCAAGATCATAACAGTTCATGTTCTAAGTTTGTTTAATAACAATTGTAAGTTTCTATATCAATGTGGCACTGGGTTTACTTTTTAAATCAACAACTGCATACAACTGATAAAGTACAAACAATGTGCTGTTGAGAGTTATCAATGCTGATATAACAAGTCCATATAATTCAACATTTTGCTATTTCAGTACTTCACAGATGATTTGAATTAAAATCTGTTTAAAAGCATACAATATCCCATATCATTTTTTTTTTTTGCTAATTACAAATCATTAACAAACAATAATTATAAAACATATTGTGCTAATCATTAAACAGAAAATCTTGACAGCATAGTTAAAAATTCTTTATGATGAATGTTTCACAACCTTCTTCCCTCTGCTGAGCTTGGATAATTTTGGTTTCTTTGCCTGTCCATCTTCTTTGATTACTTTTGTTTTTTTATTTGGTGGCTCATTTTCTTCATCTTCCTCTGAAGGTGTCTGCAACAATAACAAATTAAATATGAAGTTTAATATCAAAGTTGAGTAAAAAAAAAACAAAGTGCTGTTGTACACTTGAACTGTATTGTCATCATTTGAACATAATGTTTGTAGTAAAAATTATCATATTGTACAACTACATGTACCACTCTAGTTTAATTAATTACCATTTCTTCAATCATGATACAAACCTTCCTAATTACCCTTACCTTTACTGAGCTTAGGGCAAAAAGTAAATTAAAAAATTAACATGTAAATCAACTTGAGGCTGAATGGTGTGTGTGTGTGTGGGGGGGGGGGGAGAAAAAAAGTAACAGTGCTTACATTTTCCTCCTCTGTATCATTATCACTGCTGGACTGGTGCTCCATGGCTGTCTCCAGAGCAGCTGTGTTAATACGGAAGTCGCGAGAAGTGGTCAGCTTGATGTGCTCCATTAGGTTCACCTAGAATAATGCAGTGATACTAAAATAACAAATGCACAGAGATGAATTAAATTTGAATATTAGTTGTTGCTTGCATATATTATTCTAAATATTAAAGTAATCATGAAAATAATAGAAAAAATAATGCTAAAGCTGTTACAGGAAAGTAAATGTCATTTGAAACAGAGAAGATTTAAACTTTACAATTGAGCAACATTTATGTGTAACACCATCATCTTATAATAATAATAATAATAACTTCAGAATCATGGTAATTCAACAACTTGAGCATAATGTTTAACTTACTTTTGACTTCTTTGTCAGTTGTATCAGAAACTTCTCATATTGTTCAATGGAGAAAATCAAATTTGGAATAAACTTGCTTTCCTTCAAAACTCTTGCCTGAAATCAAACATTTGCATAAGATTTTTTAATCTCAGTATATCAGATATGAGCCTAGGTTAAAAAAAAAAAAAAAAAAACTCTTAACATCTATCATGGGACCCAACACCTAACCTTGACGTATCTCAGAATTGAATTAAAAAACGCTGAATTTCCCTTTTTCACAGAAAAAATTCACGTCTGTTATATGAATATAAACAGAATGAAAAATAGTTTAGCATGGGAAAAGTACAACTCTTCAAAATAATGCGATAATCTTCAAATAAATCCTACCTTCCCAACTTGTACAGATGCTGAACCATTTTTTTTCTTATCCTTCTTTGGTCCTCCTTGCTGCAGCTGCTCTGCCTGGGATGCCTACAACACACAAATACAAATATTCCAATACTGTAAAAATTGTGAACCAATTACCCATTTCATTACACAAATTTAAAAATAGGAAGACTTATGCCCTATTCAACTAGCAAGGTAATGCAGTATAGCAAACACTTATTTTGTAAAACATTCTTTGCACATGTCTAATATCAGTAATGTATTATCTTATCATGTGCAAGAAGTCTCTTTTTGGAACAAAAACGTTCTCACAAATGTCAACAGACTGTCTATAGATGTTACCTGTATAAATGTGATCATAGCATAGACTTGCTGCGTGAGGTATGTCCCCGATAATTTGACCAGCTTCTCAAACCTGGCAGACATATGTCCTGCTCTTTGGGTGTACATGCTTAGATACTGGAATGAATATATATATATATATATAAAATACACAGCATATTCTTGATTTAAGAAACAGAGCAACACAGTTAAAGACAAAAATGACACATTTAACTACAAATATACAAAATCTCTATTATAGTACACCAACCATGTACTCTAAAGCTGATACGCATCTAAAATCACACCCTAAAATGAAGTTATTTCAACAGTAAATATTCCACAAAGAGCAGCAGGGATGAATTCTACTTACAAACTTAGTAAGGGCTGCCAAAACTTCATACATTTTGGTGATTTCTTTGAGCAGTCCCTCTACACACCCACCAGGGGGCACTGCTGACTGCACCAGTTCATGGAAGGCAGTAATGAACACACCAAGTCTGCCACATACATTCTTCTCGAGGCTTTCTCTCTGGGTAAGACCTGGCAAGAAATCACAGGACAAAAAAGATACAGAGGGCAAGTATGGCTATGTGTTCATAATACATTTCACCTGTTAGAAGATTTTTTTTTAAATGCTTGCATGCATAAATTAGTGAAATATCTAGCATCAGACTTACATGGAATATGTGCTGGAGGTGTAATCTGTTTCAAATACATAAGTCAATAATTTATATACAGATATAAAACACCAAAGAAACTGTTCCATTATAAATGAGACAAGATTTTCAGCAGCAAAAGCAGTGCACTGGATAGCATATGTGGAATACTGGCCCTCTATCCTCCTCACCTGCACTGCTATCTACACTGGCCTGAAGTTCTGCCTTGAGTCTGCTGATCACCCAGTCTGTGTGATCTAACTCACTCTCTATCTGATGAAGGACAAGGTTTAGTACACAGGGGGCAGCTGTGTGCTGGTTCACAATGGCATAATGAGTTCTCTTTTCTACTTCGACTTCCTGAAAAACAAAAATCTAAAATCAAGATCTTTCCTTTCCTATATTGGTCTTAAAGATTGTTCATTTATGTTTGTTTAATTGCATAAGATATGCAGAGCAATGAAGTCAAGAGAGAAAGAGTATGTTATCTTTGCCTTTCAGTTATAGTAGTGCATTGGTCCAAAACTATATATTATACCTGTTAAAATTGCTTTTAGACTATTTTGGTAATATATCGTCCTTCTGGTAAAAAAAAATATTGCTTACTGTAGATCATGATGACAAATACAAGAAACAAAAAAACTACAAAATGAGCAAAACTGCAGTGAAACTACCCATTTCCTCTACTCTTATTTTTATGAAAGGTAAAAAGGTAAAAATAATCAATATGACTTTGTAACTTACATGTGATGTTGATCTTGGTTCCGTTCAATACTTAATCCCTCTCAGCTCTGTTAGAAAGTGACTGCTGTATGTTGTTATAAAGCATCTCTTACCTGGTCTATATCCCCAAGCTGGCTGTGAATATCCTGAGAAAAATCTCTGATCAGTGAAGGCAGGGCTTCTACATGGCACAAGATCTTAAACTGCAGACTGAGCAGTACCTTCACCACGCTCACATCATCTGGTGAAAATATACAAACATTTAAATTGAAATACACTTTAACTTCATACTGTATCATTTGTTCAAGAAGAAATTTCTTTGAGAAATGAAATAGAGGAGAATGTTAAGAGTTAGCCGTGTGTATTTTCAAAAGTAACAAGAATACAATGAGGATATTCTAATTCAGGTACCAGATTTCACATACACTATATCATCAAAATATATTTTTGCAATTTTTTTTTTAATCTATCATTAGTTGTAAATTAACGGAAATAACAATAGCACACTAACAGAACACCCCATCACATCCAGCTATCATTAAGGTGTGCACAAACCTATATTTTGTTCAGCACAGAGTCTGTTTATCCATGAACGGAACTGTGTAAACTGCTCCCTGTCAGGTTTCAGATGTTTTCCCAGTTGACCCAGGATGTTTATTAAAGGTATAATATCTTTGACTGACCGGTCATCCTCATCACCAGCCTCTATCACACACATCACAAGACGCTGTAGGTGGAGTAAAACAGATGTTATAAGGTTGTGCTTACAATTACTGAATGTAGTTTTCGTAAATCAGAACACTAAAATCTATGTTCATACACATGCTGGAGTCATAAAAGACATCTAAATTTTGTATTAACCAAAGCACTGAATCAACATTCTTAAAATGTGAGTAACTGCATGTATCATGAATGTGACAAAATGATTGGTGCATTCATTTCAAGACTGAATTAATTCTTTAAAATTGAACTATTATCAATTATAAATATTTTACTTGAATTTTCTTGCAATGCATGTACATCAAGTCTTCCTCATCCATGTCTTCAGCATCTCCAGCTAGATTTATGTCTGCAAAAGAAAATGTTAATATGTTTCACCCAATTGGTTAAAAGTGAACACTCACTATATTGCCTTCCTTGTCAAGATTTGGCTCATGCAAGCATAATTATTGTCAAAATTTTAAAAAAAATTGGAAACAAATTTAATCCAAAAACATGTCTTAATTTAGTCATTTTCCAGATATGGCCTGCCAAAATATTGCATGGGAATAATAGGTACCTATCGCTCGTAGGAATTCTGGCAGATTTTCTTCATATCTAGTACAAATGATGTTGACAATAGTTGCAAATGCCTCTAAGTGCATGTCTGATAGTCGTCTTCCTTTCTCCTTCTTATTCTCTCTGCCAGGGCTTTCAAGGTAGGTGGTAGATTCTTGCAGAAATACCCTGAAGTAAAAAAAAAAAAAAAATTGCTGTATATTTTGTGGTATGTTAGAAGCCATTCAATAAACACTATATATATATATCTCTTATATCTCTTTGATGGCGCAACAGTTAAGTACATTGGTTGTGCATAAGGAGGAGTAATATGTGGCAAATTATTCTTTCCAGGAGTGAAATTTATCAGGACCGTTCTGAGTTCTGATAGCATTATCTTCTTTGAAAGACAAATAAAAACAATAAAAAATGGCAAGGATTTGATATTCAACTTGTGTTATACATTACCTGGCCATAGTACAGCAGTAAGTGAAAAGTTTTTCCTTGTTCTCTCCCTCCACTCCATCACATTTTCCCTGGTCATTTATCTGCTGCAGCTTCTGCATAGCAACATTCACAACAAACTTTACAAAATCGGTGTTCTGTCGCAGAATTGCTAAACTTTCTTGGTGGCTTGGAATGGAATCACTGAAATTGAAAGAAAGTGTCCAGTTACCATTTTAAAATTCACTCACAATGGTTTTAAGGTTAATACCATAATTGGAGTCTGCATGTTAACAGTACTTGTCAATGAATGGATAGCATTCCATAAACAAAAAAAAAAGATAGTACTAACTCTTAAAATTAACTCTTAATTCTTAAAATCTCAACTATACTTGAATTACGGTGTTGAAATAAATAGATTTCAGTCAGTATAAGATTAATTTGATGCTTATATATAAAATAATTGAATTTTCCTGTTATTTTCTGGCCACTCCTCTTTGGAGTTTTAAACTTAGGTATACCCCATTAAACGCATTTTTAAGTACTCAGGATTATCACAAAATAATCCTCTTTATTTTCTCCATTTTTTTAACACGCTAAGAACGACTAATTGACTTTCTTCATTTTATCTAGCTTGCATGTATTCTAAGACAAAAGCACAGACTGACTCTATGAAAAACATGAAGACATAAAAGGCACCAAAAATCCCACTCATGGTGTCTTTAAAGTTGGTTTTGAAAATGCTCAGTTCAATATTAGAATAATGTACCTGTAGAGAGCTTTCAGCATTTGCACTGCAAATCTCATGGTAAGCAGGCTTCTTGCAGTCTTGGTTCCAGCTCCTTTCCCTTTCTTTCCTGCCCCAGCAGCCGTCTTCAGTACTTCACTTAAAGTGTGATAGTTCTGGTACAACCTGATTACATCTTCAAATTTCTTCACTCTGCCAATTGAAAAACAAAGTACAAAAACATAAACACCAAAAAAATTTGCATTTGATGAGATATGTTATGTTGAGTTTTCATTGCCTGGTTTGTATTTTATACTTTATTAAAGGGCCCTTGCAACAAAGGAGAAAAGAAATTCCAATTTAAAAAACAGTACAATAAAAATATATTAATATATACATATTAAAAACACTTTACTTTATGAAAACACACTCACCCATAATCTCCTGTGCTGAAGCTGTACTCTATCAAGACTTCATACACTCCTAACACAAGGATGGCAAAGATATTGTTCTTCACACCAACTCCACTGGTCAGAGAGAAATCTGCAGACTTGTCCTATAAGTAATGAGCAACAAATCCAGGTCTTTCTAAATCAGTCATTCAATAACACAACTAAACCTTGACTTACTATCAATAGAAAGAGCACCATTTCTTTGACAAAATAATAATTCCTTTTCAAAAGAACAAAAGTAAAACAGGATAATTCAAATTGTGTAATAAAAGATAACACATGCATTATTTTTATTACATTAACTGCATCAAACACAAAAGTTAACAATCAGACAAATGTTTCTTACTTTAGACCTCATCTCTATCTTAAACATATTTAACAACTATCCCTTATTAACATCTCACTGACAAGTTCAAAATCCTCCATTTCGCTCTTGATCATCCGGCAAGTGATGGATTCTAACATGTCCTCCAGCTGTGACTCAGCACCTCCATCTTCCTCTTCTTCTTCATCCTGGCCTCTTACTTCACTCACTTTACATACACACTGCTGGATACAGGCAATCAGATGGGCCTATAGTATAGTATAGTATAGTATGGAGGCAAATAATGTAAACTGTTTCCCCTGTCTTATTAGCATATCATTTTAAACACTACGGAAAATATTAAAAATAAATTGGTATGTTAATAACTGTGCTAATTTCCTTTCTTTCTTTTCTTTTTTTTTTTTTTTTTTTTTTTTTTTTTTTGACAAAAAGACACCTATAAGTGTTAAATAAAACATGATCACCCAACTACAGGTACATGAAAAAAAGTATTTTCCCTTCAATCTTTCTTATTAAAATTGATACAGTGTAAGACTTCAACTGACCAGTGGCTCTGTTAGAAAAACTTGGTCTCCCTGGGCTTGGATACACAAGTCAAGTTTCAGAGGAGGATTAACATCCACGGCACTTTCATAATATCTTTTTAACTGAAAGCCATAACAGAAAACAATAGAAATGCACTTGAATTGCACAAATAATTTTTAAAATACAATTAATAAAAGAGACTGCATATTTCAGTGTAGCTTTTAAATATACATAGAAAGAAAAGGATGCAAAAATTGGTGACATTATCTACTTGAAAACACTAGTTATTGTGGAAAAGAGGAAAAAAATGACTACTGCACCACACCTGGCTTAACAGCATCTCCAGTATTGGCTGACCCAGTTTGGTGTTTCTACACTGTACTTCATACAGACCCTGCAAACAAGTACAGCTAGCATAGTTTGACACCCACTATAATACTATATACTACAATGTAAAACAAATACATGTAATTCAAATAAATTTGATGTACTTTATGTATAAGACTATTTCCACAACAATGACTTGGGTTTAACCTTACTAGAAAACAAAGCATTTGTAAATTTGAAAAAATTTTGAAAACTATGTAAGTCTCCAACATTACATAACAGATCAAGTTTAACTATAATAGCAGACCTCATATAAATTCAGCCTGACATCAGCCTGCTGGGTGAGACACCTCCGCAAGTTACCCAAGATTTCCAGGCACAGCGCTTCATTGCCGCTCTGGTTGAATCTTGAATGCACTTCAACATGAACCTACAGAAGAGGGTCAAATCAAAATCAGTATAAAACTGAGTGCATAGCCTGAGTTTTGTACATTCTTCCTCCTTAATTCTTGTTAATTAGGAGCATGAAATTAGAATAAAAACACTTTAAAGTAAAATGTTATTTATCATACTATTCATAACACAAGCACACAACGAAAAA